TGTAAGTGACAGTCGACACTCCCAAAGGTGAAGCAACGATAATATGGATCCCAATGGCCTATCATGGCTTGAAAGCATGCGATCCGGGCCTTGATCTTGAGCAGATAAGCTATATCCCCATATGTTTTCTCGAAAATCAAGTTGGTCCTCGGAAGTGAGCATCTCCCAACAACCGAGAAGCGGATCGGTGTTGGCCATCCCGTTGGCCAACTTAACCATTTCCGGTAGTTTCGACACGAAATTCAAAGGCGTACAATCTCCTTCCTCGTTTTAGGCCCACTCGTATCCGACCCTAAAATCCTCGACCTCGTTTCGATTTCTTCGTCATGATTTAATGTGAAGGATAACCTCGTAAAGCCAAGGGTTAGTATCATCATTTACTTGATAATAATTCGTGTCTTAATCGAGTCAACCCTAACAAATAGGATCTAGCTTTTCTATGGTTGGGCAAAGTTTAATTAGTCCTAATGATTTTTCAAGTCTCTAGATCGCCTAAATTACTAAGTGGGGTAATCCAGTCTCTAACCTTATACGTAGGAGGTAGGGGAAGATGATTCCACCATTTCCAATGTATAGGGTGAGTTTCGATCTAAACGAGAGTTTGGAAGAGCATCATCGGACTTTCGTCATACTCGCCTCCAAATCCCTCTATCTAATTCCTATTAGGGTTCAGCTCGGGTCCGCAGCTTTTAAGGGTTTCCTTCGTGGTGTGTGCAACGAGTTAAAAAAAGCATTCAACCCAATTCAAAATAAACGTGCAAAGAAAAAGAAAAAGAAATAAATGACAAAAATTTAAATATATACACAAATAAATAAATAAAATTTAGAAAATAAAATGACAAAAATAAACGTAGGAGATAAATTAAAACAAAACCTATGGCCTAACTCTAGGTCCCCAGTGGAGTCGCCATTCCGTCGCTACGCGACGCTCGGACGGGACCCCCCAAAAGAAAAATTTAAGAGTAGTTCGGGTGTTGATTAATCAAAATTATTTACGAGTTTTGGAGTCGCCACCTAGTATTTAAGGAACTAGGAACCTAAAAGTAGCACTGGTTCGGAGATTCCTAAGATAAGGAGTTGGTTACGCTTTTAGGAAGATATTAAATCACCTAAAAGCGCCACTTTTCGAAAAAAGGTACCATGTGAGGTTTAGTTCTGAATTATCTCCTAAAATCTATGTCAAACTATTTTCTAAGTTTTAATCTCCTATCTTTTAGCCTAAATAATTTTTTTTGTTTTTGGCGTGGCATCATATTGAAACGATCGTCGGTCCCCTTTGTTGGGTGACACGTCGATTCAAACATCGGATCCACTAAAAGGCCTCGACATAACCGGCGTGTCGGATGACGTATTGATTAAAAGGTGATTTTTGTATGGCGTCGGTCCCTATCAAATAGGAGACTTCGCCAATTTTTTTTTTAACGACGTCGGTCCCTATCGGATAGGAGACTTCGTCAAAATTTTATATATATAATGTTCTAGTAATACATATTAGAAAAGAAAACTGAAATAAAAGTTCTAAATTAATAAAGAAAACTAACAAGAAGTAAGATAAATAGACTAAAAAATAAAATGAAAATAAAAATACAAAATGATAAAAAAAAATCATCCTATGTAAGCAAGTAAAAAAAATAACCGAAGATAAAAGTAAAAAATTCTATACCTAAAATATTAACTCACCACTTTTACTCTTTTTTTTTTTTTTTTACACCCATCCCTATTTTTTCTTCTTGTTTTTTTTTCTTAACTCTATTTTTATTTTTTTTATTTCCCCTCTTTTTTTTTTTTTTTTGAAGAAAGGGTGTGGTGGATTTCCCTTTTTTTTTTTTTACATATTTTTTCTTTTGGGTTAGGGACACGGGTTGAGCTGAATTCAGTCCAGCCCGTATTTTCTTTTCTTTTTTTGTAAAGAACGATGGGTCGGACTGGAAGGAGGTCCGACTCGTTTCCTTTCTTCTTTTTTTCTGGCTCGGGCTTAAGCCCAAAAACAAGTCCACTCGTTTTCATTTCTTATTTTTCGGATCAAAAAACCAAAATTTCAAGTTCATAACTCTTTCTCTCTCCTCGTTCTTCGTGTTCTTCATTTTCTCTCTCTAGTTCTTCAAATCTACTTCGAATTTAAGGATCCTCTTTTAAAAAAAGATTTGATTACACGAACAAATCCAAGCAATTGAAACTAAAAACACAACGGAATTAGAAACTAAAGATTCAAAACCCAAAGATCGACTCGGAAAATGGGAAGGATATCAAGAACAAAACCTAGCGAAAACTCAACGAAAACCCATAAATGCAACGAACCGAACACCACTTCTTCACGAATTCCTTGGAATCGACTCGCGATTTCCTTTCCTTCGCCTTAATAAACCAAAATTTTCCTCGAATGAAGGCTAGGGGTGTTTCAAATCGATTCCGGGTTGAAGAACACAAACCTAGAAAGCAAACAACCTTCAACTAAACAAACCCGGAAAACTTCTACTAATAAAAATCGAAAAAAAATCAACTTTTTGTTTTTTCCTTGCTTCAATTTCCTATCTCTCCAATCGAATTTCTCTCCCCCTCTTCTCTCGAAATTCCTAACGTTTTATAGCACCAAATTTCCGAAAATTTCTCCGAGAATTGAATCTCAAATCTAGAAATTTTCTCGTAAAATTTTCCTCTTTAAACCATGGTTAATTGTGAAATCAAAACAGAAATCCTCATTGATTCTCGTTAGTGTTGGTTTTGGCAACAAAATCCATGATTAATACATAATCAAAAACACGAAATTCATGGAGGATTTGGGCGGACTCTCCCAAAGATTTTTGGAGAGAATGCGCCTTGGAGCGAACGACAGGTCGTTTGCTCCATTTCGATCCCGTCGTTCGCTCCAAACTTCCATTTTGGTCCTCGAGTTTCAATTTTAGCAATTACGCCCTCTCGCGAAATAATTCCAGTGTAATCTCAACAATTAGGTCCCCGGAGGTGCAATTTAAGGCCTAAAATTTTCAATTGACTCGATTACACCCCTAAATGAATTTTTTTTTCATTTTTTTCATTTTCTTTTTTTTCATCATTTTCTTTCTCTTTTTTTTTCTCTTTCCTTAACAAACTTCAAACAAAAAACAAAAAATAAAAAATAAAATAAAATAAATAAAAATAAAAAATAAAAAATAAAAATAAAAAATAAGAAAAATTTGGGTTATTACAATACTAAAAAAGAATAAATAATAATAATAATAAAATTATTAATTAATTTTTGAAACAAATCCAGTATATATGTATCATAAGCTAGAAAAATTGCAAAACTCCACCGAATCAGAATAGGAGTTGTGTGGTTTTGGTTTGGTTTGGATAGGAACACTCGCGGTATTAGTATAATTTCTCTTCGATTTATTATTATTAATTTTTTTTTTTTTTTTTTTTTTGGGCTTTGACATTTTCAAATGTTTGGAGTTCAAGGACAGTGACTTCTCAGTTCTTACAAAACGGAAAACATCTTGACAGTGAAATTGGACAGAGGTTTGGAATTTAATCCCACCAAAGACTTGGAAAAAAAGACGTTAAAGGTATACATCAAATTGGACAGGCTTGACTAAATCCATCAAGATTGATTGTTGGGCTTGTGTTGAAAAATAACAATCCATACAACGTTGGATTTAAGCCTTAGCCCAAGACTGTTTATCTAATCCCTTGTCCAAGGAAATGGAACACTACTCTCTAGTTGCTAACCAGGAAAGCAATGTGAATTTGATTTGATTGCAACTTTTCCTCAGGAAGAATTTCGCCTCTAACGTTAGGATTGAACCAGAGACAATCAATAATGAGTAAAAAAAGTCAGGTGTAAGGTACAAGAATGAGGGAGACAATAAAGAAGACTTGATGAAGTTGTCAGGGTTGATGGTGGTTACTGTTAGCCTTTTGAACTCCAAGGATTGCGTCTTTTACATCAGCCACATTCCTCATTCAATCTGCCATGATGCCATGTCCCATCTTTTACTATTGAAATTTTTAGTCACCCCTGTTAGATGCATCGTAGGAGGGATCGGATCCCACTATATTTCAACACCTTACCTTACGCCTGGAAAATCAAATTTGTCAATTAATTATAAAATATTTTGAATTATTATCAATAAAAGATTTTTTTTTTTTCTGATTTGAGTATGTGGTCTGTTTTTTAGTTTGTAATTAAGTTATTTTAATATTATTGATCAATTTCAAGTCGTATTAAACACACATAAGAAACACGTAAAATTATTAAATAATATGCATATATCGTTGTTTTAATGATTTTATATGTTTTTCATAACAGAATAAAAAAATATTAGTTGTGAAAAAAAAATTGGGAATCTAAATATAAAAATAAAAAAATATATAATTTTTTTCTTTTTACCAATAGTTCAAAGTACTTAGCCTTGTAAATTTAATGTTTGGTTTTGAAAATTCTTAGGCACAGTACACTTAAGAACTACACAGTTTTTTTTTTTTTTAATAATATTTAGATTATACTCGAACTAAATTTTACACTGGATATAATTATTTTGATTTTTTTTTTTAAGTTATTCAAACTCGGATCATTATATTTTCGAGAAATTTCTTTTTATGATTTCTTTTGGATTTAAATCCAAACGATACCATAAAAATCAAACCCTCTTGCAATACGAGTTACGACCCCGAGGGTTATTGTCTTTTGTTGGCTGTTCTCATAAGCAATTTTGAATGATGTGTTGATGGGTTAGTATAATGTTAAAATTTGCTTGCCTTTCACTTTCAAGTCTGTAGTTTTAGACATTTCTTTGTCTAGGTCTACTTTCTAGCTTCTCCAAAGTTTTAACATTTACAAAAGCTTTTTCATGAGTTTTCACCTTCAGTTTCATACCTCAAATTTCCCATATTATGTTTGGTTTCCATTTCTTGTTTGGACCTGTTAGTAGTAGAATCACTTTGTTATGCAAGTGATTATCATGGTCCCCCACAGGAGTTAAAGAAACGACCCTCTACCTATTTTCGTTGGCTTATGGCGATCAGTCTCTTGAGACAAACTCTCGAGGGCGGCACTGTCTCTGCATCATCATGATCATTTCACCTTTGCTAAAGGAATGGACCAACTTCGAGAACAGAACAAGGCCAAAACAGCAGGCACGAACTGCACAAACCTCAAACCGGTCCCAACTGTAGTCACATTGCCCCAAAACCTGGACCTTATGATACTTCTTCATATGCATCTTTTGGGTGACCCATGCTAATGATGCTTTAGATGTCTTTCTTGGACCAGAAAGACAAAAAATGGGAACAGCCCTCTCTCCAATGGCTCCTTTATGTCCAATGGCTAGTAGAAACTGTGTCCCACGAGATTAGTGGCAGCAGAATTGTCTACCGATCCATTGCATTTCTTGTTTGAACATATGGTGACTCAAGTTTTCTTGGTGCAGTCTCCAAGCGACACACATGCATCGCACTTACAAGACCAAGTATTTGGCTCAACAAGCTCCCTTAGAATTGCATTAACTCAGTTTAGAATTTGCTAAGTTGAAGCTGTAGCCACGATATGAGCTAAACCCAACTTTGTTCCTTCCTCGGCCTGTTATTAGCCTGTCCACAGAACATTGGTGAGTCTTTAAATCCGGCCCATGTTCAGATGCTCCTATGGGTCAATTTTTAACAAACTTTCTATATTGGCTAATGACAAAACGTGGTGTCATCGCTCATCATTAATCCTAGAAAAATATTTCCTAAGTTTCAGTAGCTAGCTCCCCAAGCTCAATAGAAACTACATTTCTAGCGTGTTTGATAGTGTAAAAGAAATATTTTACAACTCCGAAACTAAATAGAGTTTACGCTGTCATATCCGGTTTGAATTCAAAAGAAACTTAATATTGTTGAGACATTCTAAATTCCAACCAAATGGCGGGCCTCAATCTCATACTCAGTCTCCATGCACAGGACCTGGAAATTTGTCAAGTAACATAGGCAGTTGTTCATGAATTTTCACTGATAGAAGCTGAGGTAAAGATTTGAGTGACTTGACAATATTTCCGGACCATTGCCAGTTTCAAAAGGCTAGATCATAGACCAGTTAAATAAAAGCCAAAAAAAGCTAGTTTTGTGGTCGTTGTGTCATCACACCATTGGTCAATTCTTTTGGTTTCAGGCCATCATTAACTCTCTCTCTCTCTCTCTCTCTATCCACAGTGCTTTAACAGTACCACAAAACCAACAGCCTCTAGACTCAAGCTACAGTTAAAAAATTCTTGTCCATGGCTATGAAACTGTAGCAGTAGCAGTACTCCCTGATCACTCATCATATACCCCAACCCTGCCAAACACCAAGTTGGCGCAAAGCAGTCTACACGTCCACCACAAACAGGCTCGAATGCAAGCCCCACCATTTCAAGGTCCCCAAGGGGCAAGGGATGTACAAATCATCACACAAGACAACTATAAAGAATCAGCAATAAGGGCATGTAGAAAATATATATACGTGGGTGTAGAGAGCTGCAATTTTTTTTGGATTTTTGCTTTTGTTGTTTCTATATAGATATAATCCTTTGTACATAATTCAAGGTACAAAATACTACTACTACAACCTTAATACCAACCCAAGTTAAATTCGGCCCCCTATTGCTTTGGATAGAAATGCCAGTAACATACACAAAAAACCCAACTTTTGTCCCTCATTAAAATCACCCTGGAATGGTTGGTACGTGAACCAAAATTAAGATTAGAAAGCAAAGAAAGAAGGCCCAAAACACCTTTACCTCGCTAACTTACATCTTCCTTTTTGACGTCTCTCCTTTATAGAGAGACTTCAGTCTGCAAATGGGTAGCATTGAACACCACCTGCTGTTGCTGCTGCTGTGGTGATTGTTGCTGCTCAATCTCCCAGCTTGCCTTGGATATAACTCCATCGTGCACAGGCACGTACTCCTAATCAAAACAAAAGACAGTGCCATCATTCACAACCAAACAACACACAAGAAAAAGACATCAAGATGGCAAACTGAGAAGGATTCTTTCTTCAAACATCAGATTGTCTTTTCCATATATGAACTACCGAATTATTTGACCTCTAAAACATAAAGCAAAACCACAGTAACCCACCTCAAGTTTTTGAACAAGTTCTTTGGCATTTGGCGCAGAGACAATGATGTTGCGTTGGGAAGGCTTGATAAAGCCATCATCCACGGCTTTGTCAATGAAAGTCAGAAGATAATTGTAGTAACCATCAACATTAAGTAAACCCACCTGCACATTTTTTTGGAAACAGAGTCAAAAGCTTGAAATAGAGAATCCATGATATTTTGCGGGGCATAAAGGAAACTTACAGGTTTGTCATGGATGCCTAACTGAGCCCAAGTAATCACTTCTAACAACTCCTCCAGAGTTCCATAGCCACCTGCAACCAGAGTAGAGAGATGAAAAAGGAGAAATTAAAACAACATAAACACCATTGATTACTACAAGAACATACAAAAAAAGAGACAAACGTTGTTTGCATGATCTAGTTATCCAGGAAAAGAGAAATGTATGGGACCTGGCAAGGCAATAAAACAATCAGAATTACGGGCCATTTCTGCCTTTCTTTGGTGCATGTCGGCTACTTGTTTTACCTCTCCAACTGTTTCTCCTGTAATCTGTAGTTCCACACACGTATACACATATAAAGATACAATCTTTACTCACACTGAAGCTGAAAGTTTCAAACTTTAGACCCCCGAAACTGAAAAACTACCAAAAACCAAAACAAAACATAAAGAAAATCCATCACAACTGAGATTTTGCACCTCTTTGCTCATCAAAGTCCTTGGTATGATCCTGTAAACAAAACCAACACCAAAATTAGGCTAGTCATGGAAAAAATGAAAAACCAAATAGCATACTCAAACCAGAAAAGGAAAAAAAAAAAAGAGTAGGTATATATTGTACCCAAGAACATTGCCTCCACCACTATGAACAGCTTGAGAAACCAAACCCATGAGGCCAATGCTTCCTCCTCCATACACAAGATCCAACCTTTTTGCCACCTTAAACACAAAAACAAGGAACCCTTTAAATACCCAGCACAAAAATCCCAGATAACAAAAAAGAGAACACAGAAACGTCTAGCCTATGAAATAGTTACCAGCTCCTCTCCTAGTTCAATGGCAGCATCTCTGTAGCAGTTTCTCTTCCCAGTGCTGCTACCACAAAACACACAAACCCTCTTGAATCTTGATGGTATCAATACCTTCCCCTCCATTATCCTGCTCTCTTTTTGCAAAATTTTGGCTTCTAGATCAATCACTAAAACTAAAAGGCGCGTGAAGGTTTTGCGTGTTACTACTACGATGTTAAATAAAACAGAACAGCCACTATTTATAGACACGACAAAACAATATTTAAAAGGAAAACCAAATACTAGAATTAAAAAAACAAAAGGAAAATCAAAAAATCAAAATACTACTACTACAGTACTACATACACACAAAAGAATAGATAAAAGTGGTTGTGATGAAGTAAGACAAAAAGGTCTTAAAGGCAGACAGAATGGGCAGTCTGTGCTATCGACCCATGATTTACACGTGGTTTATTGTGATTCCTCGAACCATGAAGGTTTGATGTTTTTTATTGTAACATTGACATTATCCGATCTCTCTACCGCTCTCTCACTCTGTGACATTTTTAATGCAATGCAATCATAACTTGAAGGCTCAAACACGTGCAGGACTCTCTGCTCAAACATCAAATCAAGATCAATGCTGTAGCATTATTTAAGCATTGGACTGCAAATTTTTTAGGCAGATAGGGTGTAGATGTTTAGATTAGATGAAGAGGCTTGGCCTGATTATTCCAAGAAATGATTTTTTTTTTCAAAAACTAATAATTTAGTATTTATATTTTAAAATTTATTTTTAATTCAGTTTTTTTTTAATTTTTTAAAAAATAAAAGAATATGAAAAGATTATGAGAAAATAAAAAATTTTATGAAATAAAAATAATATTAAATAAAATATATTTAATACTAATTAAAAGATTAACTAATAATTTTTAAAAAAAACTAGAGGGATTAATTTATAATTTACTCATATATCGCCTATGTTATCATTCCCAATATAATTTACTCATATACTGCCTGATATTCATTCCTAAAAAAAAAAACAAAAATAATAATAATAAACCCTATCTGGCTCCCCACTTACTAGCCTTTTTATCCACGCACAAAGCAATGCTCCATCTCACAAGTAAAGTCTTTCTAAAAAGGAAAGCAGAAGGCAACAGAAAACTCTTTCTATAAACAAGAAAAATTATGAGAAGAAGAAGGAGAAGAACTGGGCATTGGAAATATATACATGTTAGAAGTGTCTGCAATTTTCACAATTCTCGTATTCCGACCATTGTCCATGTATATATCTTAATGCACACAATTGATATACAGATATTCTTAGTGGCAATTGTTTTTTCTTTTTTCTTTTCTCTTCTTTTTTTATGAAATCGACCAAATGTTATATTATAGATAGACTAGATTTTCCTAGAAACTCCATAAATCTACATAGATTAGATTTCGCTCAAAAATCAATTACATAGTTTTTTTCTTTATGAATATAAGAGAAGGAAACGGATTTTGACGAAACTAAAAATTTCTTCCATTGAATTTTAATTGAGCCATTCACACTAGAATTATATATGTTTCCGAGAAAACTTTCCTTTTGGAATAACAATTGTTGTCAGTCGTTTTCGACGTCCGAATGTAGTATAACAACCTTGTGGGATGAAAATATATCAGGTATTACGTACACCCAAGTAACCAACCCCACAATAATCAGTTGACGCGCAATGGGATAAGGGACAGCCAAGTAGTTGTAGCAGTTAAGACATCATAATAATGATCAGAATAGTAATGATTATGTTATCACTTACACAATTAATGGGGTTTTAGGCACAAGGGTGCGGTATAAGTTAGTTAGTAATCAATCCTGTTTGCTGCTGAGCCAAATCAAAGATATTGACTCTTGTTCTTTCCACCCTACCGGTAACTATGTATTTAGAACATTACAGTCACTTGTCCTTAAACTTTCACTAGATTTACTTGTCCCCAAAAAACAGGAGTCATGAACTAACACAGCACCTAAAATGCAAACCTTACCTTCCTTATTGAAGAACAATGTTAAAACACTTACTTTAGTATTGCTTTCTTTGTTTTTTTTTTTTTTTTGTCTTATCAATATATCTTTATTTTTCGCTGAAGATGAAACAAATTATTTTTAAAAAAGAACGATAAAATTTAATTTTTTTATAACAATTACGAATTAATAATTCAAAATTTGTATATTGATAAAAAATTTATCTGAAAATCAATTCACTTATTACTCTGCTAACAACTTATTGGTTTTTATTTGTTTGCTAAGAATATAGATTTTTATTTTTATTTTTTGATTTTTCTAATTAATGATGCTTAAGGAATCTCTAGGTAAGCCGATAAATCATTTTTTTGGGGAATCTTAAAATCACAACTCAATACGGATCTTTTAAATAAATTTCATCAAATTTTAAGATTTGAACTACAATAAAATAGAAAAAAATATTTGATCGAATTTAATAACCGATGATTAAGAATATCAACTTCACGAACTCGTAGCAGAATTCATAAAAAAAAAAAAAAAATCTAGTTGTTATTTTTTAATTTTTATTAATAAATTAAAATAGTTTAATCCAAAAACGCAATCGCCATCCTCATTTCTCTAATGCAAACCTTACCTTCCTTATTGAAGAGCAATGTTAAAACAGTTACTTTAGTATTGTTTTCTTTGTTTTGTTTTGTTTTTGTTTTTTTTTTTTTTTTTTGTATTTTATCAACATATTTTTATTTTATATTAAAAATAAAACTAATTATTTAAAAAATATATATATAATTTAATTTTTTTTGTAAGAAATACGACTTCATAATTCGAAATTTATAAATTAATAGAAAATTTATCTAAAAATCAACTCATTTATTATTATGCTAATAACTTGTTGGTTTTTTCTTCGTTTTCTAACAATATAGATTTTTATTTTTTGGTTTTTCAGATCAATGATGCTTAATGTATCTTTAGGTAAGCTTGTAAATGCTTTTTCTTTAGATAATTTTTAAATCACACCTCGGTATGGATTTCCTAAATAAATTTCATCAAATTTCAAGGTTTGAACTAAAATAAATAGAAAAACATATGATCCAGATAATTAAGAATATCGACTTCACGATTCATTAAAAAAAAATCTAATTTTTATTTTTTAAATATTTATTAATAAATTAAAACAGTGTAATTCAAAAAAGCAATTGGCATCCTTATTTCTCTAATAGAAATCACAAGAATCGTCCTCTCATCATCCTCTTTATTGGTCACAACTTGTTACGAAGGCATGTTCGGTTATTGGAAGGACAGAGGGGCCATGGGACCCACTGAATGAGAATTTTTGTGACTTTAGGATTGGGGCTGACGAGCTGATCAGAGGGAGAGAGTAGCACGTTTCCATTTAATGCTCCTCCAGATGGACCCATCACGGTATGTTGTTGTAGCCTCCGTGTCAACATCCTGCTATGGTTGAGGTTGTGATGGGATTCACGTGGGCCCACTTTATGTTTGCTGCTGCTTGGTAAAGGGCTCAATATTGAGCTTAAGCAGGAAATGGATAAAAATGTATGGGGCCAATTGCAACCTGCTTGGAAAGATGGAATCTCCTAATCCAAGGGGAAAGATTCTATATTGACTTTACAACTCAGGATTTTTTTTTTAAAGTATAAGTATATAAAAAAGTTTGAATTTCTTCAAAACTCTCGGTAATTATTATATGTTTATTTATTCTCTTTCTTTCAAACAAATTGTTTCCGTTTTTATTTATATTTTTCTCAAAATTTTCGTATGATCAAAATTTTTATTTTATAGTACAAGATTAAATTAGATATATTTTCTATTTAGGTAACAAAAATATTGATATGACATTGTAAATAATAAATTTGTCAAACGGTATGAAAAGTCAAAAAACGATAGAAGGAGTATATGCTTTAACAATTAATAAGTTAGTTTAATTACAAATTATTAAACATTATATAAAATTTTAAAAATTAAATATTTTAATTTAATAAACACTAAAGATATATATTTATAAAAAATTCAAAAGTAATCTATTAGAGATCCTAAACAAAATAGTTAATAGTTGTATACTACACGTGTTAAAAACCTAATTTAATTAAAAATATTTTTTAATTGGATAAAAAAAAAACTCATATTTTCTTACAAATAGGGAAAAAAATTATACGGTAACGTGATTGATGAGTTTGTCAACTCAATTATATTGAATTGTCAAAACAGAATTAATATAGAAAGACAAATGCTCAAGAAAATCAAGTAATTTGAATTCAAGAACAACACAAAGATCTTACCTTAGCCATCAACAAGTATTCCCCGTAAATAAATAATAATTGTGTTCACGTTAACACACTGAACATCATTATCGAATAATTATGTCAAGAAAAAACAGTAGATCATGCTACTACTGTATAAATAACTTTATACTTTTCTTCTTTTCAGCATAATTAAGGCCATTGAAACAGTTACAGTGAAGCAAGCAGACAAATGCTCATGTATTGTAATTTTCTTGAAGCAGTAGACAAGCACATAAATGAGGACAGAAGCAAAGGAAAAACAAGTCCAAAGTCCAACATCATTTGTTGCATCATTACCTACATTCTACTATTTAGCTCTTAACATTTGTAACATAAAGAGCAGTAATTAAACTGTTAAAGCATGTCAAGTTGGAATGGCAACAGCCTGTTAATTAGTATTTATAAAGGACATGGCCCATGTTGAAGAAAGGGAAATTATCAGTGTTGTGCCCTAGCTTTAGCTATCAAAAAATGACGAAACTACAGTGAATCACTGAGGGTTGTTAAATGCATCGCCATGGTAACTTAAATTGGTTGTGTAAAAAAGGACTGAGCAAGGTATGGTAAATGGTAATGGCACACTGAGCAAGAACGGCGCAATGATTGTTCTGCGCCGACTCTCATGTACATGGACTGCATATCCATTGCTGAGTTTAATGGCTTGTCGCTCACTGGTGAAGTGGCTTTAGCATATTGAGGTCCCCTCCTTTTGGTTTATTGATTGACGAGGGAGGCTCCTACTTCTTCTCGTTGTTGTTATAAAGATCATTGATGTTGTGCAACGCCATGCTAGCGAATTAGGTTTTTAATTACAGTAAAAATAGACCGCTATTGCAACGACGTCAATCAATGGAGGAGGAGGAAGAAGAAAGAATAGAAAAACCATTTTCCTAACTATTATGTGCAGAAGAGTAGGAGTAAATTATAAATTAATTTTTTAAAAAATTTTAAGAAAAAATAAATTAATTTTCATGTTTCAAAATTAATTATTTAGTTTCTTTATCGGTATTAATTATATTTAATTTCATGTCATCTTACTTTAAAAATGTGTTTTTTCATCTATCTTTTTATATATATTTTTTTATTTTGTAAAAGAGAAAAAAATTAAATTAAAAATAACATTAAACATAGAAAGCAAAAAAAAGTATGAGTAAATTATATATTAGTGTATCAGTTTTGAGAAAAGAATTATTTAATTTTTTATCCGTATTGATCATATTTAATTTAATATTACTTTACTCTAAAAATATTTTTTATTAATATTTTAAAATTTATTGTTTTTTATTTTTTAAAACAAAAAAAATAAAAAGAAGATAACTGGATAAAAAATATAAATAATTAGATTTGAGAAAAAGATTAATTAATTAATTTATTAAAACTAGAGGGATTAATTTATAATTCACTCAGAAAAGTATGATACGTAATTTTAGGCGGCTTTCGCATAAAAATCACTGTTCTACTCCAACTTTTCATTTGTCCAGTTAATTCAAATGTCAGAAAAACAGGCCATTGGCTAATTCTCTACCTTTCTTGCACGCATGCATGTGCCACAGCCATTGAGCCATAGCATCTCTCAGTGCCAAGAAATGAAGTTAGCTAGGATTATACAGGCTGCGTTAATCCCAAATATTTTTAGCCGTCAGATTCTACCAATTATATAAAATATTGAAATTTTCAGGGAAGGGTGTGATTTTCAAGGACATCAAAAAAGTCGAATCATTAGGCACTTTATCAATATAGGGGCTCGAGCTTGAGTCTGATACATACCCTCAAGACCCTGATTTGTGACCATCCTTTTGATTTAACTTGTTTCTGCCAAATCATTTTTTGTTTTTTGATTGCCGTGCCTCTCAGTGATCTCTTCATTCTTCCCCGTTAGCACCAATAATATATACATAGAGACAGATATTGTAATGGTTTAAAATTAGTTTTTGCATCAACATACGATACTAATAAATCTATATTTTTTTTTATTAGATCATCAGTCAGATTAGGTATAGTCTTTAGTTGATTTTAAAATCTGATTTTTTTAACTCTTCAACAGTATATATCTTTAAAAAAAAAAGAATTAGAGATATTTTTTTATCGCACTATCTATAATTTTCAATAATAAAAGTAATTTTTCTTAAAATCTCTTTTTGTAGTCATCGTAAGTTGCTGCAGGACTATTGTGAGAATTTTTCTTTGTTTTAACTTTGTCCGGGATTAGAACGATGTGGAAGAACATTTGAACTTTTTTCTCTTTCTATACCACCAAATTTCAACTATGTTTTGTAATTGAGAATCTTTTTTCTCATGAAGCATCAGTTAATGGAGTTTTTCCTCAAATTAGTTTTTTAAATTAAATTTCTTTTCCAACAATAGCTTTTAATTATTGAACACCTTTTGAGATTTCAATGGGAGAAAAGGCCACGTTTCCTTACATTTCTTTATATTTACATTTTTTTTAAATCATATGTTTTTAATTTGATTCGATCACCAATTCTTAAAAAAAAAAAAATTATTCAATCACTGAAATTTATTGTCGACATGCTTTAATGTTTCAATTCCTGAATAATTAAGTTGAGTTGTATTTTAAATAATTCTTGTTAAAAGAAAAGAAAGATGTTAGCCATGATATGATACTTTTTCAATTGTTTCAAGATAAATTTACAAAGGAAAGCAGCTAAAACCACCTCGAATCCATTCCTTTCCTTGTTCTTTATTGGAATTCTAACATGTTTTTACCATGGGGTAGGATTCTAAACTCTGATCATTGGAATAATTGTGTCGTAGTTTTTGATAATGAATAAAAAGAGCAGCGGAATAGAATCTTCAAAGTATGATCAGCACCAGCATTTTATGGTTCTGTTAATTCAGAACAAATGAAAGATTATTGTTTTCTTTTAGCAGGGATTCTTTACAAACATGTCAGTCCATGGATTGCAACATGTTACTGCACAGGGAGAAGGATGTCCTCCTAATTTATACCAAACCATATTAATACTCCCGTAGTAGCATACTATTCAAACGAATTTAGCCTTTTGTGGTGTCTATTTTTCATTCAAACCCTAATTTTCTTTTGTCATGTAATGTTATAGAGTGATGCTTTTTCTTTAGCTTTTGCTTTTGAATGTACACTTCACCACGATGGGTGAAAGTGAGAGGTAAAGGGATTGGTACGTGCATGACTTGCTTTAACATGGATTTAAAAAGAGAAAAACTTTTTTGATTATGTAACTAAAATTTTAGAATCTTGCTCTTATAGTGTGCGTAAAGGAGTTTAATTAGTATCTTTGAACTACATGTCCAAAGGCGGTTCCAAAAAAATTGAAAATTACCCATAGGACGAAGCAAAAAGTTTACCTATGAATGTTTTTCTAGAGATGCTTTGCAATGTTCTAGATGATTTGCTTTCCAATCATTGACTTCATTATCAAAGTGTAACATGGAAAGAAAATTTCGAATAATCAAAGGTTCTTAAATCTTGCAAGTGGAACATTATTGTTTTAATTTATCAAAACCGTAATATTCTGTAAGTCATGACATCTCCATGCATGTATCGTCTTAAGATATATTTTTACGTTTTTCCTTTTTCTTTTTTATTTGTACATTAAAAATGAGTTTGTTCTCTTGTTTCTTACTTGGAAAATGTGAAAACAATTTATGTATATAGTTAATAATAATTATTATTAAATTTAGACATGACATAACTGATTTTTCTGAATCATTCAAAATTATGATTATCATTTAATTTTTAAAAAACTAAACCACCATGAATAGCACCTCCAATGTTCCTTTAATCATTCAATTCACATTAACAAAATGTAATAAATAATTGAGGCATTATGGAAAATAGACCACTCAAAAAGAAGGACATGAATGCAATAAATTAGACAATTAAAAATTGTACCGAGAATAACTTTTCGAGTTGGTTTGGCAATTCTTTCCCACGTGGTAATACTGCTATTTATTGATAATACCACTACAAAATCTAAGAAAATTAATTTAAACAAAAAAAATTATAATCCGTAATTATTTAAATAAATAATTTTAATTTTAAATTTATATATATATATATATATATATAATTTAATAGTTTTATTCATCTTATGTATTTGACTAAACGTGAAAAAATAATCTGAAACTTTAAATTTAAGATCTCCTTAAAAAAAAATTAATAATACCACTAAAAAATAACAACTACCAAATAATGCAATAACAAGCATGAAGGGGATATCTAGTTGACTAGGGGTCAAAGCATTCAACTTGACTGGGTCAAAGATGAGACATCTATCCGCCTTTGTACCCACCTTTGTCGATAATATACCTAATGGATTAATACCTAATCTCATGCTTTTTTGAACTTAGATTCTCATCTACAATATCCTACACTCTCTATGCTATACGTGCTTACCTTACTAATCATCAAAGCAAACTGATTATTATTAATATTTATTTCAACACAAAGACTCGTGCAGGTTTGGCCAAGCAATTATGAAGTTGATAACTTATTTTACAAAAATAAAGATGAAGCCTACCGATTGTAATTTTCGGTCATTGCCAAAAAAAAAAAAAAAAAAAAAAAGAATACAAAACATTATAGGCAAACATGTTCTCTTCTATGGGGAAAAAGGAAGGAAATATTTGATGCTGGGCCAGCTTGAAATTCATCACGGAGATAAGTAGAAGTTACAAAATCTGGGCCTTCTTTAACTTTAACCCTTCTTCAATTGCATAAACAAGGGACCATAAATGTTTCATTAATCTTTTTTTTTCCATTACCTATTTTATCGATCCCACATACATTAAATGTGCCAAACCTCCGGTGAATTTTAATTCATTTAAAAATCAGTCTTTAAATTTTTAATTTCGAGTTTAACTTTTTCTAAACTCTATTTTTTTTTAAAAAAATTTTGAATTGAAATTTTTCACACACTTTGAGAAAAATTCAATACATTTTCTAAAAATATCTCAAAATTTTAAAGATCAAGAAGTATATATATATTTTTTATTTTTTAAATATTAAAAATTAAAAAAATTGAGAAAAATAAAAAATAAATCCAGAGTGATCCTGGATTTTTTTTGGGAACCCCAAGTAAAATTATTGAATGATTTCATCATGAGATTGTTTGTGTTATCATTATTTTTTTTTTACAAAAAAACTAAAAAAAAATACTAAATCAAAAAAAAAAAAAATCGGGAAAAATGAAACCTGAAATTTAAATTTCATGGACTGATTTCAAATAAGTTGAACTTTAGAAAAAGTTTGACACATTTAGTCTTGTACATATTTTTCTCACAATAATATTTAATCTATTTATAAAATTACCCAAGATTTGAATAGTTCACAAATTACAGAAAAAGTACAGGGCTCCTGCATTTGAGGTGGCGAGTTAATAAACTTAAATAATTAAAGTTTAATTGTGACATACTGACATAGAGATCAGATAATTCGGACCACAGTGTTCATTCTCAATAAGTTTCTAATATTTGTTGAATTTCGTATTTTTAAGCCCAAAAACAATTTAGCCCTACTCTCCACTGCTGCTAACAAGTTAGGTCTAAATCATATATACCCTTGAAATGCGAATATCGGGCTTCTAGAATTTTTTGGTAAAAAATGGGCTATTGGGCTAGAACAGAAAGCCTAATAATGTGCTCTTAAGACCATGTTAATTAACCGATGGCTTTTTTTTGGGCTTTGAGTTTCCATCGTTTCATGACCGACTAGCAATGAACCATTCCTTCCTGCCCAAAATTTCTGTCAAACTAAGGCTAACGTTTGCCCAACCTTGAGAGAGAAGGGAAATTGATTTAGTGGAGGTAGAAAACACAAATATGTTTAACACCATGAAGGATGCGTAAGATGGACAAATGCTCTCATACTCAGAAAGTTTAAAAAATTTGAACATGGAAACTTAGTTGCTACTGCTATAATATATTCTACCAACTTTATAGAAACATTCTTCTGCATTATTGAATTCCGTTCTGAAGAATTAGATCAAACTCTATGCGTATAGATATATTCACATTAGCAGCGGGAAGAACCCTCATTTCCAATTCCCATCGTCACATGGAGAGCAACCCTCTTGTGCAATATCGGTAATTTGGACTCCGGCGTCATATGTCATCCCAGGCTTCCAATTTTCAGGCAAGACATTCTGAGCCCAAATCCACTTTCCATCAAATCCTGCTGTTATTACAAATCTGAATTGAAGTGCCCCTGCTGGAACTCTGTCTGAGTCCCATACTGCCCCATGATTCCGGCTCATGAAACCCCAATTTGAAGAACCAACCTTGGGAAGTTTAGCAAAACCAACCAAAAGTCAGCATAGTTTTTAAACATTATATATATATACAATTGGCAATGTAATCTACTCCATTCTGGTAAAGTTAAAGCTAACCTTAGCAAAGTCAATGGCTACCACTTCCGTCTGACCACCTTGATACAGCAATTTAATGGCCAAATAATTTGGGTTTTTGCTTGATTCTTCTACTCGAACAGCCAAATTCTGATTTTTGTACTCACAAGGCACCCTGATCAATAAAACAAAACAGATGCAAATTAGAATAAGAGTACTCATCATTTTTCTTTTTTGGCACGAACTTTCATGAACATAAACAAAATTTATCTAGTAAAAATTTCAAATGGTACACTTTTTTAAACTACTCTAATGTAAAATTTATCCAAATATATATATATATATTTTAAATATTCTATTACAGTATGAAAAAAAAAAAACCAAATGTTATAATAATTAATTTTTTTTAATCCGTGTAAAATTTTTTTAAAAAATTAGGATGAATGAAGTTTTTTTTTTTTTTTTTTTCGATGGAACCCTAAAGTATAGACAATGCTAGTTGTATAATTTTTTTCCATGCAAATGCCCTTAATTAATAGTCATGTTACCTTATGATTTTATGGACAGCACTACATACACATTTGACCGTTACTAGCATTTAATGTTCTGGTTTTTTGTCTGAAGAAATCGGGGCGACTATAATGGATAAAATTATAAAAAAATTTGTCAACGTCATATTTTATTTCTTTATGTGGCTAGTATAACCAAACCATTACCATAAGAATCAAACTTAAAAATAAATAAATAAATCATGTTGATAAATTATTTAATCGATCATTGTTTTAACCAAAGAGATCCATTATCTATCATGATAATTAATATAAATAAATATGGTAATATTATATGCTCTCACCTTTTATATTCCACGTCCACAATCCCAAGTCTCAAAACGTCCAGACCCATACCCTTTTTGGCCATGGCCGTGAAGGCTCTGCTACTAAGAACAAAGTCTGTTCGGTTATTATGATTCAGATCAGTCAAGATCACTCTGGTCCCTTTGCTACTACATAAAGCTGCGTTTTTGCATCTTATCTGCCAAAAACAATCGATAATATGATCAATTAGCTCAGAATTCCACAAGAGGAAAGGCAAAAAAGTGGTGTGGTTTCTAGGACTAACCTGAAAACAAGCACCACATCCAGCTCCATCTTTGTAAAGAGAAGAAACACCACCTGCAAGGTATCCACTATTAAATCCTATTGCCGTGGAGCCATATCCACATGCCCCAGCTGCACCAAAACAAAATATCATCACCAGTTAAAAATCCCATTAATGAAATATGATAAGAATAGAGAAATGAAATTAAAACGAAAAAGAAAGTTATTCTTACATGAAAGTGCAGAGGCTTTGGAGAAATATGCAACCTTAGATTGGTGGACGCAACGATCACAAGCAGTAGCAGAGGAGATAATCAAGAAAAGAAAGCAAAGAAAGATGGCCATTAATTTTGTTCTTGAAAATCTCACAAAAGAAAGAATAGAAATTAAGCAATGTAGCGTGAGTAATCTAGAGAAGAAAAACAGGATTGAGATGAGAGAAAAGACGGGAGAGATGAGGTACTTATAGGGTAGTGAATATGACTGTAGTGTTGGACAACAGGTCAGCATTAGACAAAAGAAAAATTGAAGTAAATCTCGATAAACTTTAATATCTTACCATAAGATATAAATTAAGATTAAATGGTCAAAATCTTTCCTGTCATTTGATTTAGTCCTTCAAACTCCTAAATTTGCATTTGACTAAATTACAAGTCAACATCAGACAGAAGAAAAATGAAGTAAAACTTCATAAACTTTGATATCTTACTATATGATTTAAATTAAGGTTAAAGAGATAAATCTCTCCTAAACGTTTAAGAAGTTGACAATTAGTTCTTTAACTTTTAATTTGAGACTGAACATGTTTTTGAACTATTTTTCATTTGAAATATAGTTTTTCTGTTACAAATTTATGTCAATTTTAATATGTAAATATAGTTTTATAATAGTTAAAAAATATATTAAAATTCATGAATGTTTTCTTTTATTTTTTGAAACTTATATATATTAAAATTGATGAAAACCTAATAAAAAATAATTGTCATTTGATAATCAGTTTCTTTATTCGAAAACCCAAGTCATTTGATAATCGATCTCTCAATTTTTATTTGAAATTGAAATTTTTTTCTAATCATTGTTTATTTAAAATTAAATTTTTCTATTAGATTTTTGTCAATTTTAACATATAAGTGTAGTTTCATAACAATTAAATAATATATCAAAATTTATAAATGTTTTACTTTTTGCTCTAAAAATTACTCATTGAATTTGACGAAAAAACTAATAAAATTTTTTATTTTTAAATAGAAAATAATTAATAAGAAATATAATTCGAAATTAAAAGTGAAAAGACTTATATTTATATAATTTACAATTCAGAAAAACCTGAAAAGATTTGTGCCGTTTGAATATAAATTAAAAACAAACATGGACCTCTAATGTAGGTTTTAGAGAGGAGGAAAGAGAAAAACGCGGCTACACAGGGTAGAGAAATGATGGGGTCACGCACCGACTCTTTGTCTATGCACTTACAGCTGTGGAGTGACAACATGCGAGACCATAATTATATGCAAGATAGGATGGTGGATTTTGTGCCTAAGGACAGATTGCTTTTGGTATTCTTAGGAGAAGTTTCTTGCTTCTTTCCATTCCCTGCATAATCACACTTTTGATACTTTGAGAGAGAGGTTACCTATAAACCAAGTAAAATTGTTACAAAATGCCCGGAAAAAAAAAAAAATACTGAACTCTTGACCTAGCTTCAAATTTGGGCCATGTTTGTAAAACTTTAATAAAAATACAAAAAATTCATTAGCCTAAACTTTTACTAATAGTCTAATGCCATTCAAATTTCATGTAGAAATTACCCTTCCTCTTTATGTTATCCTCTTATATTTGAATTTAATTTTTAAAACAAAAATTACTGATAAAAAGTTAATTCAAAATATTTTTAGGAAAAAAAAAGGAAAAAGAAATCTTATATAGTCTATGTTTTACAAAGTATTGTACTAGTGAATATAAAATCTTCTAATTTATTTGAGAAGCATCAATTATATGTGTCTACTAAAAGTTAAATTCTTCCTCAATGCATGATCAAAGAAGTGGGCTTTGCAAGTAATAAATTATTGGTTTATTGATAAGAAAGCTGATCCTAATATAAAATATTTGAATTTTATAGTCATATTTATTGAGAGGAATCAAATCTTATTATTATTATCTCAAATATGATTAATTTTACTGATGAAGATATTCAAAGAAAAAAAAAGAATGGGAATTAGAGAGTCAAATGAGAGATTGATTAATTGATAATTAATTTGGTGTTTTAACAATAATTTTGCCATTTTGTGATCCTCATTAAAGGTGCTTACGTGTATGGTCACCAAAAATAAAAGAAACGAACATTTTGGAGGATAAGAGGTTGGTGAAGGTGATCATTGCTTAATAAAGAGTAGGAAGATAAGAACAAATGTGCTTACCCAAGTCCCATTTGCCAAGCAAGAATATTGCCAAAACCCAACAGCTGTGGGCTGTGGCTGGTTTAATATTTACAGAGCTTCCTGTTTCTTTATCCTCGTATTAATATCACTTATCTCCCTATATGGTAGGGTAATCACGTGGGAATAAGATATGAGTTAAAAAGGAAAGATTTTTTTTATAATTATCCATAGCTTATTAGTTGGATAATGCCAAATATTTACAGCCAGACATATTTGGAAATGGAGTTAAGAGAGATCTATGAAATAAACCATCAAGGATATGAGGAAATTTATCTTGGTTTGCTCAAAATTGAAACTTAATTTTTATTATTCATATATAATTTGTTATAATTATTATTTAAAGATATTAAAATTAGATTGATTTGGTTTAAGATGCAATCAAATGATTGATAAAAAAACAATACATATTTTAATATTAATCTAGTTTAAAAAATAATAAATTTAATTTTAATCAATATAAAAATTGATTCGATAATTTTTTTAATGTATATATGTGCGCGCGCGCGCGCGCGTGTGTGTGTGGAGGGTTTTATACATTTATGATGGTGGAGTCATTTCATTCATTGATAAATTTGTGTCCTTATTTTGTAGACAGATGGGATTTTTCACTAGAAGCAAGAGGCCTAATTTTTCTAATGTGATGGAAGCGAGTAATTGGGACATAATATTTCATATGAGACAATGGATTCTTCATGGATCCACTGCCCACCAATTCGTCTGACTTTTGCCCTTAGCTGGTTTGGTCACTTTTCTTTCCAGTAAAGTCAAAATTTCTGTGTTCAAACCGTCGTTTTCAAAGATAGGGGATGCTAGCTAGGGACATTTGGCATCCATTTGGGATTCCTAGTGTATACCACTAAAATCAGACACCATCAGTTTAAGACCACTGGATCCAGCTGTCCTACCCTGGACATGGTTGCTGTACTTTTTTTGGGTTTTAGGAGGTTGTTTCTGGTCGTATGCCAACCGACCATGGATCTCTTTATAGCAATGGAAATTGCAGCTGGTCCATGATGTCCGATGCTTGGAGTTCACATTAAGTTTTATAATTAAGAAGAACAGCCTCAGTGTCAGACACCATCCCCGATCTATACACTCCCACTGTTCTTTTCCCCCTTGACTTCTCTTAGAGAGAAAATTTCTTTAGATATAAAAAATAGCTGTTCTTTAGTGGCATTTTCAGTCCCTCTACAATATCTGCTCTGTCAATTTCAACCTAGTAGTTTGAAAAAAATTCCAATTGAGTAAATATTCAGCAAGTCTTTTTCTGTAATAGCTAGGGATGACAATAGATCATATATAAAACGGATATCCATTTTACCTGCTCTAATAAATATCCATTAAAAATGTTCAATGAATCATTTTACATGCTCTAATAAATATTTATTAAAAATGTTCAATGAATATTTAAGTTAGTAAGAATAAAAAAATATATAACCACTGATATAGTTTCGGGATATATATAATAGTTTATTTAGATTTTTTTATTAACATGTAAGATTTAGTTGTATAAAATTAAGGATTAAAATATTTTTTTTGAAAACTTTGAAGACCAAAAAAATTTATAAATAAATGATCAAACTGCAAAAAAAAAAAAAAAAAAAATTAAATTTTTAAGGATAAAAAACATTTCTTAAAATTTATAAAAATTAAAATAAAATATTTTTGATAAATTAAATTTAACAGATATTTAATATGTGTTAAATGAGCAAATAAACTTATATAGGTCATATATGAATTGGATAAAGATTTATACAATGATAATTTATTGATGAATAATTGATAGGATATTCTTTTGATGGATAAGATAAAAAAATTAAATTAGTTAGCCGGGAGCCCATCCGTTACCATCCCTTGATGGCCATGGTTCTTTGAGGACAACAAAAATCTTTAGTTCCAGTAATACTGCAACTCTCTTATAGCCTGATTTCTCTAAAGATTTTCATAAATGGTGTCAGCAACAGTGTGTCCTTGGAGGGTAAGAACAACAGTATTACAATTCCACGTTTACTGAGTACTGTAAAATTCAAGCCTCCATTTAGAAGAAACTTGCCAAAAAATTTCAGACTCACCATATAGCTCACTAAGCTTTGAAAGAAAATGGTGTTGGAGTGCAGGTTGGCTTACATTTCCTTCCTCCTCCCCTCTCGTTTTCCATATACATATCTAAATATAGAGATCTACAGAGAGAGAGAGAGAGAAGAAGCATTTTCACTACCTATTTCATTGCTGTTTGTTTGTGTTAATATAAGGAAGTGTGCCTATCCTAGCAGTTGTGACCAGGCAATTGATTTGGAGTATACAAAAGCAAGAATCGCCCTACGGAAACTCTGAAACAGGACAAATGAGAATAAATGAGCTACTCAGCTTGCCTTTTCAGTTAGAATCGAAATAAGATCTGTCCGAGCTTTTTCCAGGGCGCTTGGCAAGTTCTCAGGCTTCCTCCCTCCTGCCTGAGCAAAATTAGGCCTGCCACCACCTCCTCCACCACACAACTTTGCTATAGGTCCTATAAATTTCCCTGCCAGCACACCCAAATCAACTACTCCGGGAGTAAATGCAGCAACTAAACTCACCTTCCCTTCATCTGGACAGGAGCCCAAAATTATGGCAGCTGGATCTTGCAATGCATGCATTAGATATTCAGCCGCACTCTTGAGTGCATCAGCATCAAAATCATCCATTGACTCGACCAGGACCCTGATATGCAAATTTTATGAACATAATAAAAAAATCAGAGTCACTCATTTGACCCAAATCAAGATGAAAGTATTTAGCACGTTCGACAATTAGATTGCATATTGGCTAACATTTTTAAAGATGAGGAATGACCTATCACAATCGGCAGAACCAAGTGAAACAGCTACATTTTACAAGTCTGCAGAGCTAACATACAAATCATAGATACAGATGATGTTTACTGATACTAGGAAAAACTAGTGTAAGATGAATAGAAACAAGGTTGATTTAACTCTTCATGTGTTGGGTGATATGATACTAGGCATATTTTGAGATGCGAGAGTTTAGCCACAATAAGCACTATAAGCATGTACATGTATGCATTCAAGAAGCACCATTCACCTGATTGATTTCGAAGTTCCCACTGAGAATGCCTTGCTAGCAATAATTGATGCTTTGTACACTGCTGCTTTTGCACGCAAAGCAGAAATTTCATTTCTTGCCATTCTTAACTCCTCTAAGAGATTATCCACCCTGGTTGTCACCTCTTCTGCTTTCACCTTCAAATGCAGCATTGAATACACATAAAAATTAATCTTCAGCTTGGAATTGGAAGCGCAAATCTTAAGAGCCAGAAAGGATTCAAAACCAAAAGCAAGCGCCAGAAAAATCCATGTTACCTGAAACTAACTACAGAACCAACCTCCCACCAAAAAAAAAAAAAAAAAAGAAGAAGAAGCAACCATTATGGTTTACCACCAGATTATACAACCACCCTTTCCCTTGTGTAAGTAAATTCTCTGGTTTTACTTCCTCAGGATATATGGCATCTCTTGTTAGAACAGTATTAGTAATCTGATTATGGAAGTCCAAAGTTGGCACAACTGTGGTCTGCATGGTAAATTTCCCACTAAGGAACAGTAGAGGTGAGCTCGGTTTCATTATTTAATGAAAGAACAGCATTAAAAGAAATTTGAAAAATGTGAGTTACAAACCAAATACAGTTCTTTTCCTAATGAGAATATAAGAAGATTTTGAATATGAAGCTCTATGCAATGAAGGGACTCAAAAGTAGCTGAGTCATGCCCAACAAAGGGAAATAAATGCAGCCTAAGAGAAAGCTAGTAGTAGACTAATCTTGTGCTTGCAATAGATATATGCCTGCGTAAGAACACGACATCTTCCTTTATCTATATGCAGATCTGGATATACAAATATGTCAAATGCAGGATGGTTATGTTTAAATAACACACAGAGAGGCACAAATATATATTTGGAATGATGCAGAATAGATGGAAAAAATATCAAATATCCAATTAGAGGAGCGAAACAAATACCTACTTTGAGAGTGGAGCATAAAAGTTTCATCTGGGAATCTCTTGCATTAATGTATTCAATGAAAGCTTCACCAGCCACAGCTTCGATACGTCTGATTCCAGATGCAATACCCTGTTCAGAGATGATTTTGAAGGCACGTATTTCAGAAGTGCTGCTCACATGGGTTCCACCACAAAGTTCCATGGATACACCAGGAACTTCTACGACGCGCACCTGCAACACATCAGCATACATAGAGATATAAGAACTTGTGAACCTGTTTCCTTTGGTGCTTGATATTGTTGGTTAGTATCACTGTTCAATTTTAGGTATGCCACAAATACTTGGAAACTCTATGAGAAGAAGATACGATAAGCTACACTTGTACCTGCTCCCCATATTTTTCTCCAAACATTGCAATGGCCCCAGCTTCTTTTGCATCAGTAAGTGACATCACCTTAGTCTGAAGAAGTGTTCCGTTCCCGATCCATCCATTTATCATATTCTCAATTTCCTCCAGCTCACTGTCAAGAAGTGGTCGATGGAAGTTGAAATCAAATCTGAGACGATCAAAGGCGACCAGTGAACCAGCTTGTGATGTTTCCTGGCCAATAACTTTCTTAAGTGCTGATTGTAGCAAATGAGTAGCAGTATGATGAACCTGCAAAATGTCACTTGAACAATAAGATGGGAGGCTTTCAAGCTAGACAAATGGTTGCATACAAATATCATGTCATTGTATATTAGCAACACATTTGACAAAATTCAGTTTATTTTTTTTAGTCAATATATGGGTTCTGCTTGAAGGTAAGCACTTGTAGATGTAAATTAGAATTTTAACCAAGCTCATGCAGTGAGCATCTATTACAGCAAAATGAGAGGTGATCCATGGTTAAGCACCTTAGCTCGCTGCCTCAATTTTGCATCTACTGCAGCTTCCACTTCTCTTCCGACCTCTAGAACTCCTTCTCTAATAGAACCCTTATGAACAAATACACTACCTAGAGATTTTTGAACATCTTTAATTTCCACAACAGCTGTGTGTTTGCTTTGATCTTCTGTAACATAGAGAAATCCATGATCCCCAATTTGACCACCAGATTCAGCATAAAATGGTGTCTTGTTTAGCAAAATTTCTACTTCCCTTCCTTCAGAAACCTGTATCACTGGTTTCCCATTTACCAAGAGGCTTTCAACTACTGCTCTTGCAGAAAGTGTATCATATCCTAGAAATTCAGTATCACGAACATTTTCAGCAGGATCCCCTCCATTTTCAACTGAAAGTTTAACAACATTGTGTGCAGCCTGAGATTGACGCCGTTGGTTTTCCATCTCAACTTCAAAACCATCCATATCAATCTTGACACCACGTTCTTCAGCAACTTCTGTGGTTATCTCCACTGGAAATCCAAAAGTGTCATACAATAGAAATGCATTCTTCCCAGATAAGCAAGGTAAAGCTCCAGTTTTTTTAGCATTTAATAGTGCTTCTGCAAGCATTTGGTCGAGCAACTTTTCTCCTCTCTCTAGTGTCTGCACAAAACGAAGCTCTTCCTTTTGCAACTCATCAAGAATGCGATGTTCGCTAGCCTTTAGATCAGGATCAATATCGGTGCTCAATTCTATTACTTTTGCAGCAATTGCTGGTAAAAATGCTCCTTCCTCACCATCCCCCTTTACACCAAGCAATCTTCCAGTACGAACAGCTCTTCTTATAAGCCGACGAACCACGTAGCCTCTACCAATATTTGATGGGAGCACTCCATCTGATATGAGATATACAATTGCACGCAAATGATCTCCTATAATCTGAAAACAATAAAGAACTTCAGGACTTTGTTGAATAAAATTTTGGACATGAAGCAGGTTATGTAAGCAGTAACGTACTTTAAGGCTCGTTTTTGTTTGATCATTGGCTAGAGCATATGATACATTTGCCAATTCTGCAGCCTTCTCTATAATTGGATAAATCAAGTCAGTTTCATAATTGTTTGGAACCTGCAGCAAAATGAGACTTGAAAATATTAATTCTGAAGCAGATGAGCAATACAAATGTTGCTATAGATATATGCCATTGATGAAACGAAGTCCACTATTTAAAGACACCTCTACAGAAATATTAAAATTTATTTCTTTTTATTTATTTTACATGCAAAAGAAAGATAGTGAACTTTCAAGTTTATGATGTGGGAAAACTTATGAGTACCTTTTGAAGGATGCGAGCCAAACGCTCCAAGCCAAGACCAGTATCTATATTCTTTTGTTTTAAGGGTTCGAGCGATCCATCATCCATTTTATTGTATTGCATGAAAACCAGGTTGTAGAACTCTATAAACCTACTATCATCTCCAAGATCCTGCAATTAATCATCCAGAACAAACAAGAAAAGATAAAGCACTAGCAAGAGAAATTCTAGCATCTTAAACTTTCAAACCCTCCCCCTCCTCCTTGATATAAAAAAGGAAAAGGAAAGGAAATCATACTACATACGGTATCCTTATATCCCCTTTCAGGATGGAAATCATAATAAAGCTCAGAGCATGGACCACAAGGTCCAGTGGCACCACTGGTCCAAAAGTTGTCTTCTTCACCCATTCTCTTTATACGTTCAACAGGAACACCCACCTGATGCAAAGTTATTTTTAATACTTGAAACTTTTCTGGAAAACAAAGAGTTATAACTACAAAGGTTGGATAGCTTTGCATAACAGAGGAGCTAATTACAGGGAAAGTGAACATGTTACGTAACATGTTGCAACTGATAAAGTCTTATGCAGTTTACCTCATCATGCCATATTTCAAAAGCATCATCGTCATCTTCATATACACTAACCCATAACCTGTCAGCTGGCAGCCCAAATCTGTCAGAGCAAATGAATATGCATGTAAAAGTTTCTCTTAAGTCTTTCAAGTTAAGAATGGATGAATGATAGTATTATTATATTCATGCATACTCCTTGGTTGAAATCTCCCATGCCCATTTAATAGCTTCTTTCTTGAAGTAATCTCCAAAACTGAAGTTTCCAAGCATCTCAAAGAATGTATGATGCCGGGATGTTCGGCCAACATTCTCTACATCATTTGTACGAATACACCTTTGTGCAGTTGTAGCTCGAGGCACTTCTCTGGGAGCCTGGACAGAAGAACTAGAACCATCATAAGCTCAAAAATTTTAATCCATGGAAGCAAAAAGTTATTTAGACTTTGCTAAACTTAACACACATGCTAAACAGACAAATGAATTAAAACAAGTTCAGCTATTGTTTCTGACACACGTAGTGTCCTAAAACACACCTTATTGGGTTCCAAAATATCAGGTTCAAAATAGTTTGACACTAACCTTCCCAAGGAATATAGGCTTGAACTGAAGCATTCCTGCGATAGTCAGAAGAACAGTGGGATCATCTGGCACAAGAGAAGCACTCGGAAGAACCTTATGGCTGCGTGAAGCATAAAACTCAAGAAATCGACGACGTATAGCATCCCCACTTACAGGGTTTTCATTAGTCTTATCCTCCACCAATTCCTCAGTCACCGGCTGTACTGACGCTGAAAAGAAACATGATAAATACTATATTCTTCAAAAATTGAACCACATAGTTCTCTCTACAAACTCATCTTTCAAATTTCACATAATTAGTTACATCAACCTGGTGTACTCCTCGCACCAGACCTCATTTCCCGAACTCCTCTCAAAATGAAATATCCACACGGCAATATACTAGGTGAAAAATGGGCAACATTTCTTGTAGTAAAACCTGCAATTTCCCCACACAAATAATTAAAATAGCCAAAGACCAAATGATATCACTAAATATAATGACGAGTAGAATATGCATAAATAGGGCATAAGAACATAGAAAAATGAACCTATCAAATTATCAATCAATTAATCAAACAATAAAGCTAAAAACCAATTTGAGATTTTGAGAAAAAGCCATAAAAAAATATCTTTTCTCAATCATGCAATGGCACAAAGTGTTAATTAAGCAAGAAACAGACCATTGCAGTTTTAAAGCCTATGAATAAATTAAAAGTGCAAAGTTAATTTCTTGTTGAGTCTAAATAGCTCAAATTTTGAATCTTTTTTCCAAGTAAACAAGAGACTTGAAAACCAGGAACATTGAAAAGCAAAGAACTTGGGGAAGTAAGAACGAGCTTTTACCAGTGGAAATGGCAGAGGTGTAATTTGGTTGAATTGTGAAGGTGGGTTTCGAAAATGGAGCCGTGAAAGGTCTTCTCCCGCCATGGATACTGAGTAGAGTTTGTGGTGGCATTTTCAGGCCACCCATGTATCTGTCTCGCTGTGTGGAAGGCAGGTAAAGGGAATTTGCCTTTTCTTTTTGGCTTATTTTTTCAAATGGCCGTTTTTATACGTGGGAAGGATAAGCCTTTTTAAGGTGTCCACCTGTTTGGTGCACAATTGTTTTAGATTTTTTTTTATTTTTTATTTTTTTTATTTTTTGAGTCAGTCACAACTATCAATATAGTTTAACCAAAATAATTAATTATGGTTTGCTGTGGTATATTGGTAAAGGAGTGAAAGGGACAAATATCAAAATTTAATTCTTATTATCCGCATATAATTAATAATAATTATTTTTTTTTATTGTATTAGATTTGAAATCATTTGATCTGAAAGAAAAGGTTAGTAGTGAACTGAAGGTTAAGTGTATTTTGATACCGACTTAGTCTAAAAAATGATGGATTTAATCTTGATTAATGTGAAACCTAACTCGAATATATCTCATTATCTCGTAATATATATATATATATATATATATATATATATATATATATATATATATATATATATATATATATATATATAACTAAAACTATATATTTATTCTTTATTTTTTTTTATATTAAGCATTCTTCAATCAAAACTAAATCCATCATATTTAATAATTTTATCAATTTTACATTCTTTTCAATTTATCATTTTTTATGTTGCAAGAAATCAAAAAAGAAGTAAAAAGGAAGATTTTGACGAGGAAAGAAGGTATTTGATTAAAAAAATGGAAATAATAAACATTGTTCAAGAGATTACTCAATTATTTTTTTACTTATAGGGTTAAATAATTAGTTTAGATAAACTAATGGGACTAATTTATAATTAACTCATTTTTTTGCGTTTTTTCCTCCATGGCTCAGGATTGGGTGGGGTTCAAATCAAAATACCCAACTGGACCGTAAAGGCTAATGTAAAGATTTAATTTTCAAGATCATAAAGCATAAATAGGCACGAACTTATATGGCCCAACTTGAGTTGTTGGGTACTCCACAGAAAAACAGGCCCACTAAGAACCCATTTGGAATCTATATCCCTTGTTGTTGGGCACTCCACAAAAACAAAGAGGCGCACTGAGCACTGAGAACCCATTTGGAATCTATATCCCTAATTATTGGGCACTTCATAAATACAAACAGGCCCGCTAAGAACCCATTTGGAATCTATATTCAGAGTTATTGGGCACTCCACAAAAACAAACAGGCCCACTAGGAACCCATTTGGAATCTGTATCCCCAGTTGTTGGGCACTCCACAAAAACAAACAGGCCCAATAAGAACCCATTTGGAATCTATGTTCATAGTCGTTAGGCACTCCACAAAAACAAACAGGCCACTGATTACGATCTCATTTTATTTGAAGCCATCACCCCTACTAATAACGAGTAAATTATAACTTAGTCTCTTTATTTTTAATAAATGACTTAATGAGTCCCTATTGTGTAAAAAATAATTATTTTTTAAAATTTCTTACAAATAAATTATTTTAGTTCCATTCCAATTGATTTTATATTTCGTTTTTCAAAAAATAAATAAATAAATAAATAAAAGTATTAATGAGAAAAGATTTTTTGAAATAAATTAATATTAAATTAAAACATAGTAAAAAATAAAAGGACTATAAATGATAGTTTTTAAAAATAAGAGTTACTAATTAATTTATTTCTAAAAAGTAGAGAGACTAATTTATAATTCACTCCATTAATAGCCCATTGCTACGTTCTTATTGACAAGGAAGTGAGCACAGAATCGATGCTAATAAGAATGGATTAATCTTCAAAATGTTGGCAAATAATTAGCACGGGCTATTAATCTTGCATTTCTAAAATTTTGGGTTTGATGCAATAAATAGAAAGAAAAGAAAAAATAAATGAAGGTCGAGAAAACTTTTCAAAGCAGCGAATTCCCAAGCTAGGCTGGTCTCTCGAGGACTTGCTGGCAGGTGTACCAAAATCAAGATAGGATTGCAAATAATTTTAGTTCATGCAAGGAGAAATCAAAAAGCATATTGCTGAAGAGTCACTCCTTTGGATTTCCTGATGAGCGAGATGGTGAAAAATAACATTCCTTGCCTTTCACCAGTTACTCTAGCTGATTTCTTCTAGGAGGCTGGGACTAAAATAATTGCAGAAGTTGGAAGCCAGTGCCAGCTTCAGGCTTCTGATGAATATGCAATATAAAAAAAAAATTTAGTTTTCCATTTTGAGTAATACATGACGTAACCTACTCAAAACCAGCAAAAAACAGAACCTGATTGAGTATAATATCCTTTTTATGCTGCCGGGTTACGTTGCAGACGCTAGAGCTAGCTAGTCTAAATAAGGCTGAGCATTTCACGATTAATTAAGATGACTGCGGTTTTAGTACTTTGGCAGACGGATAGAAATAGATTATCATAAGCAGAGACAAGAAATGTGATGAATTATGTTTTTTTTTCCTGATGCCTATAGGTCAAATTCCAAATCTTGCTGACTTTTCTGTTATTGGCCTCTTGTAACTTGCATGTTTATGGTTTTCGTAGTTTTTGACTAAGGGATAATTAGGCCCTGCCAAAGGACATAATATCTGTTTGAATAAAAAAATTGATATCCTTCCTGGATATTCCAACATAAGTATATTCTTCTACATAGAATTCGAAGAAAAGGAATCCTATGCAGGAAGGATTGTCTTAAGTAATCATGTTTATATATAAGTTATCTAGTAGTTAGTCAAGAGATAGACAGCATGATTAGTCTGAAAAGCTCATCAGAATTGCTAGGAAGTGGCAGAAGATAGCTGCAGGAAGGATTAAAAGAATTTCTTATTCAAGAATCAACGGCAAGATGGATTTTAACAATGGCAATCCATCATTTGTTGCTGACACAGGGCATTTTGTTGTCTACACTGTAGATTGGAAGCATAGCCAAGGATTACTACTGGGAAGTACTGCTCAAAATCTGCTCCTTCAGATCATGGACACGCTTGTAAGACATGCTTATCTTCAAAACTTCGTCTAAACTCTTTGAGCCTCAAAGACAAGAAGAAAAAAGAAGGGTAAAAAGAAAAGGTTAGGCATAAGAGAGTAAGAGTTCCTTGTAGAAAATATATAATCAATTGTAAATTTCTGGATAAGGTATCTAATCATTCTTAGAAAGCACATTCTCATCGAATTAGGAACCTGTGGCCACTACTTTATTGACAGTTAATGAACATGTTGGGACAATTAATAGTCACTATTTTGCAAAACATAGATCTGCAACTCATCAAACCATCAGGAATAGATTCACATGCACATGTAGGCTTATCGATGTATCTGCGTTCTTGTGGATCGCAAAGTTTCGATTCGGCTAGATCAAGAGACACCAAATTTGGACCTTTTTTACTGTAAAACGACTTGACTGAAAACATATTGTATGCATAATTCCATGCCCTAGCATAAGCAGAAATGTCCACCTCCCAAACAACCCCACAAAACCAACCTCTCACATGGCTTTGCTTTGCTTGTCTGCCTGGACTGTCGAAAGTGTCAATGATGGAATTTTCTTCTGCCTTTTCTATATATAATCAACTCACTTCTATTTCCTTCTATCCAACACAAGAGTAACATCTCAATCTTGTACGATCTAAACATCTTCTTTTCTTAGTTTAATCAGCCTCACAATGATCAGTGCTAAGAAGCTCACCAAATTGGCAAGGAAATGGCAAAAACTGGCTGCTATTCGGCGAAAAAGTATCACCTTGCCGCAAACCATTAGCAGTCTAGATTTAGATCACTGTAGCAAATAATCGACAGCAGAGAAGGGTCACTTTGTTGTGTACACTACTGACGAAAAACGCTTTGTGCTTCCCTTGGATTCCCTTAACAATGAAATTGTTGGAGAGCTATTCAATCTAGCAGGAGAAGAGTGCGGATTAACATGCAATGGACCTTTCACATTGACATGCGATGCTGCCTTTTTGGAATACGCAATTACCTTGATCCATCAGAATGTAGCTAAAGATATAGAGAAAGCATTGCTGATGACCATAACCAGCAGTCGATGCTCATCATCTTTGTATTTTCATGAAGATGTTAGAAATCAACAGTTGTCAATTTTTAGCTTCTGAAATACATTACAGAGTTAATATATATAATGAAATTCAAGAACTTTTGCTCATGCTTGCTTGTTCTTCCATAGAAAATAATTCGAGAAATCTCTTTGATAGCCTCTTTGTTGTGGTCAAGTACCTCAACAACAATTGTAATGAAAAACAACCACCAAATATAGCATCTTAAATCTGAATAATGGCAATAATTCAAGTGTGTGGCATATATTGAAGCTCCACTATATGAAGACTGCAGATTTCCAGCTTCTCTCATTTGTGAAACCAGTGGCTTCTGTTTAAATCCAAAACACGTTACTTCCTGCATGTATAAGCAACTACATCAGTGACAGGTGATCCCTATTTGCAGACTCAATATTGTTCCTAAGTTTTTTTTTTTTTTTTTTTGTGAAAGGAACGTAATGCTGTTATTGGCCCTCTACATCATAAATTTTGACAAGTTTTTTTTTACCAAAATGTTTTCTTAAAGGTGCATGAGAGTTGATATTAACGAATCAATAATTGATGTTTACACAGAAAAGGCAATTGAAAGTTTTAACTATATCTTTATAGAATGCAGAAAATTTTGAACAAAATCATGGACTCTAAGAAATTCCGTCTATTTGACTTGGTTTGATCGTGACTACGATTGGTGAGGTAATGACGGTCCTTTTTCTTTGCTGGATTATTTTTTACTTCCAGTACGTAGCAGGTGTTTTGCCTATATTATACTTTTTATCCTTTGAATTGTTTTATTTAAAATCTTGTATTATTTTTTTGTGTTGATTGATAGACTTTTATTTTTCATTTTGTGTTGCTTGAAATCATATCTTATAACAATCGTAAGCTGAAGTGGTGTTGACGGTTCACTTCTAAATACATGATCCGTGTTAAATGTGAGATTTCGATTTAAAAAATTATACAGGAACCTAATTACACAAACTTTAAAAAGTAGGGACCAAAACGTATAGGATGCAACTCATGTTCTATCCAGAAATCTGCAATACTGTCAAATACTATTCCGTAGCCAACGTACAGATAAATGATTTTATGCCTTTGGGACAAATTCTCTTCATCTTTTACCTGAAAGTCTGGCCACCAATCGATCACAACGGTCCTTCAGACTCTGCTTTTTAGTTGTAGGAGACAAAGTAATGTGAGATTCTCAACAGTACACAACCTCCAAGCCATGCAATCTGATAAATGGATTAGCGTGTCTATAACCCCATTAAAGTAGGCTTGCCGAACCACATATTCCCTGTTTGGTAGTTCGTCCTGAGTGGGTCCAACATGCTTATATCTTGAATGTGCTTAGGATTCGCAAAGTTTGATGCAAGCTAGGATCATGAAACATCAAATTTGGACCTATTTTATTGTCATAGATACATGCATACCTTCCATGCTTCAACTTGATGCGCTATTGTTCAAGGGAAACATGGAAACATGTACACCTTCCAAGCAACCCTACATAAACCCACCTCTCACATGGTTTTGCTTGGCTTGTATGCCTGGACTGGACTGTCGAAAGTGTCAGTGATGGAATTGTCTCTCCCCTTGTGTATATATAAGCAACCCACTTCCATTTCCTTCTATCCAAAGCAAGATTAACATTTCAATATTCCAAGGTCTAAACATCTCCTTTCATATATATTTAATCAGTCTCAAGATGATCAAACTGGCAAGGAAATGACAGAAACTGGCTGCTATTAGGCAAAAAAGGATCACTTTGCTGCAAGCCATTAGCAGTGTAGATTCTGATGACTGCAGCGAATCGTCAACAGCAGAGAAGGGTCATTTTGTTGCGTACACCACCGACCAAAAACGCTTTGTGCTTCCCTTAGATTACCTTGACAATGAAATTGTTAAAGGGCTATTCAATGTAGCAGAAGAAGAGTTTGGATTGACAAGCAATGGACCTTTCACATTGCCATGTGATGCTGCCTTCATGGAATACGCAATTACCTTGATTCAACATAATGTGGCTAGAGATGTCGAGAAAGCAATGCTGATTACTTAGCTGGCAATCGATGCTCATCATCTTTGTATTTTCATCAAGAAGTCAAAAATCAACAATTGTCAATTTGTAGCTTCTGAAATACCTTAAAAAAGTTAATATACACATTGATACATTAATGAAATACAAGATTTTTTGTCGTCTTTAGTTGTTCTTTCGTCGAAAATAATTCTAGAAACATCCCTCTTATAGTATAACCCCAAGATCAATCTTAGTTAAAAGGGAAATCCATAATTGTCCTGCCTGAAATTGAAGCTTCACTTTACATGGAGAACAGAAGTTCTGTTTTTAATGAAGATCAATTAACAGAAAAACTTGGTGCAGTAAGAAGCTATAGGTGGCAGCTAATTCTGTGATTTATAAATGCATCTGAAAGAAAATAAGTGGGCATGAAAGAAGAAGGTGAATATTTTTTTCAGCATTTTCTGAATCAAAATTTCAACAGTACTTTTCCCAGAAATTTTTTCTTGAAGCTGCATAAGAGTTGGATTTGATGAATCAATACATAATGGCTACACAGAAAATGTATTCTTAAGTATGGCTTTTTAACCTGCACAAAATGTTGAACTAAATTATGGAATGTAACGAAATTTTGTCAATTTGACTAGAATTTGTAAAGTGATGATGCTCTGTTGTTTGCTGTACTATTTTGAGTACCAGGAGCAGGATAAACAAACAGAAAACATGGTGCACAGTAAGAAGATAGGTACCAGCTAATCGTGTCTCACTGATAAATGCAACTCGAACAAAAAAGGGAATTAGGCATGAAAGAGCAAGTGAATATATGATTATGATGGGGCTGATTTGGCCTAAGAGGTGGCTCAGTAATCGACCAAAGTATAAGCGTGTTCTGCCACTGGCTTAGTCTAGGAAGCAGTGGACTTAGTCTTGGATGATACAAAAACTGATCCGAAAATACCCGCTATCTATAAATATCAAATATATATATTATGATGTGAAAATTTAATGAGCAGAACAAATGATAACCTAAAGGATGCAACCCATGTCAAAAACACAAATAACACATAATATCCATAGCCAAGGTACAGAATGGATGATTTTATGCCTTTGGGACAAATTCTCTTCATCACTTACCTGAAAGTCTGGCCACCAGTCACTTTGGTCCTTTAGAGTCTGCTTTTAGCTGTTGGAGACAAAGTAATGTGAGATTGAATGCGAGACCAACATGATAAATGAATAGTGAGTCTATAACCCCATTAAAGTAGGCTAGGTTGGACCACATATTTCCTGTTTGGTGGTTCATCCTGAGAGGGACCAACATGTTTATATCTTGGATGTGCTAAGATTAATTCAGTGTTAAACAACTTGACCGGAAACGTACATATATGCGTACCTTTCATGCTCCAACTTGGGCTAACAAGCCCCCTCCCAAACAAACCCACGTAGCCCACCTCTCACATGGTTTTGCTTTGCATGTCTGCCTGATCTGTTGAAACTGTGAATAATGGAAATATTTCTGGTCTTCTGCATATCTAATGAGCTCACTTCCGTTCCATTCTATCCAACACAAGATTACCATTCCCATATTCTAAGATCGTCACATCTCCTTTCTTAGTATTGTCGCTACCCGACGTCGGACGGGACTCCCAAAAATTAAAATGCTATATGTGATTAATATTTATAAGTTTATTTACGTAACTTTGGAGTCGCCACCTCAGTATTAAGGAACTAGGAACCTAAAAATAACACTCGGTCTAGAGATTCTATAATAAACAGTTGGTTACACTTTTAGGAAGATAATTATTCACTCTAAACATGCCATTTCCAAAGAAAGGTACCACATCCTGTTTTAGTTCTAAATTTATCTCCCAACAATTATTTTAGCAAAATTTGATTTTTAGTTTTGAGTGTGGCATCATATTGAAACGATCGTCGGTCCCCTTCATCGGGCGACACGTCGGTTCAAACATCGGATCCACTTCGAGCCTCGACACAACTAGTGTGTCGAAGGACATGCTCGATTATTAAATGATGATTTTTGATGACGACGGTCTTTGATACCTAGCCACAAAACAACGAGTCCCTATCGAAGGAGACTTCGTTGAGAATTTTATTATTTTTTTATATTTTTCAAACGACGAGTCCCTATCAAATAGGAGACTTCGTTAAAGGTTGAAATTGCATTAAAATAATTACGGATAATTCTAAAATATATGCAAAATAATAATAATAATAAATAAATAACGATTTATATTAATTAAAATAATTAAATGTTTGAATTGAATACAAAGATGCTAAGCATAAATAAATAAATAAATAAATATATATATATATATATACACACACGAAATGCTAAGCATGAAGAAACAAATCTAGATTATAGCCAACATTTTATTTTTATTTTTTTAATTAGTCTTCTTCTTCTCTACTCCTATTTTATTCTTTATTATATATATATATATATATATATATATATATATATATTAGGAGAGGGGAAAGGGAATTTAGGAGGGCTAAATTTATAAGAAAAGGCATGGCATGGCATGGCGTGTTATTTCTGCGTTTGCTAAAACGATTTTAATGGACGTAATTAATGGAAACTTTCAACCAACACGTGTAAATTGTGCGATAGTGAAAATGGAGCAGGCTGTAGGGTGGGGGAGTTCTCAAAGGTCAAACTAATCGTAGGCAAAGCCTGGAGTATGCGCGTAAGACATGACTCGAAGGTTATGATCTATAGGCAAAGATGGAAAAATATACCTTACATCCACTGGATTGGAACTCTGTGCGACAGCCCGTCCAGATTGACCTGAGTGGTGCTTCAACGAAATGAGAGAAGCCAACAAGAACTTTATGCAGGTGCTTGAAAACCAGCTGCTATGAACAAACTCACGGAGCTGCCCCGAATTCAAGAAAGATTGCAGCAGAGCGCTACTACTTCAAGACCAAAATTCCTATTTTTGTTTGCGATATTTTTTTATGCAAACCAGAACTCCCCTCCTGTGTTTTCTTTCCTCTCTTTCTCTCAGAATTCCCTCCTCTAAGTGAAGAATAATTTGCCTAGAAATTAAAAACCTAAAGAACTCTGCCCAGGAAACTGAATGCAGAAGAATGTTACTACTCCAAAGCCTCTCTAAAAAAAAAATTTCCTCCTCTTTTTTTCAGGATACTGTCTTTTTATAGACATTGAGAATTTGAGTTTCACCTTCAATCAAACACTTTCAAATTCAAGTTTCATCCTAAATCAAATACCTAAAAATTCAAATTTTTTAGTTATTTAATTTGAACTCAAATTCTGTTATTGAAAAGTGATCCAACCAAGCTAAACTGAATTTTAAAAATTGAGATAGACTTCAATCTGTTTCTTTTTTTTTAATTTATGTTTTTGGTTTTTTGTATTTGTTTTTTTTTAAATAATAATAATATAATAAAAAAAATGGAAGTGCTTTTTTTTTTTTGGTTATTACAAGTATAATCAGTCTCAAGATGATCTGTGCTAAGAAGCTCATCAAATTGGCAAGAAAATGGCAGATACTGGCTGCTATTGAGCCAAAAAGGCTCACGTGGCCGCAAATCATTAGCAGTCTAGATTCAGATGACTGCAGCACATCTTCAACAGCAGAGAAGGGTCACTTTGTTGTTTATACAACTGACGAAAACCGCTTTTTGCTTCCGTTGGATTACCTTAAAAATGAAATTGTTAGAGAGCTATTTAATTTAGCAGAAGAAGAGTTTGGATTAACAAACAATGGACCTCTTACATTGCCATGTGATGCTGCCTTCATGCAATATGCAATTGCCTTGATCCAGCAGAATGTGGCTAAAGATATAGAGAAAGCATTGCTGATTACCATAGCTAGCAATGGATGTTCATCGTCTTTATATCCTCGTCATCAAGAAGTTAGAAATCAACAACAGTCAGTTTGTAGCTTCTGAAATTCATTAGAATCTTAGTATACACTTTGATACATTAATGAAATTCAAGATCTTCAGTCATGTTTGGTTGTTCTTCCATGGAAAATGGTACGCTTCATCTCTTAAAAGTGGTAAAAGTCTCCAATCAATTAATCTGGATAACTCATTTTGACACCCCCCAGATAGATCTTAGCTCAAATGAAATCCATTTTACGCTCCGGTTGAGGAATTACTAAACATAGCCTACAAAATGGGGTTGTTATTTCACTTAATCACTTGAGAAATTTCACTCAAAAAATAAACTAAAATGCTATTTCTAGCACTTAACTCTTCTTTTTTGTATTTTTCTTTATGATGACAAAGGCACTACTCAAACAACTAAGAGTCATTTTCCGTTTCAGCACTTACCTCTGCACTGAAGGAATGAGTAACAACTAACAAACAGCAGTTTTTTTTCTTAAAAATGCAAGACACGCTGCTTCCTGTCCGAGAAATTACTGTCGACCGACAACCTCAATCCGGGCAACCGCAATTATGTTCACAAGATTTTCTTTCTTTGTTTCTCTTTTTTTCCCTTCCTGTAGACTGATATTTTCACTTGCAGCATCATATTGATTACAACAAATTGTCATGGGAACATGGAAAAAGAACATTCAATCTACCTTCTAACCTGAACATAATTTTGGACTACATTAGGGATTGTAAAGAATGGATGTGAAATTTGATGAGGTATGAAATTTGGTTTTTTTCATGAAACTTATCAAGTTGAACCTTCTCACAATCATACTCAATTTTTTTTTTTTTTAACTTCATAATCACTTAGCTTAACACTCTAAAAACATGTCCGATACCCATTATTTGCTACTATATTTAGGGATTCTCTCTTTCATAAAACATAAGATAAATAACTTTAATACGCATATTTTTTCGGCGATCCTGCTCTCTCTCTACCTAAATAGCCCAAAATATTGTAATCGTTTTACCGGACACCCCCGCACTACTAATTCTGATATTTGCGCTCTATGTTCACAGAATTCACAAGACATCATCACCACTTTTCCGACTCCTTTAAAAAAAGATTGAATATCAAGTACAATAAATTTAAATGCTAAAATCTCAGGCATTGTCAAAATTGAAATTGGGCCTAACCTTTGGTCCAAGACTCTGAAAAAAGAATTGGAAAGTGGTGTGGTATTGCTATGAATGACAGCATATTCTGTTGCTAACAGAATACTGCTCTGCAGTAATTCAGCTAAAGGATTTTGTTTGTTCCGTTTTTGTCTGATGGATTATTTTCACTACAAGGAGAATCAAGAAACATCTAAACTTGGTATGGCAAGAAAGAGTCCTTTTTTTAGATAAATTTGGTCAATCCTTTATTCATGGAAGAAGAAACTAAGACAAAATGGGCCACAAAGAAGCTAATGAATGATTAAATGTGTAACGAGCAGCACATGCAAAACCCTAGAGGATGCAGTCCAAGTTCAATGCAATTTAAAGTCCTATCAAATGACACATGAAATCCTTAGCGAAGGTACAGTATGAAAGAATAATTTTCATCATGTTATGGGGGACAGAATGACTTCATATATCACCTGAAACTATGGTCGTCAGTGACTTTGGTCCCTTTAGATTCTGCTTTCCAATTGTTGGAGACAAAGTAATGTGAAATTGAAAACATTACACAACCTCCTGAAAATGGAATCTGATAAATGGATTTTCAAGGGTGACAACCTGTTAAGGTAGGCTTGTTTCAACCACAAAATTCCTGCTTGGTAGTTTGTCTGTAGCGGGGGACCAGCATGCTTATTTCTTGGAAAGCACATACCTAAATCGGCCGAATCAATGGCCTCACCAAAATGAGAAATTATTGTGAGAGATGCATTTCAGAAATTTGATCAATTTGTTTTCTGTGGTTCTCAAGCAGTAGTGCATTTATGATCAACCAGGTTACATACCTGTTATGCCATTGAACTGCTTGGCACATGTTGCTTTGATTCCTCACCTAAACCAAGCATGTTCTAAGCATGATCCTCCACTCAAGCTGGGCCACAAGCAAGTAAAGTGTCTACCTGCCCTTGAGGATATATAACTAGCCCAACTTCATTGCTTTAGCCTCAACTCGAAATTTCCATTTCAGTGCTTGAAAAACTGAATTGATAACATCCTCCTTCTCTAACCTCAAAAGACTCAAGACAACATCACAATGATCAATCCAATGAAACTCATTAAGTTCGCAAAAAAGTGGCAAAAACTAGCTGCCCTGGAGAGCAAAAGAATTTCAATACAAAGAAGCGGTGAAGATGAAAACACAAACAACAATGACAAGTCACCAGTGGCAGATAAAGGCCATTTTGTGGTCTACACGGTGGATCAAAGGCGCTTCGAGTTCCCCATTTCGTATCTTAACAATAACATCTTTAGAGAACTCCTGGAGATGTCCGAGGAAGAGTTTGGCTTGCCAAGAAATGGTCCTATAACATTGCTATGTGATGCAATGTTCATGGAATATGCAGCTTCCTTGATGCAACAAAATGTTGATAAAGATATGGAGAAAGCATTGCTTATGTCTATAGCTAGTAGTAGTAGTAGTAAATGCTCATTGTCTTTTCGTTCTCTACATCAAGAACAAAGTAGTCAGCAATTGCTGGTTTGCTGAATTTTTGTACATGACCAAAGACAGATGTAGTTTCTATTAATACTGTACTTACATCAGAATTCCCATAAAACTTCTCCACGCTTGGTTTCCTAGTTATCAATTTTTCCATCCAAATTCAAGATTCTTCATGTGAATGCTAAAGGAAGTGCTAAAAGCCTAAAACCTTCCCTGTCGCTAGACAAGAAAACGCTTAAAATGGACATGCTATTTTGAACAGCAGCGGCTACCCAAATCCGTCAAATGACATGTCGTTTATGTTTAGTCAGAAGGGATTAGGTAGAAATAATGAAGACAAATGGCCCAAGGATTACAGTCCATCGGCCCATATCTATTCAGGTTCATATATTTAGAACACGGGATAACTGCAATAAAAGTATACCAACTTTGTTTTTTATTTTTTCAATCAATTATATAAATTTTAATTTTTTATTTAAAAATATCATTTTTTTTCAAAATAGCCAATCAATTACTCCATTATCTAATGATGTGTATCTTTCTCAAACTACTAATTTTAATTTTTCCTTTCATTGTTGGAGGAAACTTTCCCTCATATATTATTTTTTCATTTTATATTTTTTTTGGTATAATATTCAAATTTTCCTAATATCTAAAAAGTAAAAAAATAGAAAAATAATTTGAGAGTGAAATTTTTTTTCGAGAATGAAAAAACAAAATTATAATTTAGTAGTTTGAGAAGCAATTGATTAAAATAAACGAAAATACTTGCTTAATAATTTTGAAAAAAATAATATATTTAAATAAAAAATTAAAATTTTATACTTGATTGAAAAGAAATATTAAAAAATAGTATACTTGTAATATAATAATCTCTTTAGAACACCAAAGCAAATACAATAATTGAACCGGATCCAGAAGCCCAAAACCAGCATTTTTTTTTTTCCTTTCAAGAGTTAGGATAAATGCGGGTCAGCTTTTGGCATAAAAACGAGGCCGTTTTCCAAAACTGATTTTCATGAAAGATTTAAAAATAAAATAAAATTGAACGTGAAATGATAACTTCATGAATAAATGCATTTACCACATGAAAAAATAACTCAAAGATAAGTTCGACCTCGTGAAGGCACCATTCACTCACTTGAAACTATCTTTAGTTCTATTGAGGAATCATCAAAGCATATTGACCAAACTAGCTAGCATAATTCTGTTGCCGTGCAGAATATTTAGATCCCATTTTCCTAATTGTTGAAAACATACAAGGGTGTGACATAGGATGTTAGATTTACAACATCACACAACCTGAAGACAACACATTTTGAACCAGTTATTTTACTCGTTCGGTAGTTCATGACCTTCAACATGTTGGGACCAACATGCTCTAACTATGTCTTCCACGCACCAAAATCTGCTAAATCATTTACTCTCACCAAATTGCCAAGTTTCTTCATTCTTATGGATATCCTTAATATGGAAATATATATATATATATATATATATTTTAAAGCATAAAAGATACATTCTAGCAATTTGGTCTATTCTTTGTTCTTGTGGCTCTCATGGATCCATGCTTTTTTGATCCACCAGCTTGAGACCCCTTATGCCTTTAACCAACTTGGCACAAAAATTGGTTTGTCCACGCCACTCAACCTCCCATCTCTTCCAAGTTGCACATGGTTATGTGCCCATCAGTCCCCTACACAAGAAAACATACAGCTAAAGCAATGTCTCTAGCTATGGGGTGAGTCTAAGTCTATATAACTCGTCCATTGCCATTTCCTTCTCCTCAACTCAAAAATCCCATTTCAATCACCAAGAACTACTAAACCTCCTCTTCTCTTCAAAACTTCACTAACTCAAAACAAAATGATCAACCCCGTGAAACTTATCGAGATGGCAAGGAAGTGGCAAAGGCTGGCTGCCCTAAAGAGGAAAAGAATTTTATTACAAAGAAACAGTAGTAATGCAAGTTCTAGCACCAGCAACATGTCATCAACAGTGGCAGATAAGGGCCATTTTGTTGTCTACACAGCTGATCAAAGACGTTTCATGTTTCCTATCTCATACCTTAACAACAACATTGTTAGAGAACTCTTGGCAATGTCTGAGGAAGAATTTGGCCTGCCAGGCGACGGACCGATCACATTACCATGTGATGCAGTCTTCATGGAATATGCAGTTTCTTTGATCCAAGGGAGAGATAAAGAAATGGAAAAGGCTGTGCTTATGTCAGTAATTAGTAGTAGATCGTGTTCATTATCTTCTTGTTCCAGTCAAGGACAAATTAGCCAGCAGTCTATAGTATGTAGTTTCTGAAATGTCACACGAATTTTTTAATTGACCGGCACTCATTTTATAATAGTGAATAGACTTTCAAAAATTCCAATCAAACTTTCTCTTTGCTTGATTATAAATTAATTATATTATTTCCTGCAATAAAATGGAAGCAACAAATAAAAGTACGTATGAAATCACTCTAAAAATTAGATACCATTTAAAGCTTCTTTAGACCCGGTCAAAAGGAATTGAACTCTTTGAGAAATCCATTAAAGCATGTAAATCATTTTGCCTTTCCCCTCAATTTCATTGCCTGTTACTACAAAAATAAATCACACTGAAAGCTCTAATTATCCAGCTAGTGCCAAAATTAATGATGTTTACAGCATAATTAGTACCCCATAATCCATTTTCTTGTATATGCTTGCTCATTAGGAGGGCAGAGAATAATGGTCAAATCCTCTTGTTTGAAGTGTTAAATAACTATTTTAAATAAAATAGTTTAAGCTTTTAGATGAGGTCTTAAGATATAATTTATATTATTTTTTAACACACTTTCTCAAATGACTTGCATAGACCTACATTATCTTATGCTTAATTAATTAAAAGAGAAATAAGAATAGTGAGATTCAAAATCGCGACCGTTTAGTCATTAAAATTTTGATATCATATTAAATAAATATTTTATCTAAAAACTTAAACTATTAGATGATGTCTCAATATATAATTTATATTATTTTCTAACATGAACATTATTATATAATAGCTAATGCCATAGTCTTTGTAGACTTTTTTTGTTTTTTGTGCTGATGCTAGATGGTATCTTTAAATTATATGCAGCTTCAATTAGAGACAGATTATTTACACCAAAATCAAGAAATTCATGAAAAAATATATGTTTTTGTGGCATAACCAGCTGCAAGAAGCCAATCATTAAAACAATGTGCACTTACCATTTCCTTGCAAAGTACATATGTTATAGTCCACTAGCATCTTATGCATCAAATTAATCTTAATCTCACGATTAGTAAATTTCTTTTTCCTACGTAACTTTTTTTTTTTTTTGTCATCATTTTGACTACACAATAATAGAAGGTAGTCCTCTGTCATTAGATAATTACTATATAAATTTGAAATTATTATAACTAAACCTTTCTTTACTAAAAAAAAATTATTTGAATACACAACCACCAAGTTAAACTCACTTGTGTTTTTCTGCATAACTTATAGTATGTATTATATATAATCATATATTGTTCTCAGTTAGATTAGTGAAAAGAATTACGTGTTTGATTATAAGTATGAAGAAAACTCTTAATTTTTAAATTAATTTTTGGGATTGATAAAGCCTAATATCATCTAATATTAATATTAGAGTCTAAGTTAAATAATTATTTATATGCAGACTGTACATAATGATGAAAAATAACCAACTTAAAATCTGATATACGAAGAAAAAAATTGTTGGATTATTCCAAGTCAATTGGGTGTTTGGGTATAAGTCCCAAAAAAAAAAAAAAGAAACTCTCTCTTTTAGTTAATTTTTGAAATTGAGAAATCTCAATTAAAATATTAGTATGATTAGCTAATGCCATAAATTACTATATTGCAAAGTCTCTGTCTAAAGTACTGTATTCTTCCAAGGAAATATAGTTCTCCATCATTCTCATATTAATAACCATATCCCACTTGTCAAACAGTTGATCTTAATTAGTCAAATAAATATAGCTGGTATAGCCTGGCCGCCAGCCGGCAACATAGAAATTCTTTTCTTTTTTTTTCTTGTGTAAAATTTTTTCATGGATAATAAGAACATCTATATAATACATATTTTTTTCCAAGTCTTACAACATTATTATATTTTATCTTGAACTAATTATAAATTTAAGTTTCTAACTAATTGGAATGTGTTAATCATTCTATATGATTTGGTAAATCTGTTGATAATATGATTGCAATCTTTATTCAATTCTCCAGAATTTTATTAATCCTAACGAACAAGATAAAATAATAATTGAGGTTAGCCCTCCTTCATACACAAGCTGAAAATGACCGCTTTCCTTTTAATCATCAAAAACGACTTATATCTTCCCATCTCATCCACTGTCCAAAAAATTAAACATTCCCCCCTGTTTATGCATTGCAATTTTTCTCTAACGGTATAATATAGTTCAATTGGTCTGATCCAAAGTACATGAGATTATTTGAATTACAGGAAAGAAAATTCAAAACTTTCAGTGGACTTTGCAGATTTACTTATTAAAATTGTTGACTTCACACAGATTCTGAATTCTATGTTCTGAACTTCTGATCATCTAACATCATTTATTACATGAAGTATGAAAAAAGATTTTGCTGGAACTCAGGTTACAATAAGATACATTATCTGAATGATTTGCAAAATGATTTTAAAAGTTGAAAATTCCCCATATAAGCTCTGTTGTTTTTTATAATTATTTATAATTAATTCACAATGTAGCAAGAATGAGACTCAAACCTGAACTTTATCTGCTCTCAAGTAAGTCTGAACAAAAACAACATGTTGTTGACCATAAGGGGCAAGGGAACAATCCAGGTTGTTTCATATCTATTTTCAGCAGCAGACTTGATTGAAATTCAACCATATATATATATTTCTCTATTTCTTTTATGATCTACATGTAAAAGAAAAAACTATTGTTATAAAATAATAATCAAGCCAAAAAAAAAAAAAAAACCGACCCTCTGTTTCTTTTATCTTTAATTAATTTTAAAATGTTTGATTGATAAATTATCATACAAACTTGATCCACCGTTTTTATACATCACAAAATTGTAAATTGAGCTAATAGATTTTTTATACATCACAGAATTTATCCGTATTATTTTGATAGAAGAATTTCGTTATATAATTATGGATGTGCTATTAACTGTGATTTACTAAATAAATTATTTTTACAAATTTATTCATTTGTAATAGTTCTATTGTTTATTCCACAGATTAGATTTTATAATAGTTTCTCATGTTTGACTAAACCAACAACACCTCCGGACCATTTTTCTCTTGTTTACACATCTTTATCCTTAGATATGTTGAGCATCATGCTTTACTAAAGTAACAATATTAAGGTTTTTTTATGGCCCTAATTAATTACACTAATCCTGTAATTTGGAAAAAGCAAGGGACAAACAAGTAAAGCATCCTTTACCTGTTCGACTTGCATAACAAGAAAACAATGATAAAGCAAGGCACTCATTTTGCCCACACGACAAATATATTAATATTATGATGATTTTTTTTTTTTTTTTTGTGTGTTAATTAGCCTTCCTACCTAATGGCAATTGGAACGGGATTTGTAACTTTTTGTGCCCATGAAGATTTTATTGATTCTAATCTTAATTAAAAATCAACAAAATTAAGATGATAGTTTCAATTTATATAGCAGTTTCATGATTCGATCTTTATAATTAATATTAATGAGAATTTATTTTTAAAATATGTAAAATTGTGTATTAGAAAATGTTCTTTAACCACCTTTAGAAAATAATTGATCTCTATGTATGTAAAAGTTGGTCCAGAAACATATTTACAGTTAAACCTAAAAAAAGAAGCATGTGCATCAACTGAAAACTATGGGATTTTTAGCTACGGTAAAACTCCCCGCTCTTAATTACCTTGTAAGCTCACCTTTTTAGTGTAAGATTAGCTAATCAAACTTACAGTAACAAGAAAATGGTACGTGATGCAGTAACATCATAGGTAATTATGATTAATCAACTTCATTCTCACCTACATACTTCAATATTATTATGGTTTCAAAAAAGGTTTGCTTTAGCTTATAGCAATGTAGGACTAATTCCAAGTCAAAGCCTAGATAAAGATAAGGGCAATTTTTAGTTAGTTAATGCATGGGGTATGAATCCTGTCATGCTGACCAAATTTTTTGCAGCCACCGTATCATGACCGGCAGAAAAATAAAGAATCAGAAAGGCACCAGTTTGACAAGTATGGCTGGTCTTATTCTGTATGGTTGGCTGCTACAAATCTTTAATATTTTTTCCAGGTCTTCGACCCCTTTGAGAATATTTTGTTACCCTTTCTTTAGACTAGAATTTTCTTACAAATTATCTAAAGTATTGTCTCCAATTTACACGCACTTTAAGACCATATGAAGGTGTCGTTGTTTTTAATTCACAAAAAAGGAAATCGAGGTCTATATATATAATGCAACTTCACTAATTAGTTTGTGGCAAAGGGAGGACCAAAAGAACACCAAAGGAAAAGAAAAGAAAAGAAAATGGGTGAAGTTGATGAAGCAAACTCTACTCCTGTGACACCAAGACCAGCCTCAGTGGCACCAACGCCACCGATATCGGCTCCTCCGTCGCAATTTCATTCGCCATCTTTGTCTAGATCACCTTTGCTCTCACCTGATCACATTGTTCCAAGCAAAACCCCAAAAAACTCAACCCCAAGAAACTCAACCCCAAAAATTGGGACCCCGAGAAGTGGAACCCCAAGAATCAGAACACCTCGCTTTATTACCCCTATAGGGAGTCCTATCAGAAGGGCTCTCCAACTCACAAGACTTGACCCTGAAGATGCTTGGCTTCCTATTACTGAGTCCCGAAATGGAAACGCATGGTACGCAGCGTTTCATTGTCTTTGCTCTGGTATTGGTTTTCAAGCACTTGTACTCCCTGTTGCCTTCACTGTCCTTGGTTGGTAAGTGGAAATATCATACTCGATTGATCTTTGGTGCAACAAGTTTTAATTAGTATTGGACCAATTTATAGACTAGCAGAGTTAACTTTGTTAATATTTGGTTACAGGGCATGGGGCATCATAACCTTGACTGTTGCCTTCGCATGGCAGCTTTACACACTTTATTTACTTGTGCAACTCCATGAAAACACTGAAACTGGCGTTCGTTACAGCAGATATCTTCAAATTATGAGTGCAAATTTTGGTATGTGCCCAATGTTTTTGTTCAACTTCTAACCTATAGTATTAATAAACTCCAAAGAGTTTTCAATTCCATAAAGAATAATACTTGTCTTACGGAAAGATCACCCTGATTTTGCTAAACAAGCAAAAAATATGCTTATTTGGTAACTATAAATGTTCTAAATTGTGGCTTCAAAAAATTTCAGGCGAGAAGAAAGCAAAGTGGCTAGGCCTATTTCCAATCCTGTACCTATCAATAGGCACGTGTGTGGCTCTAAACATAATCGGAGGATCAACATCAAAACTATTTTTCCAGACTGTATGTGGTGAATCGTGCACAGTCAAAACATTAACACCAGTGGAATGGTACTTGGTGTTTGCTAGTGCTGCAGTTCTTCTGTCTCAGCTGCCAAACTTGAACTCAATTGCTGGTGTCTCCCTAATTGGATCCATCACAGCTGTTATGTATTGCACAATTATGTGGATGGTTTCTGTTAACAAGGATAGGTTGCCTGGGATCACATACAAACCAGTTCGTGGACCAAAGGAAGTTGATAGGCTTTTTGAAGTTCTTAACGCACTCGGGATCGTTGCTTTTGCATTTAGAGGTCACAATCTCATACTTGAGATCCAGGTACCAAAAATTTTAGCTAATTCTCAGAATTTTCCTTTTCCCTTTTTTTTCCCCACTTTTTTTTTTTTTTTTTTGCCACTTTTATTACATATTAGTTATCAGAGCAAAAAAAGTACCTTAAAAATATTTCTCTTACAATTGGCATAAATAGGAAGCAATTCAAGCGTAAGCAACGACTTGGATATGTAACATATTTGATCTAATGGCTGAAAATTCGTGGATATGTATGTGATATTGTAAGAGATTTTTAAAATTTTCAAAATATTACTGCATATTCACGTGTGATGTGAGACCATATTTTAGGGTGGCAAAAATGGTTTTATTAGGCAGTTTTTCTTGATTTAACTTTTAACTTTTTTAATTCTTGTTGACCAAAGGAGATATTCTGTTAGAGGCACTTGGAAAATTAGTAAATTGACTTACACATGTTATGTATGAAACCCATTTAATAATTTTTTGAAATAGTTTAGATCAAATCTGTTTCCTTACCTTTTTTTTTCCGGTAAATAAAAAGTCTATGCAAAGAACGTAGAACACCGCCTAGCAACAATTAGTTGACCATTGACTTGTGACCATGTCAAATACAATATATTATTTGATTTTCAGTTGTTGAGATCGTAGGCATTAATTCCTAGGTCGTGTGTCAAATGTGACATCTAACGTACAAATTATTAATTATAGCGAAAATTATGTCATGCACTTCATTTTATTAGGATCAGAAAATAACCCAATATTTCTAAAGCTGTTTTGGGTTCAAAATGATGTTTTTTGCAGGCTACTATGCCTTCAAGTGAGAAGCATCCATCCCGTGTGCCGATGTGGAAAGGTGCCAAGGCTGCATATGCAGTTATTGCAGCATGTCTATTCCCCCTTGCAATTGGAGGCTTTTGGGCATATGGTCAAAGGGTACGTGCTACAATAACTTTCAGATTTTTAAGTTTTTAATTTTTTTTTACGAAAAGCTATATTAAGAATGAAATTGCAAGTTGTAAGCTAATAAAATTATTTTAGATTTTCATCTTTCCAGATTAATTTTTTTTTGTTGTTTTTTATTAATCTAAAGCAAGCATATGTTTTTTGTTTTTTTTCAGATACCAAAAAATGGTGGCTTGCAATCAGCCTTCTATGCATTCCGTAGGAGAGACACCTCACAATTTATAATGGGACTCGTTAGTTTACTTATCATAATTAATGCTCTTAGCTCGTTCCAAATCTATGCCATGCCAATGTTCGATCAGTTGGAGTCAATTTTCACAAGGAGGATGAAGAAGCCATGCCAATGGTGGCTCCGGGTGATCTTGAGGGCGGTTTTCGGATATGGGGTCTTCTTTTTGGCTGTTGCAATCCCATCTATTGGAAGCGTGGGTGGTCTAGTTGGAGGAATATCATTACCAGTCACATTGGCTTATCCTTGCTTCATGTGGCTTAGGATGAAGAAACCAAAGAAGTATGGCAAAATGTGGTACCTTAATTGGGTGCTAGGAATCACTGGTTTGATTCTAAGTGTCTCTTTGATGGCTGCTGGAGTCTATGTCATCAAAGAGAATGATAGTAAATTTCAGTGGTTCAAGCCCAAGTAATCGAATGAAAATCTCATGTGGAAAAGGAGAAAGGAGAATTTTTAATTTACAAGTCTTTTTTTTCTTTTTTTGATGTAATTGTGAAATTTGTTTGAAGAAAAGCAATTAAATAGCTAAAAAAATTGATTTGCCTGTAATATAAATATTTTGTAATACAAGATTTTTTTTCTCTCTTCCTGTGGGCCTTGCCTTGCTTACTTTTGCCTATCAGTTTAGCCCACTAATTATATGTATTGAGTCAACCCTTGTAAAAAACTGGGCTCATGATCAGCCCTATTGAAATTAACTATTATTACTAATTTCGGCCATTGTCATTAAAAATTAAATTACCCATCATAATTCTCTGCAACCCAAAAAAAAAAAAAAAAAAAAAAGAGTAAGTATTTGAATTGAGGGGGAAAACGAGGGATACCATTTAATCATACTTAAAGGTTAAAGTGGGTTTAATATATATTCATCAAAAGACAGAAAAAAAAAGGTTAACAAATTGGGCTTTGGCTAGGCAACATTCACTCTCTGGGCTACTAGGAAGTTGGCCCTTTCACCTTCTGTTCCAGCTTCTTCGCCCATCACTATATCATTGGGGTTGTCTCAGGTCCCATCTCCAGCTCAATGAAGAAAAGCTTCTTGCAAGCATAGTCCACCGTGTAAAGCTCATCACAGTGGAAGCACAGCCCTTGTCGACGCTGCTGTTGAAGCTCTATAGGCGTGAAACGACAAACTAGAGTAGCTGGAGCAGAAAAGCTTGATTGGGTAATTGGACCTCTTGGATGATTCCACAAAAGAATCTCCTTGTGTGTGGGCTCACAGTTCCGAGGCTTAAAAGGCTTTCGAGCTATAACTGGTCGAGACCGTGAGTCTTGAACCATATGTAATCTACTTTCAAAAATTCAAGCCAGCCCAATATCTTCATTTAGAGTAGGGGGCCATCGCTCCTTAACATCAGCCCTTAACTGTTCATCAGTTAGAGTTCCAACCCTAACGAGTAACTTGTAAAAATGGTTTTGATACTCCCTCACCATGTTGGTCTATTCGAGTTTGAACAAATCAATAAAGAAATTTTTCATAAGAAGACATACTAAATCGTTTCATAAGCCTTTTCTTCAATTCACGCCTTATAAGCAGCAGGTGTAAATTCTTTTGGCATTGGACCCATAATTGGGCATCTCCTTCAAGATGGTATGTTGACAAGCACACCTATTCTTCCGGGGCAATGCTCTGGAAGTCGAAAAATTGTTTTACTCGACTGATCCAAAGTGTGGGGTTTTCAACCCTGTTATCGCAAGGGAAGTCCAATTTTACCAATTTGGGAGCCAAATTTCCATTGGTCCTATCACCATTTGCGTGCCTCTGTATCGGACCTGGCTGATTGATGGAGGATTTCTCCCTGGCTTGAAATGCTTGAAACATCTCTGTTATCTGCCTAATCAGACTCTCAAGCTAATGCTTAAATCAGAGAAAATAATGGTCGTTAGTTTCGTCGGTCATGTCAGGCTCTAATACCGTAATGTTATGAAACTGGATATCCTCATGACCTACCCCTCGATCGTGTCTCGTTCTCCCATGAGCTATCTTGACAAGCTGACAAAAACAAGATGGAAGTAGTTTTTTGCAAAGCAAATAGACGTGTTTATCTCATAATTCAATGCCTTTATTCACCATCTTAGGGCCCTTATATAGCCTTCGCTACAACGGAAAAGAACGACAAAAGCAGAACAATCCGCTACTATTCGGAAGATAAAGAACAAACAATTATTAAGATCTGGTCTTAAGGAAAGCAGCAAATCCTAAGTCTGGCCCATTTTAAAGGAATCAATAGACCATGAAAGTAAGAGATGGCTACTTGAGTGGACTAAGTCCAAGGGAAAAAGACACATGGTGGCCTGATTTGTAAGAGCTTGCCACGTTCTCTTTTTCCTCTCTCTCCATATATAGTCATGGGATGTCGTGCATTTGATTAAACCAGAAACTCGTCTAACATTTTCCCACGAGAGACAAAAAAGGTCCCCCACCACCATTAAGTAGCAATAGCTTTTGACGGATGTCATTTTACGTTGAAACCGGCTTCAGTTATGTGCAATTCCCTCCACAAACTTTCATGTATTTCATTGGTATTTATCGTTAATATTTTCTACTACTAATAAGACAAAGAAATGAGCCATTTTCATCGTTAGAGCATCCAAAAAAAAAAAGTTTTCCCTATGGTTGAAATTGAGGTGAAATTGCTGATTTTTCTTAGCTTTAATTTGTGAACACTATATATGGAATACGGTGTGTAGCATTGATTTTTTTTTCAACTGTGACATTGATAACTTTGGGCTAAATATCGATATACTCCCAACCCTTCGTACCCTTACACGAAGATTAATTAAAAAAAAAAAAAAAGGCTTCTTATGGTCATAGGTTGGGTGATGTTGTATACGTAGGCTTATCACTTAAAATTTAAAATCCAAACATCCCACATGCACTGCCCGTGAATCCAGCGACGAAGCTTGGATTTTTATAGAAGGTGGCAAAGTTGTGTAGCAACAAACAATATTTTAGTCAGCAGTATTGCTAGAGAAATAAATTTATATATATATATAAAGCATTCCCAAAACAATAATACAAGTCGTCATACCAATCACATCATTTATCACTTTAGTTTTAAAAAATAAATTAAATAATTTTTCATTTTAAAATTAATTAATTAGTTCTTTAACCAGTATTATTGAATATGATTAATTAAATATTATTTTGTTTTCAAAAACGTTTTTTATCATCTTTTTATATTTTTTTTATTTCGTAAAATAAAAAATTAAAAAATAACGAAAATGATTAAGTTAAAAATAAATTTAAAATCATAGGGAATACTTATAATTTACTATTTTTTCTATAAAGAAAAATGCTAGTAGTAGTATTTCTTAAATAATGGGTACTTTTTTCACACATTTTTCGTTTTTTTCCCAAAGGATGCACGTACATATATTATCGCAAAAGCTTGCAAGAAATTTTCGCATTCACTTAGGTTCCATCGTTTTAATATCAGATCAAATCTTAAGATATCTTATAACTACATCAATCGAACAGAGATATGTCATCTTAAAAAAAAAAAAAAATCAATGATGGAACTTAAATTCAAAATCTGAAATCAGATAAATCTTTTTCCTACAACCTAAACCAACCCCCTCAGTGCCTTCCTTTCCTTATTGTCAATGTTGGCCACCTTTTCCTTTATTGACAATATAGTGGGTTCATATTTGCTCTACCCAACAAGGCCAAAACAAAATCTTAACAAAAAGAAAAAAAAAAGAGATAATTACATTATAGCTTCAAACCTTTTCTTAATTAAATTCATCAACTTTTATTTTTTTTCTATTATATCAATTTTTTCGAAAATATCAATTGAGTTTTTTTGTCAAAATTTTCATCTAATGATGACATGGCAATTAATGTAGAAGACTAAATGATTATATTTTTTTTCATGACAGTTAATGCAAAAGACTAAATGATTATATTGTTTTTTTTCCTCTCAAATTCTTGTTATTATTTAGATTTTTTTTAATTAAAAAAAAGGTTAATGATATACGTAAATTGGCATGTTTGCGTGCCAACTACAAGCTTTGTTTCTTTAATAAATAGTTAAATAATGATAATAATTTTGGAGGAGAAAACTAAAAAAAAATGATAACATAGTCCTTTAATCTTCTGAGTTAATTGACATATCATCACTAGATAGAAAATTTGATGAAAAAAATTAATTGATATTTTTAGAAAATTTGATAAACTCAAAAGAAGAAAATAAAAATTGATGTAATTAATTGAAAAAATATTTAAAATTAATGTATTTATCATATTGTTTTCCTAGGAAAAAACAGCGCAAACTTGGGTAGGGTGATTCTGCTGGGAAGGTAACGTTTCACGTTCTAGGCAAGGTGGGGGACAGGTAAGAGATTGCATGTTTTTCGTAACTCATGAGATTGGATTTTCGTGGACGGGCAAAAGTCAAGGAATATCCATCAAATACATCGTGTATCCAAGTCAATGCTTGTATATAAAATGGAATTATCTGCTTTTAATGGAGTTATTGGCCTTTTCTTTAATTTTCAGATTCGAATCTCTTCTGAAGATGAAGAGCACGGTTATCTTTAAAAAATCATGGTTTATTTTATTCCTATTGAGTTAAAGTGTAAACGATAACTGTCACACATATAAATTTAAATAACTATTAATACGATAATGATTTTGAGATATTTCAGTCATTGTTATTTATCATTATAAATGTTTTCATGTCGTTTTATATATATATAATAAATAATATTATTATTATTATCGTTAATCAACGTTGTTATTTACTATCATATAAAATTGATAAAAAAATTCAGCTTTAGTGTTTGACTAACCATCGTAAGTGTAAATTATAAAATTAATTCTTTTAGTTTAGAAAAAATAAATTAGTTATTTTTTTCTTTAAAAATAAATTATTTAATTATTTTGTCCATTTTATGTCATTTTTTGATTTATTTTCCTTTTTATTTAAAAAATTAAAAATAAATTTATATCATAAAAAGATTAATAAACAAATATTTTATAAATAAAATAATATTATATTAAATATGATCAACACTAATTAAAGAAATTAAATAATTAGTTTTTAGAACAAGAAAGACTAATTAATTTATTTATTAAAACTAGAGAGACTAGTGTATAATTTATTCCTTATTATTCAACTAAAATTTCATGCTGCGTGCACCGAATTCAAACCCATGCAGGAATGGAGCCTTTAATTGATTAAATTACCAATTAGTCTTTTTAGTTTGGAAAAATAAATTAATCAGTATTTCTTGTTTTAAAAATCAATTATTTTATCCTTTTTATTTCATGTTATTTTCTAATTTATTTTATTTTTTAAAATAAATTTATATCATGAAAAGATTAATGAAAAATAAAAATATTTTGTAGAATAAAATAATATTACATTAAACATAATCAAAATTTATTAAAAAAATTAAATAATTAATTTTTAAAATAAAAATGACTAATTCATTTATCAAAACTAGAGGGACTAATGTATAATGCACTCCTTAATATTCAACTAAATCTAAGGATGCGTGCGCCAAATTCAATGGCTTGCATTCTGCCGGCTTTAATTAATTAAATTACAAATTAGTCTATTTAGTTTGAAAAGTAAAATTAATCAGCCATTTTGGTTTCAAAAACGAATTATTTAGTCATTTTTTTCTACTTTATGATATTTTCTAATTTAAAAAAATAGAAAAATGAAAAAATAAATTTATATCATCAAAAGATTGATGAAAAAATATTTTTTTAAAATAAAATAATATTAATTGAATATGGTCAATACTAATTAAAAAATTAGCTTCTGAAACAAAAAGGACTAATTAATTCATTTGTTAAAATTAGAGAGACTAATGTATAATTTACTCCCTGTTATAAACTAAATGTCCGGTTGCGTGCACCAAATTCAAAGGCCGGCTTAATTGAGTAAATTATAAATTAATCCTTTTAGTTTATAAAAATAAATTAGTTAGTCCTTTTTTTAAAAAAAAACCGATTATTGAGTTATTCTTTCTATTTTAAGTTATTTTATAATTTTAAAAAATAGAAAAAGGAAAACATAAATTTATATTATGAAAGATTGATGAAAAATAAATTTATATCATTTTTGTGAATATTCAACTAATGTATATTGAAATTGCATTGTATTTTATCGTTTTTTGTGTGATATTTATTTATTATAAGTGTTATTAATTTTATTTTTATAATAAATTCAACTATTATTGTATGGTATTGCATTATTAAAAATGTTATTACTTATTGGTACTGTTTAATAAGTAAAGATATAAAAAAATATGTGAATTATAATAAATTTATTAACAATTGCTAATGTATTCAAGACATCAATTGTTGTCACCATTATTTTATTATTACAATAGGTCGTGATCGGGGATTGCAGTTGTTCTTCCAACTATAATCGTGATTTAAAACTATGATCCTATATTGAAAAATAACGAAAAGTTTGATGCGTTTATATATAAGATGTTCTATGACCCTTTAGTCTATCTTTATGTTTAATCCCTCTTATGTGCAGTGCCAGGTGTCGGTTCAAGTGACTTCTCAATGCAAGTTCTCTCCTACGAGTGGTATTAGAATCGATAGTTTGGTTTGGATCAAGTGGCGATTGTGGTTAGCTTCTTATGAGTTTGTTGATTTCTTTATAGTAGAGTAAAAAAAAGCTAAGTTTCAAGCTCTGGTTATTGTACTTAAATTGGAAGGGAGAGTTGTGTTTGAATATGCAAAAAATAAAGATTGTACTTTATTGAATTTATAAGTAAAAAAAATAAATTAAGTCTAAATAAGTCAAATCTCTCCTGAACTTTAACTCATTTTAAGTTGAGTCTTTAAAATTCAAATATGATTTCTAAAATGCTTGAACTTTTACTATTTTGAGATGGTCCATCCAATGATTTTTAACTATCATCCTCTCTTCTAAAAAATTTAATTATTAGTATTTTGATCTAAAATTTTACACACACATTGAAAAAAATCCAATCCATTTTGTAAAAAATTCCAATTTTTTTCAAAATAAAAAACTATATTTGTTTATTTTTTAAACATAAAAAGATAGAAAATAAATTGAAAATGATTTTTTTGAGAAGCCCTATATCAATCCAACTGAATAATTTTTATTGTAGAGCTATTTATGTGATTGTTATTTTTTGAGGATAAATTATAGATTACTAATTGATGGGCTAAATCTTAAAAAATTAAAAATTAAAAGTCTATAGATCCCAAAAATCAAATTTGAAGTTCAAAAACTCAATTTCAAATGAGTTAAACTTAAGAAGAGATTTGACCTATTTAATCATGAATCAATTATTTTTTCTGGTAATTTATTTAATTAATAATAATAATAATTATTATTTTTATTTGTGATTTTTGTACTGTACTAAACTATGGAACAGAGAAAGTGATTTACATCATGTACTGAAAAAAGAAGCTGAATTATTGTTGATTAATTAAAATATGAAAGTAAGAACAAGTGAACAACTATGATAAAGAAACAAAAACGAACAAGTCTACAACTCTTAGTCTTGTTAAAGGAAAACGAAAATCACATAAATGATAGACTTTCCAGCTGTAGTTAGGGTCGTCCACGAAATAGAACGATGATCCACAGTCAAAATCTTTTAAAAAAGGTCACCTCGGGAAAGTCAATGTAATAAGAAAACGTAACAAAGATCAATACTATTAAATAGCTCGTAGTAATTAGATTCCTTTCACAACATTACAAAACACCAAACTCTAACATAAAAAAAGGTAGTAACTGTTTTGAAATCACTACATTACATTACAAAGATCAAACGTTAATATCAATAAAATATTTTTTTCCTTCAAATAAATGCTAATTAATAAGAGCCAACCGGCACAAATATTTAGGTGTTGAATCCGATTCTTCTTAGATACTCCAAATAAACGGCTAGCCAGGTTTGAAAGTATGAATTTATGATTGTGTTTTATAATTCTATAACAGGAAGAGACCAAAAAAAAAAAAAAAAAGTTTAAAATTTTGAATATATACTCATTTGTATTTATATAATAATATTAAAATTTTCTGATATGTCTCTAAGTTTTTAATTATATCACTTTTTTTTTGAAAATATGAGAAATATTCAATTGGTCCTTTTAATTAATTTTTTCATCCAAATAAAAACTAATTTGACCGAAATGCCTTTTATTGAAAGGTAAAAAAATAAAAATAAAACTCTAAGTGTTTTTTTTTTTTTTTTGCATTTTAGTAAAATGTATTTCGATTAAAAAAAATGATCAAAAAATTTAATCGGAATGATAAATTGAATAGTATAAAAATTTTCAAAGATAAATGGAAGGCAATTTAAAATCTAGAGATATATAAAATTTTAAGTATTATATTAAATCAGATAGGTAAATTTACTTTTAAAATTGTGCAGCTTGGCTCGGTAGGGCAAGCATGTGACCAATTACGGGGGACAAAAGGACGAAATTTCCAGGCTGCAATGGAGGATGTACAGAACCACAAAAGGTGGAAAAAAGATCATCCCGCAAGTGACCGCTGACTCGGTTTGACAAATCTGAGGAAACACTAGTGTTGCTCATCAAACGTTGCATTATTAAAGTGCCAGGTTGCCAATGCATTGGATCCAGATCAGAGAAATCACTACCGAATCTTTTAGATTTTAAGATTCAGAATTAATTACAATATTTCATTGTCAAGCTAGGCCAATATAGATTGAATCTATGGGGGGCAATTCAGCAGTTCAACCATTAATTCTCGAAGTGGCAATCGAGATGGACAAATATGTACCGGTGTTTGATTTTGGGGATGATTGAAAGAGATGTTTGCAAATCGGCTCAAACTTTTTATCCTTAAAGTGGTTGTACCAAAGATATGTTCCCTTAATGCATGTGTACAGTCTTTTATTATTGTTGTTTTCTTATACAGAAGAGCAGGGAGTTAAGACAGTATTTGAACTCAAATTCTCCTCTACTTCTTTATGCAGGGAGGGGTATCTTCGTTGGAAGTCGTATTGACAAAGTTTACATTTCTCTCTTACCAGACCTTTTTTTTTTTTTTTAATCCCAGCATTGATACCTGAAATAAAAAACGCATTGCTTAGAATAAATGTTATCCTATTGTAAAAATATTGTGCATCTTTACTGTGATTTTTTTTATTCATCAACAAATTTATGGATCTCAAGCTACAAAATGAAAACATTCATCTCCTGATACATAATAACGACTCGAACTTTTCCCCTTTAAAAAATTTATCTAAAAATAAAATCGTTAATCTAAATCTCTTTGCGTATGATTTTTTATTTTTCACGAATAGCGTATTTTTGGTTTAACCTAAATCTCATTAAAACTCAATTTTTTTGCACACATATTGTAAACAAGTTATTCATACCTCAACTAACGTATTTATTAGAAATTGGTTTTTTGTTTTCTTTTAGAGTGGAATCCTAATCATCACATAGAAAATAAACTCATTTGGCATGCGCCCAAGACTCTTGAGTGTGTACACGTCACCATTTTTACTTTTAGGATTTTAAGGGTGGGGGCCCCAACAAAAGGGCCAAAAAAAAGAAAGAAAGACTGCATCCTACCCTACAAAGCATCAATTAAAATATCGTGCACCTAATAACTCGTTGATCTCTTATTTAACATTTTGTTTTCTTAATGCTCTGAAAATATATAAACTTCTAGAAACTCAATGGTCATCTTTGATCGGCCTCCTGTTCTGTACTGTTTTTTCTTTTCTTTTCTTTTTTTTTTTTAATTCAAAATGTGTTTCTGGTGGTTGAAATTGAGATTTCTATGGAATAGAAATTTAGAATGAAATTAACCTTTGAATAGTTACTGCAACTTCTAATTTTTGTGCGTTAATGGTACTGTTTTGTTCTATTGGGACATAATTTATTGGGAGTTGGATGAGAGAAGAAAATGGAAAACGAGAAGTTTCTTTGAAAGAAGCACGCTGACACTTCGGAGTTAGGAATCCCGAACAAATTAAAGAGTTCTTCTTTTTATGTCCTTTTCCGCTTGGCGTCCTCGTTCACGTGTCCGAAGGAAATTTCATCCGTAATTATTGATGTTTGAACGTCGTGAAATCGAGAAAAGGAGTAGCCCGAATTTGAACCATTTAGGACAAGTTGATTTATAAAAACAAACAAACAAGTATGGTCTACATTTATTTCAATTTTTTACTAGGATGAGAAATTGAAATCATTTTGTCAACTGTAGCCAAATAGAAACGATGGTTAAAAAAGAATGAAAGTAATACTAATTGGCATAGGTCTCGTTATAATACTTCACTTCCATCGTGGTTCAGGTTAGATCATCCAAGTTCATAATTAACAGGTTCATGTTATATAATCCAAGGTTAAAATTAATAATTTTACTGTTTTTTTAACTAAGTTAACATCATATAACTCTTTACTTTTTACCAATTTTAAAAATAAATAATTTTTTTTAGATCAAATCAACATCATATCACTCTTTGTTTTTCATCAATTTTAGAAGTCGAACTCTTTTAACCCATCAAAAATTCATTAGATCCATCAATTTTTGAAGTAAGTCAACATTAAATTACATCTAATCTTGAATCAAATTTAAAAACTAAATCCATTACTTCATAAGTTAAATCAATTTTAGATCATGTTTAATTTTAAATCGATTTTAAGAATACAACTTTTTAAGTTCATCAATAATTAGCTAAGTTAAACACTTTTTAAATCAAATTAATGTCATATCATATCTAATATCATATCTAGTCTTTGATTGATTTTATAAACTAAGTTCATTAGAGCTAAAGCAATATATAGTTGGAGTGGATTTTAAAAGTCGAATTCTTTAAATTTATTAACAATTCGTATTTAATATCAAAATAAAATAAAATACACACACATGTATATAAAATTGAACTGCTTACCTAATGGGTCAAAAATATATCTACTTACCAGTCCACCTAGTACCTTTGAATGGTTTTAATTTTAGTATTCAGTTAAGTAAATATTGATCGTTAAAAGTTTAGGCATTTATTTATTTTAAAAACTTAGACTAAAAGAAAAAAGATATATCATATTAAAAAGACCTTTTACATGTTTATATATATCTCTTTAAACATAGTTGGAAGTCTAATGCGTCATTTGTTTTGAGAAATCTTTCTTAGTTTTATACTCCTCTTAGCTGGGAATTATCATTAATTTAGTTATTCAAAAAGAATAGTCACGTCATTTCAGTGATGTAATCTCTTGCTCAATTGTTGAGACATCAGACTCATGTTATCGCGTGGCTTATGCTTCAACACAGATTATTTCCACTTTCGCAAAGCTAAAGATTGACTTTGTCCCACCCACTAATCTCCAGTTGCTTCCTACAAAGCTACCACGAGATTTGTAAGGTTGCATAAGGCCGTCAAGCAAAGGCAAAGCAAAGAAAGTTATCATGGGAGAAGTTGGTAATAATATTGAAGAATTACCTCTCCATAACCTTGCCGATAGTAGCATCAAAGGCCCTCAGTTACCTCTTCAAGTCATCACCATTGCAGCAAGTTCCATCAGAGAAACGGACAGTGCTGCTACAAGTACAAGCATGAGAATTTATGATTACCCAGATAATACAGAAAGTCGGTCTGAGGTCAACCCACAAGAGGCTTGGCTTCCTATTACAGAATCAAGAAATGGCAATACTGTTACTTCGGTGTTTCATCTGTTGTGTTCTGGAATTGGAATTCAAGCCCTTTTACTTCCTGTGGCGTTTTCCACTCTTGGATGGTAAATCAATGAAAAACCTTCCTCCTTTTTTCTGTCGTTAAGAGATTATTTTAAACATGCATCAAATAACTATATTTCTCACCTAATTTTTAATATATTGAATACATGTATAGTTATATTGATAAATTATTGCAGAAAAAAAAGGCATCTTTTATAATAAAAAATTGTTCTTAAACCATTTTAAACGGTTCTGAGATATAACCGATTAGGAAATAAAGAACAGAGAAATTAATATAACATTAATGGTGGTTTGTTGAATTGTGGTAGGACATGGGGAATCATATGCTTGTTGCTAGCATTTACTTGGCAACTCTATACCATATGGATTCTTGTCCAACTTCATGAATCGGTACCTGGAATTGGAACTCGCTGCAGCAGATATCTCCAACTTGCAATAATTGCCTTTGGTTCGTACTTTGGTACCAAAAAGGAACAAAATTCTAGCTAGATGTTCTTCTCTTCTTCTTTTTAAGGTAACTTGTGATATCATATGTCTGTGAACAGGTCCAAAGTTAGGAAAGTTGCTAGCTATATTCCCAGTAATGTACTTATCAGGAGGCATAAGTGTGATGCTGATTATCAAAGGAGCTGGAACCATAGAACTTTTCTTCAAAATGATGTTGGGAGATGGGGCCGATGCCAAGTCATTGTCTGGGGCAGAGTGGTTTTTGATCTTCACCTGCATGGCTATAGGATTGGCTCAACGGCCTAACTTGAATTCCATTGCTGGGTTCTCTCTTATCGGTGCAGTCACCGCCATTGGTTACTGTACTCTGATTTGGGTACTCCCCGTCTCTAAGGGCAGACCTGGTGGTGTTTCTTATAATTCATTGAAGGGGGAATCTAATATGTCTGGAATGTGTGATGTCTTGGATGCAATTGGAATAGTTGTGCTTGCATTCAGGGGTCACAATCTTGTGCTTGAGATCCAGGTAAGGATGCTCAATTGCTCGTTTTGATTAGTAGTTTTTACTTTTTAGGCTACTTAGATTACTGATATAATAGCATCATCAATGAAGGCTTAGAACACACTACAAGAAAATGGTAATTTTGACAGACTTTTTCAGTCGCAAATGAAGGGTCTTTAGTTCAAATTAAATTTGTTATGGATTTATGACGGTTTTTCTTCGATATAAATTTTCACGATTACAAACAAAATTTATGACAAGAATTCCATCACAAGATCACAAATCCGTCATAAATTAATAATAAATAAAATAAATAAATATTTCCATTGCAATCCATCCGAAAGTTATTAGTAATTAAAAACATAAATTTATGACAGATAAATTGAAGATAAATTGATGTGATCTGTCACTGATTTCTGGCCGATAAATTTCTTTCACAAATATCATTGTTTTTTCTCACTTTATCTGAGAAAAACCCATTAATATTTTGTATTTGTACCTTTTTTTATGAATAATATTTGTATCTTTCGTAGCTTCTATTAAAAAAAAAAGATGGGTTAATTTTATTTTTAAGTATATGGATTCAATCATTTTTTTTCTTTTCTAAAAGTTTGTTTTCTATCAATCATTCTCCTAATGTTTTATCATTTATCAATAAAGACATTTCTTCTACTTTCGTTAAGAAAAACTAACGAAATATGTTTTTAATTTTATTTTATAAAATTTAATTTTTCCCCTAAAACTATACATAGTTTTTCAATTATCTTCTAAAAATTTTGTTTTATATTATTCATTTTAAGATACATAAAAAAATTAATTTGAAAGCAAACTCACTTAAAACAAGAGAACCAAAAATAGACTCAATATGAAATTTCATTAAAAAAAGAAAAGGACAAAACCAAATTCATTAAAATATTTTAATAATATTTAACCAGAAAAATCATAAAATAATAAGAAATTCAAATTCAAGTGCACTTCGTAGTGTAATTTAATTTTATTCTAAATAAATAAAAACAAAATTTATACATTTTTTTTTTTTTTTTTGGGATAACTTAACTAAATTGATGGCACCAAGTTGCCTATGAAGACGACAAGATAAAAGAGTACAAGAATTAGATATATGTTAATTTTATAGATTGAAGAAAACAAGAAAAAAAATAATTTAATTCAAAACAAACAAAATTATTATATTTAGCATGTTCACTTGACTTTGTTTTTCTGTTTCGAAACGGACTAAATAGATACAAAGTTTATTGAATGATTTTAAGGTATTTAATGATTTTAATGATCGAATTTTTTTATAAAAAAACTTATATAAATTTGTTTTTTTTATTTTTTATTGATCAAAATTTATATTAATTATTATTATTTTGTTATTTTTCTTATATTTAAAGCGAATATGCTTTCAAAATAATTTATATTATTATTTTGTTATTTTATTTTTTTTTAATAGAGAAATTGAAGTTTATACAATAAAAAATTATTTTTTATTAGTTTTGTTGACAGAGATGGACGGAAATGACATATTGATAAATAGTTGAAACGTCACGAGAATAATTGGTAGAGAACAAACGTTTTCATAAAAATTTCATAAAAATTAATAGAACTCGTATATGTCAATATAGTAAAATAAAACATACTAAAGAGAATGTTGTGTCTGATGCAGGGTACCCTGCCTTCAAGTTCAAAACATCCATCAAAAAAGCCAATGTGGAGAGGAGTGACTATCTCCTACACAATAGTAGCCATGTGTTTATTTCCTCTTGCAATAGCTGGATTCTGGGCTTATGGAAACAAGGTAAACACAATCACTTTCTGTTCTACAATCAATGTATTGCAGCATCACTGGCAATCTTTTGCAGATGCTAATTATTTGCTACCATTTTTGGCAGATACCTTCAGATGGAGGGATGTTGACCGCATTTTTGAATTCCATGGACGTGACACTTCAAAATTTGTGAAGGGCCTGATCTACTTGCTGGTGGTGATTAACTGCCTTTGTTCCTTCCAAATATATGCCATGCCAGTTTTCGACAACCTTGAATTTAAGTACACTAGCAAGAAGAACAAGCGATGCCCATGGTGGATTCGCACCGGTTTTCGGCTCTTTTTTGGAGGATTGGCCTTCTTTATAGCCGTCACTTTTCCATTTTTACCTAGCTTAGCTGCTTTATTAGGAGGGATCACCTTACCCCTTACACTGGCTTATCCATGTTTTATGTGGATTTCGATCAAGAAACCCCATCAAAATGGGCATGTTGTCATGTGGTGTCTTAATCTAGGACTTGGATGCTTAGGCATGGTTCTTAGTGTTCTATTGGTGGTTGCAGCTGTTCGGAATTTGGCTACCAATGGCCTACATGCCAACTTCTTCAAGCCCAGTTGATAACTGAGGAAAACAGCTCCGAAGTTTGTAAATGTTATTCCCATAAGAGATCTAATCATGTGCTTGTTAATACGGTTTCATAAAATTTTAACTTTGTATTCTCCAATCGTGAAATCTTAAAACTACAAGCACGACTAAATTTCAATAGCCCTCCTCAGGCAATAAATTTCACTAACTTTTCTCATGTTAACCACCTTACATTTTATGATTAGAATTGAGCCATTTTATTATATATATATAAAATTCAATTTCATAAAGACACCAATATGAAAGACACCAAGAATTTTACATCAGAAACCAAAGATATTTTATATAACCATGACAATGCCATTATTTTCTCCCGATGGGTATAGGCTTTCCTTGCTTCTTCACCCATCGCTCTATCTTTGGGCTTTGGTTCCATGATCCGATGGTTCCAAATATCAGAGTATTTCTTACCAGACCACTTTCTACTGATTTTATAATGCGGAAATAGAGAGAGATGTGATTAAAAAAATAGCAATCTTGCATTGTTGATTTGTTGTTTATGGTTAGGAAAATGATATAAAACTTTGCTTTCAATTTTATTGAGAAAAAAAAAATCATATGAGAGTCGATTTTGTTATTAGGAGTATGTTCGAATTATATAGATTAAATTTGAAAACACTAAGTAGATGGAGAATTTATAAGTACAAAAACTAGGTGTTCAACAATACTATAAAGGGTTTTGTCAATATATATATATATATATATATATTTTAATAACAAGTAACAATTATTGTTTTAAAATTTTATATCGTGGTGCCAAATAGAGATATATTTGTTTGAAGCAAAAAAAAAATAGATTGGAAATTTCTCACGAAGCACTAAAAACTAGTCAACTAAAATGCTCAGACACCTAACACAAGACAAAAAAGATTTCGTGGACAAAAATAATCCCATGCACTAATCTATGATCGTCAAAAGCCAAATTAAAATTTGCTTTTTTCTTTAATAAATTAATGACCCCTTTACCTTATGGAGTACATATTTTGGTACAAGATCAGTAGTAAATTAGATTTCTAATAGGAAATGAATAGAAGGTCATTGCTGACTTCATGAGCATTAATTCTATATATACCTCTTATATACTTCAAAAGAATCAGAACCCTTAATTTATTAGTATTTTGTATTTTTGCTCAGTCTTTCTCACCAGCATCAGAAAGACTGATCAAGTGATGCATAGTTTTGGTGCTCCACACCAAGCCAACAAGCTAAGTAAAACTGTAAAAGATTTGATCAGTAGTCTTCATTTTTAAAGATGGATGATGACCCACAAGAGGCTTGGCTGCCTATTACTGAATCGAGAAATGGCAATGTCGTTACTGCAGTATTTCATTTGTTGTCTTCAGGAATTGGAATTCAAGCCCTTTCACTTCCAGTAGCTTTTGCCAATCTCGGATGGTAAGTGACTGTATCTTATAATATGTATTGGGATTATTATTTACCTCTTCATTTGAAAATCGATGTATTAACTTTTAATTTCGACTTGAATTTTCCCTTAATTATATTTTATTTGAATTTAGATTTTTTTGTTAAGTTTTCATCAATTTTAAAGTATAAGTGTAAAAATTGAACACCTAAAAACATGTCAAAACTTATAAATATTTTGCTTTTTTTTAAAAAAAAAAACTTGTTTCTTTTCTCCTAAATGCTAAGAAGTAATTAAAGAATATTTTAAAAAAAGTTTTGATAGGAAAAGCAAAACATTCATAAGTTTTGGTATTTTTTTAACTATTGAAAATTTTAAAAAATCAACTATGTGCATGTCATATATATTTCCACTGGTAAAATTGATTGAAACCTAATAAAATGATTCAATTTTAAATAATAAATAGTAGAAAAAAAATTTAACTTGAAATTAAAAATTAAAAAACTGATTCTCCAATGACTTAAAGTTTAGAGAAGGTTTGAACTATTTAACCAAAAAAAAAAATCTAAAACATTTTTTTTCAACTTTCAAAAATAATTAAAAAATTGTTGTTTTTGTATTTTATTAGCAATACTATAATGATAAAAATTCCTGCTTCTAATTGTATTTGGAATTTTAAAAGTTAAATAAAGGTAAAAATAATTAGAAGCCTGTTCTTTTAGTATCACTTTCATTTTTAATGATAAAAATTCCTGCTTCTATGTTCGCACGTGTTGTTTCTTTAAATTAATATTTTTGCTTCTTATAATATTTTTCTTGTGGTGTTGCAATCTTTCTTGTTTTATTATTCAATTCTAATCCAACTTCAATGATATATCGCAGGGCATGGGGAACCATATGCTTATCATTAGCATTTACATGGCAGCTCTACACCATATGGATTCTTGTTCAACTACATGAACCAATTCAAGGAACTAGAATTCGCTACAGCAGATATCTACAGCTTGCAATAGCCGCCTTTGGTTAGTTCTACTTCCACCCAAAAGAACCAAATATTTGCAAAATAGTATTCCTTTTTTTTTTCCTCCCTCAATTTATGTCAATGTAGTTAGATGGATATAGGCAGCCATTTTGAGGTCGATTGGTCCAACATTACATAGAAATAATGAAAATAGACATATCCAAGCAAGAAAACCCAAAAAACCGTTTAAGAGAAATTTTATAATACTCAAGGAATAACTATTATAAATATAAAGTAATTATTTTATTGATATACTTTCGAGGTGAGAAATAGACAAAAAAAAAAGAAATAAGAGAGAGAATTTAAAAAAAAAAAATTGAGCCAATTTGTAAATTTTTTTATCATTTTTTTATAAATCTAAATATAATATATATATCTTCTCAAAAGTGAACTCGTAAAATAACTGCGATACTTATAAATTTTTTCGATGGTTCGGGCTAAGAAGCTAAGCACAATCATAAAGCCATAACCATAGAATTCTAATATTAGATAATGAAATTTCTTCCCTTTTTTTAAGACAATAAATCCAATTCTTGACTAAAATTTCGAATAGTTGTCTCGAATTCAAGTTGATGGTGGCATTTACATGGTAACTCTTTGCCATATGGATTCTTGTTCATCGACATGAACCGGTTCACAGAATTGGAAATGGCTACTGCAAATATATATGATCACCAACTTGCTACCTTTGGTTAATTCCATCCAAAGCAACCAAGTTCTAGAAAGATTTTTAAAAATAATATGTAATATATTTACCTAGATTTCTACATAAGATTACAAAACTAAACATTATTAACATAAAGAAGCACTTCCGTAGTGTACAAATTAATATCAATGTACTAAATTATGTGTTTGTGGACAGGTCCAAAGCTTGGAAAGTTGCTAGCAATGTTTCCAGTAATATACCTATCAGGGAGCACATGTACGATGCTGATTATGAAAGGAGCTGGAGTCATGGAGCTTCTCTTCAAACTGATATGTGGAGGTGGGGCTGCATGTGATGACAAGTCATTGACTGGGGTGCAATGGTTTTTGGTCTTCACTTGCATGGCTATTGCATTGGCTCACCGACCTAACTTGAATTCCATTGCTGGGATCTCACTTGTTGGTGCAATTAGTGCCATTGGGTATTGTACTCTGATTTGGGTACTGCCCATCTCGAAAGGCAGACCTGTTGGTGTGTCTTACGACTCACTGAAGGCAGAATCTAATATTGCTGGAATGTGTGACATCTTGAATGCGATAGGGATAATTGTGCTCGCATTCAGGGGGCACAATCTTGTGCTTGAGATCCAGGTAAGAACGAGAAATCGTTGCACATAGGGCTTGTTATAGACTGGGGTGGGATTGTCTTATCCATATTTTTGTAAAATATCCCTTTCTTAGGTCTTAGCTTCTGTATAAAGATGGAAAATACAATGTTTGACGTTGCAGGGAACATTGCCTTCAAGTTCAACAAGTCCATCCAAAAAGGCGATGTGGAGAGGGGTGAGTGTCTCATACATACTAATAGCGATATGTTTATTTCCTCTCGCAATAGCTGGATTTTGGGCTTATGGAAACAAGGTGAAAACACTTCCTTTCTTTTTATTCTACTAACAGTGTATTGCATCCCAGATTCCTGAAAAATGTTGAAAGACTGAAAGTTTAGCTTAATGAGATATCATTTAGCTACTTTAATTTCATCATTATGGGGAATCTTTTGCATATGCTAATTATTTGCTACCATTTTCGGCAGATACCTTCAAATGGAGGGATGTTGACAGCAATTTTCGAATTCCAAGGACGCAACACATCAGAATTTGTGAAGGGCATAATATACTTGCTAGTGGTGACTAGCTGCCTTAGCTCATTCCAAATCTATGCCATGCCAGTTTTCGACAACCTGGAATTTAGGTACACCAGCATGAAGAACAAGCGATGCCCATGGTGGGTTCGCGCAGGTTTTCGGCTCTTCTTTGGAGGGCTGGCCTTCTTCATAGCAGTGGCTCTTCCTTTTTTGCCTAGCCTAGCCCCTTTAGTTGGAGGGATTACCTTACCCCTAACACTGGTGTATCCATGCTTCATGTGGATTTCGATGAAGAAACCTCACGAAAAAGGTTCTGCTGTCATGTGGTATCTTAATCTAGGACTTGGATGCTCAGGCATTGTTCTAAGTGTTCTATTGGTAGTTGCAGCAGCATGGAATTTGGCTACCAAAGGCCTACATGCCAACTTCTTCAAACCCCTACGATGACTGATCCTTCCCAGAAGAATGCTCCAAATTTTGTAAAGCATATCAATTGACGTGTGACAAGATCAATTTACGCACTCGTTAACAACAATTCAATGAATCTTAATGTTACAATGCCACCAAAACTTGGTTTCATAAATCCTAACCAGCTTTTAATTCATAGCAAATCGCTACTAGAACTCGAACCCAACTCACTCCCTCAACCCTAAAAGAGGCAAAATCATAAGAGTAACAACCTGCTCCAAAATAAGAAGGCTAATTATAGAAAAACAACAATGCCGCCATTAAACTTTGTTTCAACCAAACCGTCATCTCCATTACTACTAGCAAAATTTACATTGCAAATAAGAAGCATGAATTTCTCCATTCTTTTACAACAAATACCCATCTGACAGCCTAGATGAAATGTAGAAGACAACAATAATGTGTTGGGCAAAATAAAGGCCGACATATGACAGTGGATCAATTGAGAACTAAAAATACATCTTATTACTAACACCCCTCGAAGCTGTGCATCAATCAGTGATAAACACATGCATTTGTCAAATTGTGGGGCTTGCCCAGTTTTTTGCCCGTTAGAACAACAGTGCAGCTAACACGCTTATAAAACTTTGACTTCACCAATCTTCCCAAAATGTAGGCCCTCGACCTTAAGGCAAAACCCAGGTTAAGAGGCACTGCAAATTTGCTACTACGCTCATTAGCATTAGCAAGATGGGGCACCCCTCCATAGAGAGGAACTTGGGAACCGTGCACCACTGTTACCACTGTCCTCCGGCTCTTCCTGGGTTGAGAGAACTTCTTCATCTATTTTACCAATCCATAAAACCAATTAATTAGACCCAAATAATAAAGAAAGAAAGAAAAAGATAATGCTACATGGAACAAAAAGAAATTAAAAACGCAAACATTTGGTTCGTTCATTCAACTGAACCACATTTTTCACAAAATATTCAATCTTTTCTCCTCAAATTAAATGGAAAAATTAATGATTTGGATGGTTTATTTTATGAATTATGCGTTCAAGGAAGCCCACATGCATGAATGTGGTCTCCTCACATTCTAGTGACATAATTTACCCTCACAGTTTTTGACAAACATTCTGGGACACAAAACCCTTTGGAATCCCATGCAAGTCCAACAAGGACAGACATCGTGAGATTAACCATGTTGGAGATTTTTCTTTCCAAGGACCACAAGCTCGATGGAGATAAAAATGAACATAACAACCAAGAAAAGATATTGAAGAAATCAATTTCATCTATCCAATTCAAGTTAGTGGGTTCCACAATACACTTCCCAACAAAGTTTGTCAGTCTTTTTGCAGTCTTTTACAGGCACTCTAAATTTCTAGCCACTAGCATCCTTCAATCCGTCCTTGCCCCACCTCACAAGGTATCCAAAACCCAAAAGTCCTTCCTTTGGACCCTTAAAAACGATAGAAGTCTGACCACCAAACCAGATTTTCAACCTATCTACGCTATTTACAATGACCATGTTACCCATATCACAGCCATTGTTTCATGTTAAAACCAAGGATAAAATAGACTGTAGGCCACGTTACCCATCTCATAGCCGTTATTTCATGTTAAAACCAATTATAAAACAGACTTCAGGGACATCAAGGACTTCGGCGTTTACCTGTCCAGAGGCAAGTTTGAGCTGGAAATAGTGAATTTCAAGAGGGGTAGAGGTGACATGGACGGCAAAAAATGTTGCGGGATTTTTGTAATGAATCTTGACCGTAGCATTCAAAGACAGCATGTCTGTTGGCACTCCTGATTGATCATTCCCTGCTTGAACATAAAAATTCTCGAACACAATGTTCTGTTTAAAAAGAACACACAAAAAAAAAACACCTTTTTAATCGCTTTTAATTATTTTATTCCTAAACTTTAATTATTTGATTTTTACCGCTGTCGTTAACTAGAAATGAAATAAATTAACATAATTAAAGGCTAAAAATAAGAGATTACGCAAGCCTAAAAGCAGCAGTCTAATACTAATCCACATTTATAGTCCCCCTATGCCCTAGGCATCATCACCAACTATTCCATTTCCCCACAAGACCTACAAAAAACGGAGTCACTTAATTGACTCGGTAGAGATTCACCTAGTCGACTCATTAAACTTTCAAAAAGGTCAAAAACGTACCTTGACTAAAATTTCAGGCGTATAAGCCTTGCTAGCACCCCACAGGATCAAACAAAACACGGTGAACAGCAGGACAAAGATCAAGAACCCAATAAAATACAATCTCACATTACGTGCACCACCCCCACCATCTTTATCATCATCACCACCGTCATGATCAGCACCATCTTGGTCATCAATCCTTATATGTTTCCAAGCAGATAAACTCCTTGGGAACTTGAGTGAATTAGAGAATCTTGACGTAGAGGACTCACGAGAGTGGTGAATGGGTGAACAATGGTAGTAAAGGTGTGGTGGTGAGAGATTTGGGCTTGACCCGTAGGACATTTTCTCCACATCATGGTTTGATGGACTTTGAACGTAGTATATTGGCCTTCTTGGTGACCTTGGCGGCCATGAGGTGTCAAGACTGGTTCCATCTGAATCAGTCTTGGCGTGCATCTTTTATTCCCCCTTGAAGACTGCTTTGAGAGAGATAAAGAGAAGGAAATAGGTGCGTTATTGGTAGGGTTTGGAGTTTTTTGTTTTTGTTTTTGTTCTTGTTCTTGTGAGGTTTGGTATTGGAGAGACAGACGAAGAAAGTAATTATGATATGATGCCAAGAAAGGAAGGGGCAGGTAATGGGGAGCACAGAAACCTGACACAGCGAGAAGGATTTATCAGAGGGGTTTTGAATCACGAGACAGAGTAACTGAGTAACTATGGAAAGTGTAATAAAAAACTTGCTGACAATACGTTAGATGGGACCCTTCTTCGTGTAGGGCCAACTGTTACGAATGTGAGCAAATAGTTGCGTCGCATGATATATATATATATATTATTCAATATCATATAACATAACATATGCATACTTCAATTATAATATTATACACACATGTATAATATTTAAAATTTAGTCATTAATATATATACATATACACACATACCTCGAATATATATATTATTCGGATAATTAATACTGAAAATCCAATAACTATGATATAAATATTTAAGTTTTTCTCCTAATGAATAATAAATGAGATAATTGCTCTATAAGTACATCATTTTTAATTTTTTCTCAATCAATTTATGAATTTTGATTTTATTTTTTATTTCTTATATCGTTTTTTTTTAAACTATCAATAGAGTATTTTGATCAATTTATCAATTAATTGATAATATTTTAATTGTCAGTTACCTTCTTTCTTTGAATGCCAAATTAAGACTTTTTTTTTTCAATTAAGTATGTGGATTTTAAATTTTTTTGTTTGAATGCATTAATTTTTTTTAAATTATCAATCAAGTATTTCTATTAATTTTTTTATTAACTGATAACATGTTTGTTATTGCTAAAATACTAAATTATAATTATGCCTCTTTTTGTTGGAGGAAATTTTCTTCCCAAATGCTCACGAGTAATGATTATATATATTATTTTTGTGTTTTCCTTTCAATTTTTGCTTCCAAGCCTAACTATTTGTTTTTTCTTCTTTTTTTTTTTCAGCAAACATAATTGAGTTTAATTCGAAAATTTATAGATAAAAAATATATTTTTTTAATTTTTTATCAAATTTTAAAATGGTTGGATAACAATCGAGTTTGGAATGTCTAGATAAGACTAATAAAAAAGATAAGGTGTTCACAATTTATAATAAATAGTTTGAGAGGGAAATTTCTTCCTAGAAAAAGAGGATAAATTTGTAATGTGGTATTTAAGAGTAACACATATTTTATTGATTAATAAAAAAATTGATAGAAATACTTTAGTGATAATTTTGAAAAAATGAACGGATTCAAATGATAAAAGTTAAAATCTATGTATTTGACTGAGAAAAAAAAATTATAATTTAGCATTGTAGATATAACGGATACATTATTCGTTAACATTAAAAGTAATGAATTTGTAATTTTGAAAAAATCAATATATTCAAGAGAAAAAAATTAAAATCTAGATACACTCAATTGAAAAAAAAATAATAAAAAATAATATATTTATAGTACAATTATCTCAATAATAAATAAAATACAAATGTATTGAAAATCCGATTTATGGACACCCATTATCGTCTCTCCTTCCAAGCCTTACTATCCTCGGGCCATCTTCATTAAAGGACGTTTGAGACGGGTACAGGCCCTTGATAAGAATATGACTTTTAATGGTTCTAATAAAGGTGTCTATTATGGTTCTTGTAATTAATTTATGGATTTGATAGTAAAGAGAACAAGCGAAGTACAATTTTAACATTCAAAGGCTAATTGAGCTTTTTAATTAAACCGTATAAAGCGAGAAATCAATATAGCCAATAATTTTGATTTCATTAAAAAAAATTAAAAAGTTTTATATTTTTTTAAAAATCTATATTTCACAAAATTTCCAAACTTTCAAGAATTAAAAATTTTCACAAAAGAATTAAAAATTTTACATTGGGTTTCATATTTCAGAAAATTTTCAAAATTTGACTCGTTGCTTGAAAATCCGAAAATAAGCAATGGTGATCAAGAATAAATAAAGAAAATAAAGAGATGGTAATTTCCAAACTCCTTGTGAGGTCGTGGTTGATGCTGTTAATTTAAAACAAATAATTTATATCATTTTACTTTCCTCGAAATTTTCAACTGGTTCAAGAGTGTTATTTGTTTTTTTTTAAAGTGTTAAAATTCCAACCAACGAAGAATGATGACAGCTGCCAGCAATATTTTATAGTAACAGTGTGATTTTGATTTTTCCTTTTCTTTTCGTATTTCTAGTTATAAAGAAAGAATGTACTTTGAATGAATATATATATTGTTTCGGATATTTTTTTATAACTTTTAATAATTTATCTTAATTTTAGTATTTTTCATTTAGTATATATAAGAGTTTTTTTTTATCGAAAACATCAAAGTAAGTTAATATTTAATTAAAAATCAAATTAATTACATAAATATTATTCTTTTTTTAAAAAAAAACTCCTACAACAAAGCGACTAACAGAATTCTTTTATCATATATACATATTGTCATGCCCATATTACAATACATTATATATTTCTTGTTGTGTCTAAATTCCACATCCACGGGTCATGAGAGATTTTGATTAAGGTACACTATTGCATAGGCTTGCACCAGGCTTAATACCAGTTTTTCAATTACAAGTAATATTTTAATCTATTATTATTATTCTTGTTGTTGTTAATTAAATCAATGTTCCGTTAAAATTATATTTTGAATCTGGGCAAGTAAGTTAATTTGTTTTTATATAAACATGAGTTTTTAATTTAATCTATCTATATATTTTTAATTGTTTTATTTTGTTTATGACTATTGTTTCAATTTTTAATTTTTTTAAACTGAAATGCTTCTGACTGAAATATATATAAATAGAAAAAAAAACAATTAAAGTTAAATGACTTGAATATTCTATTTTTCAAGTCTTAAGATTTTTATTTTTATTTTGCTTTTTAGTTAGAAGTATTTTAGTCAAAAATTTATCATTGTCAAAAAAATTGATCAAAATAACTAATCAGGGAATTAAATATTATTTAAAGAGATCACAAATAAAATTAAAAAAAAAGGACAAACTGAAAATTCAGAACTACAAAGACAAAAATAATAAATAAAAAGATTACTTGAAAAAACAGTGTCGCGTTGTCTCGAGTTCTAACAATATACATTCTATGAATGACAATTAACTACAAAGGAAAGAAAAGATTTCTATTAAAAATAATAGAGGTGCATTTAGTTTAAAATGACACAGGTATTTTTTCAATAGCGACACAAACCTAATTAAAGTATACCTAAATAGCCTAAAATATAAAAACAGAAAAAAAAAAAAAAACTTTGATTTATCTTTTATCACGTCATCCCAGCTCATTCTCAAACTCAGATGTGACAAATTCTTTCAATGACTTCTCTCTAAAAACACGCTAATTTCGTACATTATTTGGTAGCTTTGAGTTTGGGTGACAACCTTTTTTAGCCTTTGACAGTGTGCTTGAATTGAATTGCTTCTTTTATCTGCAATGGTTACTTATAAATAAAAGATTGCCCGCTGATTTATCTTTTTATTTTTTACAATTTATTTATTTATTACGTCAATTTTCCGAACAAACGGATAGGTAATAAAGAAAATCTAACACCTGCAATATTATATCAAATAAGATTGCTACAGTGACCACGAGAAAAGGAAAAATTAATTAAAAAATGAAAAAAATATTGCTAAGTATAAATACAAAATGAAAAGAAAATTAAAATAGATAATAAAGGTTAAGGATTTTTTTTCTTTTTTCCATAAACCAAACCCTTTTACTTTTTCCTTCTCTTTTTCTTCAACAATCTTTAAAACTTTACTTTCTCTATTTTGTTGGTGTTTCATGCTCAAAATTCTTCACAAATCCATATACATGATCTTGATTATGTGATAACCATGACAAAATCCAGCATCTTTCCTTTTCTACCTCCTCAAGTTCCTCTTCATTTTCGTCAGCCCCTTCACCTTTCTTTTCCATATTTACCTTTTTGTTTCATAAACCCATTAAAGGATTTATTTGAAATCAATGAACAAAACCCAAAAAATGTTTCAAATTTTGTAACACTGTTTGTATAAAAAATAAACAAACAAACTATTCTATGTCTTCTATTTCAATCTAATCCAGGGTATCCAAAATCAAAAAAAGAAAAGACCAAACATTTGCAATGACGACGATATAAACAACAGTAGCGACCACAATACAAAACCCAAGTTCTTATCTTGGCTTTGGGTGCTTGCCATCGATGAAATCCTCCATTTTTTTTTTTCCTTTTTAAAATAAAAATATCTTAATTAAAAATAAATTAAGAACAATCTTAATTAAAAAGAAATTAAGAAAAGAAAGAGACAGTGGAAATCACTGTCTGGATTAGTTATTTTTAAAAAAGAAAATGAAGAATGAGCTTAGATGCTGCTAGGGCTGGTGTTTTTTTTTTTTTTTTTTTGAAAAAAATGAATAATGGATTTTGATGTGGATTAGATCGAAATATGGGAGGGAGAGAATAATTTGTGTGTTTTTTAATACCTAAATATATATTATTTTTCTTCTATTTTTTAGCTAATTTTTTTATACCATTAATTCAATTTTTTATCATATCCATTACCCATTAAGAAATCACTATGTAAATTTTTATTTGATCCATATTAGTTTACTGTATATTTAATATCCATTTAATACCTATTAAATTTAATTTATCAAAAATATTTATTTTAGTCCTTATAATTTTTAAGAAAAGTTTTTTTATCCTTAATTTTTTTTTTTGCATTTGATCATTTATTTATAAGTTTTTTTTTGGTCCACAAAATTTGTAGAAAAAAATATTTTGGTCTTTAATTTTTAAATTTTATGCAATTAGATTCCTATATTTTAATAAAAAATTTAAATAAATTAGTGGGTATGTATTTTTTTTACCTTTATTTATTTCAATACTCATTGAACATTCTTAATAGATATTTATTGAGTCAAATAAAACGAATATATGTTTTATATCCGATCTATTGCAATCGTACTCACAAATTTCATTATAGGTGTAAAAATTTTTGCCACATGATACTTTAGTTCTGAAAATTGAACAGAACCCCATAACATTAGCCACATTTCAGCAATTGTTTTTTTAGACATGGCACTTATCAAAATTTTTGACACCTGTCATATATTTTTTTTGGAAAATTAGCGAAAATACATAAAGAAAAACACATTAAAAAATACATATAAGAATAAAAAATCACATTAAAAAAATCTTAAAACTAAAGGAGCGAATCTTACAGTCAATCCTATAAATAAATGATGAACTTTTTGTTCAAATTTCAATCAGTCCGCAAAACTTACAATGGAACTTAGCTACCAAAACAAAAGCAAGAACACACTATTTCCAAGCCCAATCATCTCCATTTCAAAGTTACAGTTACAAATTACACAAGGAAATTTTATGGTCCATCACTACTCATTTGGGCCTCAGTACTTCCAAGCCCATTACTGCTCGATTGAACCTCTACTTTTCCGATCCCATTAATCTGTCCCTCCTCCTCAAATTCCTTAATCAATTCAGGATCAACATTCTCCTCAGGCTCCCACGTGGCCTCATCAATATCCGTCCATTTCACAAGATACTCATTTTTCCCATCATCGCCTACCCTCTTACCCATCACTCCCTCTGCCACAGCATACTCTAAACCTGCCTCAAAATCCCTCACCAAATCCTCCCCTATAAACTTTGCTTTCACCCATTCATTATCACTACCGTCCTTCCATTTTACCAAATACTCCAAATCCTTACCTTTCCCTCTTTTCTCCAATATTTCCTGTACCTCAGCATACTCGAATATTTCCTCCTCTAAATTCCTTATTACACTTTCTAACCCCAATCTTCTTCCAAATTGCATTGGGTTCCCTTTTGGGGTCACTCTTAAAATTTCCTTAGCCAAATCTAAAGGAGTTAGTCCCCTGTCATCCTTCACCTCAGGGTCAGCACCAAGCCCAACCAATAACTTAACGACACCTGGCTTAACATACCCAGCTGCCATATGAAGAGCCGTCAAGCCACCACTATTGTCTCTATGATCCAAATCAGCTCCAGCTTCGGCTAAAAGCTTAACACAAGGCTCAGAGCCGAGCCCAGATACAAAAAGCAAAGCTGTACGTCCGTCGCTATCCACAGCATTAACGTCACGTCGTCCATCTTCATTCTCTGATAGAACCTCTCTAAGAGCCGACTCGTCGGCCTTTTTGGCTGCTGTCCACCATGGAGTCTCGTACTCAGCCACCACGTCTTTAGCTATGAAATCTGATGGGACCCACGAAGGGGTATGACCGTCTTTCCACTCTATCAAGTACTCCATGCCCGTACCACCTTCAAGTGCTCTGCTTCCGATGATCCTGCTAACCTCTCCATACGCCTCGTCGTCTCCAATGTTTTGAGTGGTTTCTTGAAGTTGGTTTTGTGTTTCTTGTTGATTTTGGATGGCAAAGAGTGTGAAGGAATTGTAGGGTTTTCTACAATGGATTAGCTTGAGGTGTCGTGGAGATTGATAGGAAACGAAAGAAGAAGGGATTGTGAGTTTTGGAGAGATCTTGAGGCGAGAGAGAGATTGGTTAACAAAGAGAGAGTCCATTGATGAAGTGAAGTGAAGCTATCGGTTTCCTCCTTTTATTTTTAACTTTTTTATTTTTGTAATCTAAAATCTCGCGAGAGAGAGAGAGGATAAGAAATCCCATCCATTTGCATGGTCTCGATTATGGGCAGGCGAAGAATGGAATTGTGGTGTTGAATTTCTTTTCTGTAAGTAAATTGTTGGAAAAAGCGTTTGTGTGGCTAAGAATCAGTACGACCACAAACTGGGTCGTTTAATATATGGGCAGGGTTTAGCATTGGCAATCTCTCATTTTATTCAATTCTTATATGCTACAGAGTTGAGGGTACAGATTAAATTCTATATAAATAATTTGATAAATTCATTACATTTAACCAATTGGATTCAAATATTCTTAATTTTTAATTTCAATAAGCATTTAAAAACTAGATTTAAACAGGAGAATAGATTATTAATTGAACAGAGAACTTAAATTAAAATTAGTTTTTTTTTTTTTTCACTTTTTATTATCTTAAAATATGCAAGACAGATGTAGGGTTATGAGAAAGTAATGTCCGAATCTCACATTAATTTTATTAATTTATTTTTTAAAAAAATTGACAATGATTTTTATTTTAAAATTATAACAGATCATTTTAATTAAAATTATGTGTTACGTAACTAACACTTACGTTTTATATCATTAAGTTTTTTGATGCATATTAAGAATTTAAGACAATGTAAGGTTGAATTCTTCAAATTCTTTGTCATTATCCGACGTTGAACGAAAGTCGTGAAACAAAAAATCTATGTTTTAAAATTTATGGTTTTATTTACGGAGTTATTTACAAGTTCGGAGTCTCTTATTAGTATTTGAATGAATTATGAACCTAATTCTTAAAATATAAATTTTTATTTACAGAGATGTAGGGTTATGAGAGAGTAAGGTCCGAATCTCACATTAATTTTATTAATTTATTTTTTAAAAAAAATTGACGGTGATTTTTAATTTTAAATTAGAACAGATCATTTTAATTAAAATTATGTGTTATGTAACCAATACGTATGTTTTATATCATTAAGTTTTTGGATGCATATTAAGAATTTAAGACAATATAAGGTTGGATTCTTCAAATTCTTTATCGCTATCCAACGTTAGATAGGACTCCTAAAACAAAAAAATCTATGTTTTAGATTTTATGGTTTTATTTACAAAGTTATTTACAAGTTCGGAGTCGTCAACTAGTATTAAAAGAATTAAGAACCTGGAATGAGCATTGGTTCAAAGATTCTATGATAAGGAGTTGATTACGCTTCCGGAAAGATACTTAACCACCCAAAAATATCATTTTCGAAGAAAGACACCATGTCTAGTTTGGTTATAGATTCATATCCTCAAATGTTTATTTGTGCCAAATTATTTTTCAATTTAAACTCCAAGTCCTTTATTTCAAGCCAAATTAAGTTTATTTGAGCGTGACATCGTATTGAAACGATTGCCGATCTTATTTGTCGAGCAATACGTCGATTCAAATGTCGAATCTACTTTAAGCTTCGACATAACATGTGTATCAAAAAACATCTTAATTATTGAATAATAATTTTTGATAATGACGAGTCTCCATTAGATAGAAAACTTCATTAGGAATATTATTTATTTAGTTGTCAAAAACAGTCATATTAGATAAGAGACTTCGTTGATAATTCTTATTATTTTTATTTTTTAATCAAATGACAATCTTTATTAGATAGGAGACTTCGTTAATAATTTTTTATTATTTTTCATCAAAGGACGGTCCCTATCAAATATGAGACTTCATTAAAAAATTTTATTTTTATTTTTTTGATTAACGACAATCCCTATCGGATAAGAGACTTCGTTAAAAATTTTAATTAATAATTTTTTTCTTTTTTTGCAGGTGGAAAAACCATCGTTAGTCTCTAAAAAATGAGAGACTTGACAATTATCCACCTATTGATTACATAGTCTAATTATTAAACAAGTAAAAAAAGAATAATCCACAATTAGATTAATTAAATAAAGTAAAGGAAATCTAAACATTGAAATGATAATTAAACATAAAATAAAAATATACATAAACTAAATTCACCATTAAATGAAATAAAACTAGAGCCCCCCTTTTTTAATCTTTTTTATCTCTCTCTTTTTTTTTCCGGGGTGGACTGATTAGTCAAACCCAATTTTTTCTTTTCCTTGTTCTTTTTTTTCTTTTGGGGAAGGGGAGAGGGGGCAGAAACTGGGCTAAACCAGTTTCTTTCCCTTTTTTTTTTTTTTTTTTTTTTTTTTTTTTCAAAAAAAATTTACTTAGGAAGAGAAGCCTTTCTTTTTTCCTTGTTGTTCGCGGAACGGGCTGGGCTGGCTGGACTGAGATCAGTCCAGCCCCTCCTTTTGTTTTTTATGGACTGGGCTCAAACCCAGGAACAGGTCCAGAAACAAATCAAGTCAGAAAATCGAATCAAAAACCCCTGGCGACTCTCTCTCTCTCCTGTTCTTCGTATTCTTCAATTTCTCTCTCTAGTTCATCATCTGCTTCTAGGAATTAAAGACTTATCTTTAAACAAATGATTCAATTACACAAACAGCAATTCAAATCATGAACGAAATAACAAGAAAAAAAATTAAAACTAAAACAAACAACGAAATCAAAACGGGAGGATCAAACCCAGGAGCTGACTTGGGAAAACGCAGCTGAAGAACACCAAGAAACCCAGAAAAACCAGAAATGTTGAAGTAACATTATCGTTGTGGTCCTATTTGATGTGTACGATTCGTGCTCGAGATAACATTTTGGACTTTTAGGAGATTGTGGACTCTACTTCATGGTAAGGGATTTCGTATCTCCTGGGATTATAGACTGGGAGACTAGCATTCCAGTTGGCTCTCAAGCTGTGATAGGATGAGATATTGAAGTTTGTGAGGGAGAGGGAGGTGACTTGGAATTTGGGGACGGGCCAGGGCTCTTGGAAAAGCCAAAGAACAAAGAAGGATGGAGGCAAAATTACAGTACAACACAAAAATAAAAAGATCAAGATGGCAGATCTAATTATAGATTTTGATGCTTGTGAAGCATGTTTTGTGAAGGTATAGGTGGTGGAGGTAGCGGTGGGGTCTGCGGTGGTGAGGCTTGTTTGGAGAGGAGACGTTCGTCCATGATGGATGTTAATTAAGAGGAAAGTGAACGTGATTATTTGAGCAACTCGATATATTTAATGAAAATATATAATTTCTTTTGACTTGGAAAACTATGAAGTGTGAATTGAAAAAAATTTATATTATTTATGGAGCAACTAATATAATTCATAAGAGAAAAATAACTTAAAAAAGAAGAGAGAGAAAAAAGAGAGAAAATAAAAAAAAACATTGATTGGAAATTCTTTTTATCATTTTTTTAATATAATTTTTTTTATCTATTTTTTTTAAAAAAATAAACTTAAAAATAGTTATTCTTTGAATATTTTAAAATTTCTCTTACCAATTGTATTAGCTTAGATTTAAACTTTAAGGTTTGATTACTTAAAGAATAATGTGTTTTATTCAATGTGTAAACAATTCCTAGACAAGTTCAACAAAATCACAATAACAATAATAATAACGCATTGTAATTAAATAAATTCTAAAAATCACATAATAATCAAAACAACCTTAAGTCAACACTTAAAAACATTTTGAATTTATGAACCTTTACAAATATGCGTCACTATTACTGCATTTCCTAGGCCCATCAATCAGGTGTCCGGAATCTCTACCCATGGAAACCGCAATCACCACATCCTCGCACACAACCCCCCGCAACTGAGGAGGCCACATTGGAAACCAAAATACCGAAACATAACCATAGTCAATCACCATCTTGACATCAAAACTCACCGCTCCATGCTGTAATTCCTTGTAGATTCCATTCAAAACCCATCCTTCAACATAGGAATCGACAGCAGAGATAGACACGTTCAATGTTAAGGTAACATTGTTGTTAGAGTCCTGTTCGAAGGGTACCATTGCTTGAGATAAAATTTTGGACTTGTAAGAAACTATGGAATTCACTTCATGGTAAGGGATTTGGAATCTCATAGGATTGTAGATTTGGAAACTAACGTTCCAGTTGGCTCTCAGGCTGCCATAGGATGAGAGATTGAAGTTTGTGAGGGAGAGGGAGTTGATTTGGAATTCGGGGATGCGCTGGCGCCCATCTTGAGGCAGTGATAGGAGGACAAATGCAGTACAAACGCAAACACCGATCACTAAGAAGAATCTGTCAGATTTTGATTCTTTTGAAGCATGGTCTGTGGAGGTATCGATATTGGTGGTGGATGGTGGGTTTTGCTCGGAGAGGAGAAGACGTTGTTCATCATCCATAATGGCGGCTAACAGGACAGTAAAATTGGAAGTGATTTTTTCTCAAATTTATATATGAAGTGAAAAAAAACCCTACATATCTTTCCTGAATAAAAACAAATCCTATCGAAAAAAAAATTATTTTCCTTTACAAATGAAGAGCAGAGAAGAGAGTATTCTGATAATCAATAAATCAAATTAGAAAAACATCTTTCCTAATAAAATCATACGTTCTGCCAGAGCATCTTAAGGATTAAAACTAGGAGGAAACAAGCAGAGCATCATAATAACTCGATATTTGATGAGATTTGAGCATAATAAAAGTAATATTTTTTGTTTTGTTTTGATTTACTGAATAAATAATTTAGGAAAAACTACGTACAAAATTTATGGGAAAATCTTTCATATTCCAAGAGTATCCACCACTGAACCCACACTTAAAATGAGACGTAGATTTATTGATATATCATGATATAATTTTTATTTCTATTTTAATATATGTTGTTTTTTATTTTTTTAAAATCACTCAAATCTTATTAACATAATGTATCAACTTAGATGAGTGGAGTATCAATACTGCTAGAAAAAAAAAAAAAAAAAAACCTAAGAGATTAACGTAGGGAAAGTTTCTTCGTCGTTCCTTAATTATGCTCAAAACGTTGTACGAAAAAATTGCTCTTCGCAGTCCAAATAACAACCGGGCCGTACCCATATAATGAGCCCAGGGATACACTGACTAGGCCTCCACCCTAATTATCTAAGCCCATTTTATAAAAACCTTTTCTGTCCCATTCTGATTAGCCCAATAAAATAAATTTTAGATTTTGTGATAAAAGTTTAAGAGCCCACAAGAGTCTTTTCGGCTCCTTTAAAAATTCATTAACAGTGTAAGATTTACTATTAAATTTCTTGTTTTGAGAACGTATGAGTCATGTGGATTTAATAGCTTTGACTTTTGAGAACGCAAAAGAAGTCCTTTGGAATTTATAGTTTCAAAGAGAGGCAGTCATTTCAAGAAAATTTAATGCAAACTTGTAAAAACCAAATTCATTTAATCACGATTTTTTTTCCCACCAAACTAAACAGAAAATAGTGTAAAAATTAACATCAAGTGTGCTAATAATTGGTTATTATGCTCTTTTAACTTCACCCGGAGAAGAAAAAGGCAGAACTTCACATCTATGAATTTAAATTTCGAATTCAAATTGTTTTAAAGATTGTACTAATCGAGTTGTGTTTCTTTCTTGGGCTCCATGCACAAAGAATAATCATGGTGTAGCATCATATATATGACAACATAGATATCAAGGACAAGAAAGCTCTTTGGACCCGTTCGTCAACTAATTTGTTTTTTGTCATGGAAATAGGAGTTAAAAATTAAATTATAAGCAATTCATTAAATATTGAGATTCATAAAAAAAAAAAAAACCTCCACATTTTTAGGCTTCTATAAGAGTAGATGAAATTAATTTTAAAAGTAAATTAATTCATCTTTTCTGTTTCAAAAACTAATATATTTTTAAATTTTCTTATAAATTAATTTTTTGTTTATTTTCAATTTATTTTGATATTTCATTTAAGAAATAGAAAAATAAAAAATATAGAAAGATTGATGAAAAAAATGACAAATGATATTTTATAAAATATAAAATAAAATAATATTAAATTAAGTACTATGATTATTAATTAAAAATTAATTTTTTAAAATAAAAATAATTAATTAATTCATTTCTAAAAAATAAAAGAACTAATTTATAATTTACTCGCTTCTATCTGAGAATTGAAATGCTTCCAAAAAGAAACACCACGGTACCATTTTTTAAATTTGCATGAATTACTACACTTCAAAAGTTCGTCCTTTAAAAAAAAAAAATCATTTCCCTTAGGGGAAAAAACAAAAACAATACATTCCTTCTGACAGAGAATGTGAAAGGAAGCAATCTAAAAGCAACAAAAAATCCAATCATTTTACAGCTTTAAATTATTGTCTTCTATTTAGTCAAACACTTTGTTAAAACATTTGCTGTCACCAGGCAAGAAATTGGAATCCCCAAGAATTCAATTATAGTTTCCGCGTAAAATTTTTTCCTATTCAATCTTGATTTCATCCATCACCGTTGATTACGTGTGGGTCCAACAAGAGAATCAACATGAGCCGTTTGATTAAAAAGAGGTGGCTTGTTGCGTCCGTAAACAAATGGCCACATGGAGATTCCGTGTGTCGCGTCAATAATCACGGGGATCGCACCATCAGCCAGCATAGCATTTGCACGTGAAAACTTAGAATGAGAAATATGGTTGAATCACCCACTTGTAATTCACAACAATTACAAGGGTGTTATTGTCTCTTAATTTTATTTTAAGGGTATTTTTGCCACCAAAATGAAAATTTTAAGAGAGTAAAGTATGTTTTGGATTCTGTAAGGCTAACCACCCTTAAACTTTAAATTTTTTAAAATTGAGTATATGAACGTTTTTATTAGTTTTGAAGATCTCCAAATTTTATATTTTTTTTTTGAAATTTAGTCCATCTAATGATTTTTAACTATCATCTTCTTTTCTGAAAAAATTAATTCTTAATATTTTGAGCTAAATTTTTGCATACATGTTGGAAATAATTCAATCCATTTATAGAAAAATTCCTAACTTTTCAAAAAACGAAAACTATATTTATTTATTTTTTGAAGATTTAAAATATAGAAAACTAGAAAAAATAAAAAAATAACTCCGAAATGATTCCAATCTTTTTGAGGAGTCTTACATAAATTTCATTAAATAATTTTCATTATGAAACTATTTATATGATTGTTATTTTGGAGATAAATGACAGAAAACTGAATGATAGACTAAATTTGAAAAAAAATAAAAAAATTCAAAAATTCTCAAAACTAATAAAAAATATCAGAAATTCTACCTCAAGCAAGTTAAAGTTCAAAGGTAGTTACACCCTTTTAGCCGTTTATTATAATTCATAAGTGATTTACAAAGTCTTTATAATTTAAAATTTTCAATATTAATTTTACAGTTTTAAAAATGTTCAAATCTAACTCATTAACATCTAACGTAATTTCCAAATGCTCGTTTTTATTTTATTTTATTTTATCTATGCTTTCTCATTTTTCCTTTCAAAGTTTCATACTGCAGTAATCCATAGAAATTCTAAGAAACTAAAAAAAAAAAAAACCCTCAAAAAAGAAGAAAATTCTCTAACATAATTTTCCAAATGCTCTTTGTTTTTTTTTATCGTATCCTTTTTCATCTTTCCTTCCAAATTTCTATACAATAATTCATATAAATTCTTAAAAACTAAAAAAAAGAAAAGAAAATTAGAAAAGCATGCTTACCATTCTGCTGTTGAACAAACTATGTGCTACATTGGGACTTTTTGAAAACTATAAGATTAATATTGAGAAATTTTAAACTTTAGAGACTGAAGTGGAACATTACTAGACGTGGACAGGAATTAATATACAATTTTCCCATTAAGAACTTAATCCTGAACGCGTTGGGAAATTCTTGGTTGAAATTAGTGATGATCTAGTATAGGAGCATGAAATTTTAAGGTGGAGCCAGCCACCATTTTCCCTAGCCCACTACGCTAACCCAACCGACACGGCAATCCTGATTTCTTTTCTTTCTTAATTTTATTTCCTTTTATTCATTTAATTATTAAATATTTGGCATTATTTTTTTAATATTTCTTGGTGGGCTTCCTGGCTTCCTTCCTTTGCGTTGCCGCTTTAAATACATGTCATCCCCTGCTATCAGTTACCACTACTAACCAAACCAAACCAAACCAAACCAAGTGTTCTCCTCCTGTAACCTTCTCTTGTAGAAAATTGAGAAACTACTCAATTCTTTAATTTCTCTTCATTAATCTTATCCAGTTATCAGTTCAACATTCTTGAATTTCTGCTAATGGGTTGTGGTGCAACATGTTGGCAAATACTTGCTTGTCTTACATTTTGTTGTACATTGGTTTTTGTTAATGCTGAGGATCCTTACAGGTTCTTTACCTGGAATGTTACCTATGGTGACATCTATCCACTTGGAGTAAAGCAACAGGTTTGTGTATTGATTTTTGATGCAATAATTCCTTCTCCTGATTGATCTGAGTAAGAAGTTTTAAACTTTTTTTGTGGTCTGTGTTTCAGGGGATTCTGATAAACGGACAGTTTCCAGGGCCGGATATTTATTCTGTTACCAATAACAATCTCATTATCAATGTCTACAATAGCTTGCCGGAGCCATTTCTCATTTCTTGGTAAGAATTCTCTTCGGAGTTCTTTCTCTGTCATTTTACGTTTCTCCTGGTAAGAATGTGATCAAGCAGAAACTGTCAATGTAGCATTCCTACAGGGTATTTCAGTTTTCTTGTTTCACGTTTTTCTTTATTATTTAAAATAATGATATTGAGAATATCATTTGTTCCAGTTTGACATTTTAATTTACTGCATAAAATTATAGTAATGAAGTTTATGAGAACCTTTATCAATTGTGATTCCAAAATTTGCTATAGATTCACATGAAGTCAATTAGGTGGGGTTCCAAATACTCAAATAGCAATGGACAATACATGAGAAATTTTATTTCATATTACCAATACTTACTGTATAAGAGAGATCGATGCATGTTATTTTTGGTGAGTATGGATGCGATTTTTTCTATATATTTTGTGTCTGTTTTATTGTTTTTCTTTTTGAAAAAGACCTATAAAGTATGTATTAGTAATTATTTTTAAATGTTTAATTTTTTTTTTTTTTGTAAATATAAGGTGCAGTGTCTATATAAAAAATTTGCCATTAAATTGTTTTCAGTTTAATAGAACTAATATATGTGCATTGAAGAGACCGTGTTTGCTCTGCCAAGCTTAATTAGAAATGAAAAAGTAAAAACAATACCAGAAAGGATTTATTACCATATAAAGAAATAACATCTCCTTCCTTAACGGTATATATGACAGGTCAAGTCTTTTTAGTGTCCATATTGAGAAGGTGTTTAATGGAGTTTTACACGGTTTGACAATTTAGCAGTTGCTTAACACGCCAAGACAACATAGCCAAGTACTCATCTTTTATTTGCGACATTTTTTTAGAATTATCAGTATACTTGCGTAATGAGGTTAACTGATGATGTTAGTTTTGCCTGGACGGATTTAGAATTTAGGGGCAGAATCAAGGTTCCAAAAGTAAGGTGGATATACGCATCGAAAGTTTAGGCTTAAGCAATGACTGTAGGTTTGAATCCAAGCGGCCCACATAAATTATATCTCAACTTTCTGGTTGTGGAGTTCTAGATGTTGACATATTGCCTATTGTCTTTGGTAACTTAGCTGTTTTTTTGGTGGACCATGATCATATGATTGATAGAAAACAACTGTAAAGTTGACTTTCTAGGGGGAAAAAAACATCTGTAAAGTGCTGTCTAAACCAAAATCTGACTTTAGCTATGTCAATTTGGAATGAAATTTGATCCGTGATTGGTTGGCTAATGGTCACAGCCTAGACTCTTTTTTCTTATGTTGGATAAAAGTGTTGGTGGAAATGATTTTGATTTGACATGCTGCTATATGAGTTGGGACTAAATTGGCAAAATGAAACAGGAATGGGGTCCAACAGAGGAGAAATTCCTATGAAGATGGAGTTCAGGGTACTACATGTCCCATCCCTCCAGGCAAGAACTTTACTTACATTTTACAAGTGAAAGATCAGATTGGCAGTTTCTACTACTACCCATCTCTAGCCTTCCACAAGGCAGCTGGTGGGTTTGGAGGCATCAGGATCCTTAGCAGGCCACTGATTCCTGTTCCATTCCCTGAACCTGCCGATGATTTCACTGTTCTTATTGGAGATTGGTACAAGACCAACCACACGGTAATTAACAAATGCATAAATGGGAAAACCACCTTCTTAATTAAGTGGCTTAATCAAATTTTACATAATGATACTCAGTAGTAATGAATTTGAAATGCTATTCCTTATTTCAGACATTGAAGGCCATTTTAGATCGTGGCCACAAGCTTCCTTTCCCAGATGGCATCCTGGTCAATGGTCGTGGACCCAATCAGACGTATTTCACATTTCAACCTGGTAATTTTGCAAAGCATAATCATAGTTTATGGTGTGTTTCAGACCTTAGAACTTGGAAAATTCAGAAGTAAGGAATCATGGACAATGCATTTCTTCTTGCAGGAAAAACTTACAGGCTCAGGATATCAAATGTGGGGCTGCAGCATTCACTCAATTTTCGCATTCAAGGGCACAAGATGAAGCTAGTTGAAGTTGAGGGCACTCACACTGTTCAGACCACTTATTCATCACTCGATATCCATGTCGGCCAATCCTACTCAGTGTTGGTTACAGCTGATCAGTCAGCACAGGACTATTACATTGCCGTCTCATCTCGTTTCTCCACCAAGATCCTTACCACCACTGCCATACTTCACTACAGCAATTCTGCTAAGCAAGTGTCCGGTCCAATCCCTGGTGGACCAACCACCGAAATCGACTGGTCTCTTAACCAAGCTCGTTCTATCAGGTACTCTCCCTTGTAATTAATTGCTGATTCCTGACGTTGTAATTGACTTCGACAATATTTGTCATTTCAAATGAATAATTGTGTGACATGTTTCATATGGTTCATAAATGCAGGACAAACCTGACAGCAAGTGGACCAAGACCAAATCCACAAGGATCATATCACTATGGACTTGTTAACCTTACTAGAACAATCAAGCTAGAAAGCTCTGCAGCTCAAGTTGATCGCAAGCAGAGATATGCAGTTAACAGCGTCTCATTTGTTCCTACCGATACCCCTCTTAAGATTGCAGACTACTTCAAGATCGGAGGTGTTTTTCGCATCGGAAGTATTTCAGATTATCCAACCGGCAAGAAAATGTATCTTGACACATCTGTAATGGGTGCCGATTTCAGAGCCTTTGTTGAAATTGTGTTTCAGAACCACGAGGACATTGTCCAGAGCTGGCACATCAATGGACACTCCTTCTGGGTAGTCGGGTAAGAACTCTTATGGTACATGTAGGCTATGCAGCAGAAAATAAAATTAGAAAAAGCTCCATAAAATACATATGATTATGCTTCTAACTATGTTAATTCCAAATATGCAGTATGGATGGAGGGGTGTGGACTCCATCTAGCCGTAAAGAATATAATCTTATCGATGCAGTTTCGCGATGCACAACTCAGGTGAGATCCCTTCTCTAGTAGTTTTTTTTACAGAACAAACAGACAACGCTAATCACCATGCTTAACTATGACAAAAATCTGACAAATGATGGTTGCTGTTGCAGGTGTATCCCAAGTCATGGACTGCTATCTACATTGCACTTGATAATGTTGGAATGTGGAACATCAGGACTGAATTTTGGGCAAGACAATACCTTGGTCAGCAATTTTATTTGCGTGTTTACTCACCGGTGGAGTCACCTAGAGATGAATATCCGATTCCAAAGAATGCACTTCTTTGTGGGAGGGCCATAGGCAGAAGAACTAGACCTCTGTAGATAATCAGTTTGAGCCACTGTATTGTACCCTACCTCAGGGTCCCATTCTTTGTTACAAGTATCAGTATCTCTCAATAGAAGAATTTACATTTTTTTTCCTAAAAAATAATACAATTTTTTTTGACAGTATTCTTAATGCAATGAGCATGTGATAATATGCTGAAACCATAGATCATAAAAAAATAAATTTACTTTTATTAAACAGTGTCTGTTAACATTAACCTTGTTCAGTTTTCTGACATTATGCTAAATTGTAATTGATACAAAAAGAAATATGAATGTAACCAAATGAAAAAGACAACCAAAGTGTTTCTTAGAGCAAGGGAAACGATATCGAGAATGAACTCCAACAGGACCCCCAGAATTATGAACTGGATGCTCAGCCCCTAAGATAGACCCAGCCAAGCCAATCCTCTCCAACTCACTACAGCTGCTCGACGAAGTAGGAGCACGAAATTGCTCGGATTGCGAATAACTTGGGAAGCCACATCTTCACTTTCTGAACAATACTGCAGTACTATGCATGCGAGCAATCCTACACTTTCCCTGATTGGAAAGCGATCACATGAATGAGCAATTTGTTGGGCGCAGCCGAGAAGGGAAAAGTTAAGGGTTGGAGCAAAAATGATACAACTGATTGCATTGGATAGCAGCTGCCGAAATCACAACCGCTGACGAGAAGAGGCAGGCAGGGGGTTAAAACCGGACCGGTTTCTCTAAACGCAGAAAGCAGATAGTTTTTTCCTACAAAAAGGCGAGGAACTCTCTAAATTAATTCAATTTCAGACATTCCCCTTCTCAGGGTCTGATGTGGCGATTTTTTAAGCAACACTCTGGCCACTAGTCCTAGAATAACGTTTTTTGCTACTTTTGCCAGATAATATAGATTTTTAGGTAAAAAATATGTATTTTACGTCAAACAATCCTTAATTTGAATGGCCGAATTAAAAAAGCTTCAAACTTTTGGATTAGTTCAAGCGGCAGATATAGAGAGGGGAAATTTTTTGACATGGTCAATCTGGCGACAGTGATGATACTTCGGGATATCCCCAATTGGGATGCTTTGTTTTTGTTAGTTTGCGTTCTTGTTGCGAAGAACAACCAACAATCCGGCAATTGCTTATGCTTTTGTAAAGCTTCTATAGCAATATAAATACCAGAAAATCTGGTCAGGTGGAGGTGCCTATATTGAGCTGCTAAAGGAAATGTATAGGTAGTCCAAATATAGGAGGGAAGGAGCCACCTTGCTTTTCTAACTTTATCATGGAAAGCAAAAGTTTTCTTCCAGTCATATGCTTCGTATTTGTGGTTCTTGGCTTGGTAAATGCAGAGGTTCCTGCTGTTTTCGTATTGGGAGATTCAACAGCTGACGTTGGGACTAACAATTTCTTGCCAGGACACTTAGCAAGGGCAGACTTTCCTCCGAATGGTATCGATTTTCCGCACTCTAAACCGACTGGAAGGTTCAGTAATGGCTTAAATAGTGCTGATTTTCTAGGTTAGTAAAGAAATTGTCAATGATTTATAACTGTTCACTTGTGGAATTTGTTAATGGTTTTACCTTATTTTGAAGATAAGTACTTCAGTAGCGATTTACTTTAACATAGTTTCTTCATGATGTTTGTATGGTCAGCTAAGCTAATGGGATTCAAGAGAAGCCCAATAACTTTCTTTGCTCTTGCTGCCAATCCAAAATTGCTCAAAAGGGCTTGCTTCAGAGGAGTAAATTTTGCCTCTGGAGGGTCTGGCATTCTTGACAATACCGGGCAAACAACGGTAGATGCTTATTTATCCTGCTAGCCTATAACTTGCCCTTATAAGTCAGATTTGAGAATAACACTGTTGCATTCTTTTCATTTCAGTCAACCTTCCTGAACAGTGTTAAGAATGTTGTCTCACTACGAGAGCAGATTGAGCAACTTTCTGCAGTCTATTCTAACCTTACTGCTATTAAGGGTTCAGCAGATACCGAAATTCTTTTCTCAAAGTCATTGTTCTTCATCAGCATTGGTAGCAATGATCTTCTTAGTTATTACCATTCAAACACTAGTGTACCCAAGCAAGAGTTCTTCTCTGCTTTGGAACATGAATACGAAAAACACTTGAAGGTAAGATAATTGTTTTCCTGTCTGTTCGGTCCATGTTTCTATCATATTGTTTGAAAGCATACTGAATCAACTCCTCTGCCTTGTTTATTTTTGCAGAATCTACTGAAGCTTGGAGCAAGAAAGATTGGCATTATTAGTGTTCCACCAGTTGGTTGCTGCCCATCTCAAAGGGTTTATAATGAAAGTGGGGGCTGTTTGGAGGGTTTGAATGACCTTTCTTTAGATTTTCTTTCAACAACCAAAGCTCTCTTGATGAAGCTCAGCTCAGAATGTACAGGTTTAAAATACTCACTTGGAAACACATTTGAGATGACCATCAATGTGATAGCCAACCCTATTCTATTCGGTAAGCTATACACTCTGAAGACAACCTCAATACATTAACAGATTTCAACAAAACGTTTTTTTTTTTTTTTTCCAGATGATAAGTAATTAAGTACAGTTGAGTTAACCATTCCAAAATCTTCTAAACACTCGTCAGGATTCAAGGAGGTGCAAACTGCTTGTTGTGGGGTCAAGAGGTTCAACGGTGACGGCATTTGCGACAACAAAGCTGACCTCTGTTCGAATCGCCATGAGTACTTGTTCTGGGATTTATTCCATCCTACAATGGCTGCTTCAAAATTGGCAGCTCTAACCCTTTATGCTGGTGAACCACGATTTGTATCCCCAATTAATTTCAAACAGTTGGCTGAGGCTTGATTAGCCATAAGTAGTCTTAATTTAAAGATTCCCCTCTGATTTATTAAATAATAAGGGAAACCTTCTCTCCCATTTCATTACATGCTTGCACAGCATGTTAATTAATAGAGTTATGGTTTTTAGTAACCTAAATTTGTAACCATATTCTATTTGCCTATGCTTGTGATTTAAATTGATTTACCAGAGGAGGCCTCCAGAATTAAGAAATAATAAATTGCGATCTGATTGCAAGTCTTTCTAAAACTTTAAGGTATGATTCTTATGGAATTCATTCAACCTTATATAGTACTGCTTATAAGCTCACAGCTTTAACCTGCTATACAAACAAACCAACAATATATGTATATATCCTCTTTTACTTGGTCTAATAACTTTTGCAGATGACATCTTGATCAACTGTGTCGTATTCTTTTCGTCCGCGAACAGAACATCCTTGAATGAATGGCTATTATTGTTGACAACGACACACGCGCTACCTTTCTTTTTCTCTATTTCACAAGTAATATTATTGCCTATTATGTTGCTGTAGCTTAACTAAACAGGTGCATAACCTGATGGCATAAACAATTCAACACGTAGAGCAGGCATAAAACCACTTCCTTACATATTAAACCACAAATACGGTATGACATAGCGCTATCATGAGAGAGGCTTAGGCCTTAGAGCACTTCCTTATTATTATTACATACCAACTATGGAAAACACAGGAAATTTTACTCAGTAGGGTTCACCCAGTCTTGAGTCTGAAGATCCTCCACAAGTTTTCTATCCATGTGGAATGCTGTGACGAGAACTTCAGGATTAATAGGCCAATTTGCTCCAAAGATTGCATTTGATACTGTGTTAACTCCTGGATTTTGGCTCGTGAACGCAGCAATAGCAACAGCAGGAGTTTTTCCAACATTGAATTGAAAGTGAATGAGGCCAGTTGGATACACAATGAGGTCTCCTTGTTTCAGAATCTTGCTGTAGAGGCGATGATCAGGGTTTGATGTGACAAAACCAGCATAAAGAGTGCCTTCTAAAACCAAAAGAACCTCTGATCCTCTAGGGTGATAATGTGGAGGATTTAGACCACCATTTGGTTCCAAATCTATACGTGCCAAAGATATGCCAAGAGTGTTAAGCCCTGGCATTACATCGGCCGTAATAAGATTAACATGTACTCTAAGTTGATTTGAGGTGTTTCCAGGAACATTAAGTCCCGAATACGTGAAATCTTCAATGGTGGCAAAGCTTGGATTCTTGCAGAATTTTCCATTAACAACCACTGCATACCCAAGCAAAGTGTTATGAATTGTCATGGAAATTCAAAATGAACGATATAGATCTGTTGGTAGCTCGAAAAATATCATAATTTTGATTAAAAAAAAACCGCATGGTTTTAGATCAAAATGAGCCCCATAACACATTTTTTATGTGCTCCACTATTTTGAAGCTCATTAAATTTCGATCAAAGATTGAAAAATGACAAATGAAAAGAGAAAAATGAGGATGTACCAGCAGCATCAGCATCATTTATTCCTACACAAAAGTCTTGGAGGGGGCCGGGGTCATGTGCAGTGACAAATGAGGAAGCCAGAGCCAAGAGAGCAAAAGCTACTAGCAAATTAGCGACTTTCATCATGCTGCTTTTTTTTTTCTTTGGGGGGCTTGCTACCTTGAATTTCTTTTTTTTTTTTTTTTTGGTATTGTTTGCTGGTGAGGTGTGAGAACTTGCATGCGAAGCTTGGATATTTATAGATGAGTTATTCTTAATTTGTTTAAGTTCTGTTTTTCAACTAATTTATAATTAATTCTTGACCAAGCTAGCGAACACCGAAATTTGACAATTTTATGCAAAAAAATTAATATATATACCTTCACTAATTAAATTTACATTTTGGCGCAATATATGTAATATATTTTATTAATTAACCAAGGAGTCTGATGGTAAATAACAACAATACTACTAACCCAGGAACCTCATTAACATTAACAAAAAAAAAAAAAAAAAACATCTGAAGTGTTCACCGTACAGTTACTTATCATTTAAACCTAATATTAATGTGGACCAAGACTTTTTATCTCTCAACCGTTGATCCTCTATGTTCTCATTTTACAGCCGTTGGATTTGGTGATTTTATCTCCTTTGTCTTTTTTTATTTTATTTTACAAATCTGATTGGTTAACGAGAGATAATATAATCTGAACAACCAATAAATTATTGAAACATCATCGGATCTTATCTCCAATCATCTTCAATTCACCCAAATAGGCAATGTCTCTCTCTCTCTCTCTCTCTCACTCTCTCTCATATGTCTCCAGCCCAACAAAAATTACTCATGCTGATCGTTGTGGGGCTGGGTGTTGGCAGTGAGTTTTGGCGGTTAGGGTTTGGTATTGAGGAGGGTAGAGAGGCTGTTGACGGTGGGTTTTGGTGTGGAAGAGGATAGTGGGTGTTTTTGCTAATGAGTTTGGATGGCCGGAGTTTGTTGTGGGAAGATCGGGTGTGGCTAGAGTTTTTTTTTTTTTTTTGCTTGGAGAGGTTTTTGTGAGATGGGGGAGGGCTGCCACTACAGTGGAAATGGAGAAGAGAAGCCTTTATTTTGTGTAGATCTAGCTATGATTCTGCCTGCAGTGGAAGGCGTGAGAAAGTCAATTTCTTTCTTTGTTCTTTTCAGGTCTGTTGTTATAAAAATGAAACTGTCTTGTGCTTGAATCTGGTGTTTATGTGTGTGAGTGTTTGGAGTTCTGGTTACATTTCTAGAGATTGGAAAGCTATTGTATGATTTTAGAGCTATTAGTTAAATGAATGGTCCATTACCATGAATCCATATATGTTTCATAGCACATAATTTATCAGCCTTTACTGGTTAATGCAGTGCATCATTGAGAAGGAGAACTGCTTCAAGCAACCCAGAGAGAGATAAAGATCCTGGGTAGCAGGCAGGTAAACCTTGGTTCTGCTGTTACTTTTCAATAATTGAATAAGCTATCGCACTGGTCTTTCATGCTCTTTCTTAATATTTTGCTCTCTTTCTTTTTGTCCAGTCAAGATCAGTTTGTTCGCCAAATATTTATCCTGCTAAGCTATAACTTGCCCTTATAAGCCAGATTTGAGAATAATACGGTTGCATTCTTTTCATTTCAGTCAACCTTCCTGAGCAGTGTTAAGAATGTTGTCACACTGCGAGAGCATATTGAGCAACTTTCTACAGTCTATGCCAATCTTACTGCTATTAAGGGTTCAGCAGATACCGAAATTCTTTTCTCAAAGTCATTGTTCTTCATCAGCATTGGTAGCAATGATCTTCTTAGTTATTACCATTCAAACACTAGCTTACCCAAGCAAGAGTTCTTATCTGCTTTGGAACATGAATATGAAAAACACTTGAAGGTAAGATAATTCTTTTCGTGTCTGTTTGGTCCATGTTTCTATCATATTGTTTGAAAGCATACTGAATCAACTCCTCTGCCTTGTTTATTTTTGCAGAATCTACTTAAGCTTGGAGCAAGAAAGATTGGCATTATTAGTGTTACACCAGTTGGTTGCTGCCCATCTCAAAGGGTTTATAATGAAAGCGAGGTCTGTTTGGAGAGCTTGAATGACCTTTCTTTAGATTTTCTTCCAACAACCAAAGCCTTCTTGATGAAGCTCAGCTCAGAATATACAGTTTTAAAATACTCACTTGGAATCACATTTGAGATGACCATCAATGTGATAGCCAACCCTCTTCTATTCGGTAAGCTATACGCACTGAAGGCAACCTCAATACGTTAACAGATTTCAACAAAATGTTTATTTTATTTTTTTCGGCATCGATTGATAAGTAATTAAGTACAGTTGAGTTAACCATTCCAAAATCTTCTGAACACTCGTCAGGGTTCAAGGAGGTGCAAACTGCTTGTTGTGGAGTCAAGAGGTTCAACGGTGATGGCATTTGCGACAAAAAGCTAACCTCTGTTTGAATCGGCATGAATAGTACTTGTTCTGGGATTTATTCCATCCTACAATGGCTGCTTCAAAGCTGGCAGCTCTAACCCTTTATGCTGGTGAACCACGATTTGTATCCCCAATTAATTTCAAACAGTTGGCTGAGGCTTGATTAGCCAAAAGTTATCTTAATTTAAAGATCCCTCTCCGATTTATTAAATAATAAGGGAAACCTTCTCTCCCATTTCATTACATGCTTGCACAGCATTTTAATAGAGTTATGGTTTTTAGTAACCTAAATTTGTAACCATATTCTATTTGCTTATACTTGTGATTTATCTGAGTAGGCCTCCACAATTAAGAAATAATAAATTGCGATTTGATTGCAAGTCTTTCTAAAACTTTAAGGTATGATTTCTTATGGAATTCATAACCTTATATAGTAATGCTTCTAAGCTCACAGGTTTAACCTGCTACAGAATTAAACCAGCATTATGTATATATCCTCTTTTGCTTGGTCTAAAATTTTTCGCTGATGACATCTTGATCAACTGTGTTGTGATAACTAAACCAGTCTTTCCTGATAAATTATACTTGAATTTTTACCTTATTTTGAAGATCAGTACTTCAGTAGCGATTTACTTCAACATAGTTTTTTTCATGATGTTTGTAAGGTCAGCTAAGCTAATGGGATTCAAGAGAAGCCCACTAACTTTCTTTGGTCTCGCTGCCAATCCAAAATTGCTGAAAAGGGCTTGCTTCAGAGGAGTAAATTTTGCCTCTGGAGGGTCTGGCATTCTTGACAATACAGGGCAAACAACGGTAGATGCTTATTTATCCTGCTAGCCTATAACTAGCCCTGATAAGTCAGATTTGAGAACAATACTGTTGCATTCTTTTCATTTCAGTCAACCTTCCTGAACAGTGTTAAGAATGTTGTCTCACTATGAGAGCAGATTTCAACAAACTGTTTTTTTTTTATTGGTTTTGGCATCAATCGATCAGCAATTAAGTACAGTTGAGTTAACCATTCCAAAATCTTCGAAACACTTGTCAGGATTCAAGGAGGTGCAAACTGCTTGTTGTGGAGTCAAGAGGTTCAACGGTGAAGGCATTTGCGACAACAAATCTAACCTCTGTTCGAATCGCCATGAGTACTTGTTCTGGGATTTATTCCATCCTACAATGGCTGCTTCAAAATTGGCAGCTCTAACCCTTTATGCTGGTGAACCACGATTTGTATCCCCAATTAATTTCAAACAGTTGGCCGAGGCTTGATTAGCCAAAAGTAGTCTTAATTTAAAGATCCCTCTCCGATTTATTAAATAACAAGGGAAACCTTCTCTCCCAATTCATTACGTGCTTGCACAGCATTTTAACAGAGTTATGGTTTTTAGTAACCTAAATTTGTAACCATATTCTATTTGCATATGCTTGTGATTTAAATTGATTTATCAGAGTAGGTCTCCAGAATTAAGAAATAATAAATTGCGATCTGATTGCAAGTCTTTCTAAAACTCTAAGGTATGATTCTTATGGAATTCATTCAACCTTATATAGTACTGCTTCTAAGCATACAGCTTTAACCTGCTATAAAAACAAACCAACAATAAGTATCTAAGCTTACAGCTTTAACCTGCTATATAAACAAACCAACAATATGTATATATCCTCTTTTACTTGGTCTAAAAAATTTTGCAGATGACATCTTGATCAACTGTGTTGTGATAACTAAACCAGTCTTTCCTGATAAATTATACTTAACATGTTAAGTATGGCTTGCATTCCAAGGCATAAGGATAAGGAACCTTTCCCCCCGAGTGTCAGGCAAATGAGATGTCTTTTTATGGTTAACCTTTATTACCTATAACGTACCAATTTGGTCCAATATTCCTAACATCACATATGAAAGAGACAAGGAGATCAGCTTAATTAAACAGGTACATCACATGATGGCATAAACAATTCAACACATACAGAAGGCATAAAACCACTTCCTTATTACACCACAACTACGGTAATGACATAGAACTATCATGAGAGAGGCTTAGAGCACTTCCTTAATATTACATACCAACTACGGAAATTATAGGAAAGTTTACTAAGTATTTATGAAGGGTCCACCCAGACTTGAGTCTGAAGATCCTCCACTAGCTTTCTGTCCAAGTGGAATGCTGTGACGAGAACTTCGGGATCAATAGGCCCATTTGCTCCAAAGATTGCATTTGCTACTGTGTCAACTCCTGGATTTTGGCTTGTCAACGCAGCAATGGCAACAGCAGGAGTTTTTCCAATATTTAATTGAAAGTGAATGAGGCCAAATGGAAACACAATGAGGTCTCCTGGTTTAAGAATCTTGCTGAAGAGACGATGATCAGGGTTTGATGTGACAAAACCAGCATAAAGAGTGCCTTCTAAAACCAAAAGAATCTCCGATCCTCTAGGGTGATGGTGTGGAGGATTTAGGCCACCGTTTGGTGCAAAATCTATACGTGCCAAAGATATGCCAAGAGTGTTAAGCCCTGGCATTAGATCAGCCGTAATAATATTAACATGTACTCCAAGTTGATTTGAAGTATTTCCAGGAACATTAAGTCCCGAATGCGTGAAATCATCAATGGTGGCAAAGCTTGGATTCTTGCAGAATTTTCCATTAACAAGCACTGCATATACAAGCAAAGTGTTATTAATTTGTCTTGCAAATTCAAAATGAATGATATATATCAGTTGGTAGCTCGAAAAATATCATAATTTTGATAAATAAAAAATACCGCATGGTCTTAGATCAATATGAGCCCCATAACACATAATTTATGTGCTCCAGTACTGTGATCCTAGAACTCAAGCTGAGTCTGGCTCATGAAATTTCGATCAAAGATTGAAAAATGACAAATGAAAAGAGAAAAATGAGGATGTACCAGCAGCATGAGCATCATTTATTCCTACACAAAAGTCTTGGAGGGGGCTGGGGTCATATGCAGTGACAAATGAGGAAGCCAGAGCCAAGAGAGCAAAAGCTACTAGCAACTTAGCAACTTTCATCATGCCTTTTTTTTTTTTTTTTAGGGGCTTGCTACCTTGAGTTTCTTCTTTTTTGGTATTGTTTGCTGGGTGAGGTGTGAGAACTTGCATGCAAAGCATGGGTATTTATAGATGAGTTATTCTTTGTTTAAGTTTTGTTTTTCAACTAACGTATAATTAATTCTTGACCAAGCGAACAATGAAATTTGACAAATTTATGCAGAATCTTTAATATACCTTCACTTGTTATCTTGATGACTTCAACTGACTTTGGGAGCTTTCATCCTAGTTGCTGTAACTCAAAATTTCTTCCTAAATTTCTTATCGTTTTTATTTTATTTTATTTTTTTATTATTACTTTGTTTGTTTTTTATTTGTATTTTTGTTTTCGTTTTCATTGTGTAATTTATCCAAAAAAAAAAAAAAGAAAAAAAGAAAATACAATATAAAAAAATATTTTTTTATTAATTAACCAAAGAGTCTCATGGTAAATAACAACAACAATAGTAACCTAAGTGAATAATTATGACTAAATGGAGGCAAAAAAAGACTTGTACTGGTACTTTAATTAACGCCTCTTTATAGGCCAAAAAATTGCTGTTTAATGACGAGGATTAAGAAGAAATCTTATCTTAATTTTACCTAATTATCAAGAACTTCTAAATTTTTCAATTCTTATACTCATGGGAGAGAGAACGTCTTCATCTTGTAATCTTCATTCTCTTACCTTCTTCAGATTCATGATTTCCATCCGCGAACAAAATATCCAAAACCATAGGCTCTCTTTGTCTTTATTTCGCGGGTAAATGTTGCCAATTATGCCTTTTGAATTATTATTTCTTGATAAGGTTTTTTTATGAATTTAAAGAAGAAATTTTTATCTTACTCAAGAAGTAACTAACAAAACTTATTCTATAAAGATAGATATAAAATAAACAAGAAATAAGAGAGAAAGAATTAAAAAAAAAAACTTATGTGAAATATTTTTTATCAGTTTTGATGCATTTGAGGTTTTTTGTTTTTAAATTAACTCATAGAGTAATTATTGTTATCATTATTATTATTATTTTAATTTCTCTACTTAAAAGAGTACAAATAATGGCTTCCTTTCATTAGCATCCTTATTTCACTTCAAATAAACATTTCGGCCAAAAGCTTAAATTTATCCCATTTACATCATATTTTTGTTGGGCCAAATAGGATGATACATCAAGTCACCGAAATCCATTAGATTGAATAAAAAACTTTTGGTTCGGGTACTCAACTGACATAAAAAAAAAAAAAAAAAAAAACCTAGTTCAGGTACTTGATTTGGAAGAAAAAGAGAACAAAGAACAAATAAATTGGCTTAATTAAGGTGTTTTTGGTTCCTAATGTGAACCTTTGGTTTTTATAATTTAAGGAAACGGGCCCCGTTCTTTGACAGCAATCCTTCTATTAATAGAACAGAACAGAGTACGGAGATTTTTGCTGTTGGGGTTTTTGGGAGAGTGTAAGAATTTATTCATGAAGGGTAATAATCAAAACTATTTTTCAGATTTATTTATTGAAGTCTACTTATTATTAGTAGTTTTAAGATTTTTTTGTTTAACGAAAAGAGTTTTTTTTTTTTTTTTTTTTTTTTTTTTTTTTTTTTAAATTCATCAAGATCGTGCCCATAGATTTTGTGTTGCACAATAAGAATAATTTTCTCTTATTACATAATAATTAAAAAAGCTTGGAATTATTAGAATTCAAACCTTTATTTACTAAACATTTTATTTAAGTATACCACTGTAGGCTATACATGTTTTATCATGACCAGAAGTGCACTGAAGCAATTGGTCTCAGCGAATCCACTTAAGCTTGGAGCGAAAAAGGTTGGTATTATTAGTGTTCCACAGGGAGGTTGTTGCCCATCTCAAAGGCGTTTCAATGAAAAAGAGGCTTTGGATGATATGAAACGCTGGCCAAAACGTAGTCTCTCCGCTCTTAGTACCCAGCCACCCTCCTTCCTCTCCCCCTCTTTCTGATATGAAACCCCCCATAATTCACTCAAATCAAAATTAAAATCCAAAAATGTAAAAAATCCATAAATACTGCATAAATATGCAGAATATTTTTCATAAGCTAAGGTTTATTGATGTTTCTACATTTCATGTTCTAGAAGGTGAAAAGCAATTAGTAGTTTAGGTGCGACAAAATTGAAGCCTCTTGGTTGTCATAATCCAAAATTTCTCCTAATTTTTATCCTTTTTATCTTTTATTTTCTTATATTTTTTATTTATTTGTTTCTTATTTTATTTTTATTTCATTTTGGAATTTACTAAAAAACAAAAAAATAATAGAAAAATAATAAAAAAATATAAAATACAAAAAATTAATTACATTAGGGGCATGATTGAATAAAACGAGCTGAAATTGAAGCAATTGGGAATAATGTAACATCCCCAACCCGGGACCTAATAAGTTGAGAATATTACCGCCGTTAGCTATATTTGAAGTGCAATAAATGTAAACTAGCAAGACACTATGATCTTATTGTAACGTATGTAAGAACATTTACGTGGTAAAAATCTTTTAATGACGTTCGTGTCCTATTTCTTACTTCAACTTCGCTATAAATTTTTCGCGTTTGTGTTGTGTTTATTTATCATGATATTTTATTTTAATTTATTTCATTTTACATGTTTGCTAAACTTCTAATCATGTCAATATACGAGTGGATAATTTAAAGTAATTATACTACTATTACGATATTATTATTTATTATTACCGATTCGATTACACACCTTAATTACTTACATACATGACTGATTCTATATCAACTACTGCGTGTAATGGGTCTACCCGAAGTCAAACCCTCATCCAAGCTACATGCGTCCGATGCCTCTCTCGTAGTTAGCTTCGCAGAGACGTGAGCCGTAGTATCTTATTTATCTACACCACAAGGAACTGTATGAGCTACGACCCGGTAAGTTAACATATGCATGTAGTGTAAGTGCATGTGTATGTATGCATAAGACACCGATATGCATAATGAATCCTTTTTCCTTATGTCATAAAATATTTCATAAACAGGTATGAAAATCCCTTTTCCGACTTTAGACATGTCCTATTTAAGTACTTCGGGGTTTTCATCACATATGTCTAGCAAATCAAACCCATCCACGGACGCGCCCTAGCGAGCCTCTAAAGGTGCACGTTTGCACTTGTCCGGCCTTGAACCATTACCATCACCGTATGAAAAACCCATGAAGTCCTTTCCTCAAAACCTC